ATGACAGTTAAGGTAGTGTTTGGTGTATTTTGGGATGAGGAAATGGACTATGATTTTCAGACGCGCAAATTTTTACTCACCTGTCTCGGAATGATTAATTAATTTTTTTTTATTTTTATATGTATCGTATTAAAATGGAAATCAAAACTGAAATTACAAAATATGCGATTTCACGTACCTCCGATAGTCATTTTAGTTTCTAGACACATCAGAGAACTAGTCCATAAAACTGATATGATGCCACACAATCATTCGGATAATGCTATTTTAAAATCAAAATTTCGGCCCATAACTCCTCAAACCAATTCCAATTTAGAAAGTAAATGTGATTAGAGAGAAAGGTCGATGACAATTAAGCCCAAAAATTGAGGTCGTCGTTGTTGTATAGTATAATACACTCAAAGGGAAAAAACAACAAAAAAATATGTGAATATGGCTAAAATCTTGGAAGATTCAATTGTCTTGTATTCACTTCATTGCAAGGGTTCAACCACACATAGTATAATAAAAAAAACAATTAATTTAATTACTATATTATTGCAAAATTTATTGTTATACCTTTTTATCAGAACAAGTACCTGTAAGGAAACTCATTTTATTTATACGGGAGCAAAATTTTTTTTCCTTTCATTTTTTTTTTTTAACAATCAAATTATCACCTCTCATGTCCGCGAATGAGTAGGATATGTATTTATATAATATTGTCTTCTAATTATTCCGATGTTTATGAGCCTGCTGACTAAAAAGTCTAATCTCACATTAATTATACACCAACCGATGAAACTATTATTTTGAGATACCTATGTTTTAAGTTTTATTCTTTTAAAAAAAAATTGACGTTTTAATAATAATACGGTTGGGTAGGACTCCAAATGAAGATGAATGATACATAAATTATTCGTGTAACGACAGTAATTCGGAAAAGTTAAATCAGCAGTATATAATGTTCGGGAAATCCTAGAGAAAGTAAACTTTTGGTCGGATTGCCACTTGATTTAAGTAATTCCACATTATTTGGGAATAATAAGTCAAGAAAATGTTTTAATAATAATATTAGGACATATAAAGACGCCAGATTGGGTAACGTTCGCTAAATTGTTGGGTTACATGTGTCTGGCTCTGCAAAGTTCAGGTATCACGTAATTTTAATTAAGAGAATTTGTGCTAAATCATCAAATTGAACATTTACTGGAATTTTTTTTGGTCATTTTGTGCTTAAGAAACGACTGAAGAAACGTCAAGTTACAATGTAGACATCACCACAATATTCCAAATTAGATACACTCATTATTAAACTGCGTAAAAATAATTAGACTGGCTTTTCTTTTGAATGTTATGGTTTGTTTTCATCACAGCATGAACTAATTGAAGGGTGTTCTTCTCAAAATGTCCAGGACTTTTGTTTGTACAGGATTGAGTTAGGTATAATCATCTGCCCTTCCCGTCTCAGGAAAATATTCTACGCATTAAATTTAAAAATTTGTACTGTAATAAGTACAATTGTACATTCTCTATAAATTGTTTATTAAAATTTCATTCAGAAAGTATAGGTCTAGATCAATTTTATACATGATTTTAAAGCATTGTAATATTATTTAATATTTTTGTAAATTTCTGACTACATGTGAGTTTGAAATGCTTATGTAAATACGGAACAAGTACTCAACAGTTACGAGCCTATGATAATATGATGATTTTTTACAGGTAATGTTAAACAATATTCAACCTAAATACTCAGCCATCGTTTTTACTGTCACTATAATCACCTTCACCGTCATCAATATAATAAAATTTGTTACGTTAAAAAATACAAATTGCAGATGGTACAACATGATAGCAACTTTACCACAGAAAAAAAATGAATTCACACACAAAGCGTTAGATGTACAGTATATAATTATCAGATTAATGATATGCTTACAAAAAAGTTAACTTACTATCAAATATTTTATTTTTAATTGTTAAAGCGTGATAAAAAAAAAGTCACAAAATATTTATTTGCTGTTAAATTCATTTCGTCGACATCTTCTTTTCTTTAGAAAAGATGACAAGAAAGTCAACAAAATAAAATATATATATATATATATATTTCATATTTTGAATTAATTTCACTTCTTCTTCTTCTTCTTTTTTTTTTTAAAAAAAAAATGAGAGTATGATAAATTAGCCTGTAAGCACTTTATGACCTGTGTGAAAGTTCACACGTACCAAGCATGATAACAATAAGGTGTTTAAGATTGAATTTCGATGATTTTGTATTAACCAATTGCATGCCTTCCCGTCGTATATATGATTTAATCTTTGTCTGTTTTCTTTTCTCCATGATTCTTATAGGCTACCAAACAGAGGATGATTAATTAAGAGAAGACTCTGATATATATATATATATATATATATATATATATATATATATATATGCATTTCTTTCTAAATCATTGGGGGGTTTTCTCTGTGTTCCAGATCTCTGAATCACGTAAAGTCCAGTAAAAATTTACAATATCCGATGGAGATAACAATCAAAATTATGAAGAGTTCGAGTTGATCAAGCAACTGTAGCTAAGATTTTTTATTATTATCATTTCTATTTTTTGGCATTTAGGGCTGCCCATTCGGCAGCAAAATGACAATCCAATCCATTTAAGTATGGAATTAAGGTTAGAATCATTCTTGATTTGGAATTTGAATTTGAAGGAGTCCAAGAAGTTTATATATCCAAACTCCAAATAATATTTTCTTCCTTTTCTTTAATTAACTAATGCGTTATCCAAAACCAAAATTTTATTGGTAGCTTCCGTTTCCCTGAGATCCCAGCAACCTCTTATTCTGTTGCCTCTTCTACTAGATTTGTTCGTTGTTGATAAGATCAGATCATACAGATAACCTTCTTCTTTTTTTTTTTTAACATAAAACAATATTCCGACACTAATCTGTTAAGTAACTGGATAAAATTAATTTGGCAGAAGAATTTAATAGATACTACTCCCTCCGTCCCATAATTATTATCTGGTTTAAGTTTTCATTTTTAGTTCATAATATACTAAAAGTGAAACTCGAACCGGACAAGTGAAACTCGAACCGGACAATAATTTTTAGGACAGAAGGAGTATCTTTTATCAAGAATGTAATGTCGTCCGGAACTAAAGGAAGACAATTTTTAGATAGACAAAGAAGTAGTAGCTAGACGACGGAATATCCATGGATTTGCAAATCTTCCAAAGGAGACGGATAGTTTGCGTGGATTTTTTGACTTATAAGATTAAGTTATGTCTGCATCTGTGCATTGATCAGTTCATCATCAACCGGAAAAGATAGAATAGAAATCACTCCTGAAAATATCTTAGGAATGTGATGTTTGCCATCTCGCCAACTTTCATGGAAGTTTTTTTTTTTTTTTTTTTGGTGAACTTCCATGGAAGAATTTTGCTAACATTGGTAATATAAACCCAACTTGCCAATTAAAATATACTCCATCCAGTACTTAATATAAGAAATTTTGATTTGTTCTAGGTCTAATCTAGTACACATTTTTAATCAACGAAATAATCTTAAAAATATTTTATAACAATTAAGAGAACACAACGAATGTAAAAATATATTTTTAAAGTTTTTTTGATAATTAAAATGTGTATTAGGTGAAACTTAAAAAAACTTAAAATAACTTATAATAAGCACAGAGGAAGTAGTAAAATACGCGCAACTTTCTGGAGCAATGAACTACTTACTCATCCATTGGTAAAACAAGATAATCTCTATCATGATAATCTTTTTGTTCTTTTTTACTGTTTTACATTTTTTTAAAAAAATGCCTAAAGATAATTAAGTTACAGAAATAATATACCCTTACAATATCATGAAGATTCCACGTCCTAAGTCAATCATCATTAAGATCTTTATTTGCTTCTCGGGAAGATTTGGCGGTCAATATTTCCAAGTAAATTGGAGCTCAGAATTTAGATGCCTATTTTCTTAGTTTCAATTAATTACTTGTGCCATCTAATCAAAACCTTAAACCATGTTATCTTGACTCTTGTTTAGATGTTTAAGAAGTTAATACGTTAAAGTTTTATAATTAAATTTAATCTTTTGTTTTAGCCTTTTGTCTAGCAAATTTAATATGTTAAACCTTTTGTTTGGCACAATAGAAGAGTAAACATCGATATAAAAGAGTGCATGTTTCTGTGTCTTTACACTTTCCCCTATTGCATATATTACTGAAAATGGACCTTTTTGTTTTTCTTTTTAGGAGGACGAAAAGGGACTAATGAAATTAAGGAATATTTTCTTTTTGCCCAACAGATGCAATTTGTCTGCCTTCTTAACTAACCAAGAATATGAACTGAGGTTCATCCCGGTTTAAACAAATTTTACTACTTGATGAAAAATTGAAGTCCCAAGTCTCCCAGTCTCCCTCAATAGTTCGCAATTAGTGCAGGATCATAAACGAGGTGTTGGTTCAGTGATAAAATCACTTTTGAATTTAATCTCCACTCTATTAAGAGTGAGGTTCAACCTTACTAATTGGACACCTTTAAGAGACTTGTTATAGCAAATTTATACATGAACCTCCGATTTCGCATCCGAATTTGTCACCGTGATTTACTTTCCACTGTAGTTTGTACTTTGCAGGTTATTGTAGTGGGCGTCGGTTTACCCATCTCTAGTAGAGTTCCTGACGTTACCTTAAAAGAAAATTAGTGCAGGATCGAATACGATAATATACAATTTTCGTTCTCTTCTACCTACATATCGTGGAAAATTTAAAAATAAATAAAGAAATGTTTATAAACTTGATCTACATTTTACATTCCCTTGCAAGTTTCACACTGAAGAAGACTTGGGAATGCTTATCTGAATATCAAGGAAATGGGCAATTAGTTTACGAGAAAATTTCACTAATTAAGTATTGGATTACCTGATAAAAAATGCATTTAGCAAGTGCTAGAACGCAGTAAACTACATGAAGCAAACTCCAAAAGTCAGAAAAGAACAAGTAACTCAAAGCTCATCATCGACCTCTCGATTGGACTGCATCCAACCAAATAAAACGACACAAATTCCCCCACAAATAGAGTCAATTAAGTATTCTGGTTAACACTAATTTTGCGTACGTGTAATGAATATTTTGAGATTTTAACTACTAATCTTGTCTGCTAATATGCACATCACCATCCACTCATTTCCTTCCACTTTTTATATAAATTTGTATGCTTAGTAAAACTCATTCCCAAACCATTTCCTCTTCTTCAAAATCACTACACAAAGCAAGCTAAAAACAAGAGGAAGAGAGGAAGCTTGAAGGGGAACAAAAGACAATAACAATAACAATATGGAAACAACATCTTTTCAGCCCTCTTGGCCAATTTACAAAACCAGCAGTCTTGATTACCTTAACACAGGAGTTTATAGTTTTCCTTGTCTTCCCCTGGATATTATCTCCATGGATGAGGATTCTTCCTCGGGAATTTCCTTTGATTCATATTTGGCTTCCATGTCTGCTTCTCCTGATAGCCATACCCACCTGGTTGATGATCTCCCTTATTTCATCGATGAAAATCAAGCCATGGAGATCTTGATGGAAGATAGCGATTGCGATGGAAACGTTTCATCTCAGCTGACCAGTGAATCGGAGTCTTGGACACCTCAAATAATGTCTCCGGCGGAACAACAACAGATCAGCTACCAAAACGCCGCCCCGGAAATGGAAAACCAACAGTTATCAGTGCTCAGTCATCTGTTATGGGCTTATGGAGAAGCGGTACAGAACTGTCATCAGGAGCTAACAGAAGTGATTATCAGGCGGGTCAATGAAGTGATCAACCCATTGGGTGAACCCATGGAAAGGGTTGCTTTCAACCTGTTCCAATCAAGGGAAACACAAGGAAACTTTAGCTACCTCAGGCAACAATCTGGCAAAAACCTGGAACCGGCTTTCCAGGCCTTCTATCAATGGTACCCTTATGGAAGGTTTGCTCATTTCACCGCTAATTCAGCCATCCTACAAGCCATGCCTGCTTGTGTTGAATCGGTTCATATAGTGGATTTCGACATGGGCGAAGGAATCCAATGGCCGCCTCTCATTGAAGCAATGAGCAGGGACAGGAAGGCTGGATCATTAACGATTACATCTGTGAGGTCTGAGGATGATGATCCCTCCCAGTGGAACTTTGAAGATACAAAAAGGCGATTGCGCCAACACGCCAGCGTGTTTGGAATCAGTTTGATCGTTGAGGAGATGGGATTGGATGATTTAGTGAGTGAGATCAAAAGGATGAAGAAAAGAGGAACAAGTGAGTGGTTAGCCTTCAACTTGATGGTCGGGCTTCCTCACATGGGAAGGCAGAGAGGTCGAAATCTGGTGGCTGAGTTTTTGAATGTAGCCAAGGATTTGTTGCCATATTCTTGTGGTGGAAACAGGGGAATCATAACCTTTGGTGATGGAGAAGCAGGGGAGCACTTCTACAGCTCAGCAGCTTGTCCTGAATATTCTTCTTTCTTCAACAATCGGTTCAAACACTTTCAAGCCTTGTTTGAATCCATGGAAAGCGATTTCCCTGTTTATTTGCCGGAAGCAAGGATAGCCATGGAGAGTTTGTTCGTATCACCTTATGTCTCCTCCAAATCTTGGTTCCAGCAGTGGAAAGCTACCAAAGAAGGACAGCAAATGCCTGGGCTGGAAGGGCAGAGAATGAGCAGAGAGAGCTTGATTGAGGCCCAACAGATTGTAAATCAAAGAGGGAGTTCATACAAGGTTGTAAGTCTGGGGAATGAGAACCAATTGGTGTTGCAATGGAAGGAAGTTCCACTGGTAAAAGTTTCTTCTTGGTCATAATAAGAGTTAAAAATGGCTTGAGGACCGAAAGAGCAGTAATTTTTGGAAATAGTAGGAATTTGATAGATAGTAGCTTATGCACAGATTCTCTATGTGAACAGTAAATCTCAGTTGTTTTGGAAACCGAAATACATATATACATAATTTTTTCCGCAAAATTATTTGTTGGAAAAAGTCACTGCCAAAAAAATAAAGCTTTCTGTGTTCATCCAGTTTCACGGCATCCTGTGCTACCTGCCTATGTTTGATAACAGCCTCAAACTAGAATATAATACTCCAAAAGATGGAAAGGAAAAAGGCAATTAAAAGAAAAAAAAAATGATTGAATATGATATGTCAATGAACTGGAAAATCCTACTTTCAGCTACTTACATTCAGTTAGCTGTTGAAAATGAACCCAGAACCTTTGTCATCCTAATCAAAACCAGACTCTAAAAAAACTACAGTATAGCGATGATAGAGAAAATTGAGTCCGTTTTAGACATGCTGCAAATAACTCTGCTTTTTATACCAGATTATACTATCTGAAGTATATGGAAATCTGGGGTATATCAATATCATTGTCTTCTTCATCTTCACAAGCCACAACCACATCAAAGTGACGCCGGTATGGTGGCAGTTCTGCCTTGGCTACTTCCCTTGCCAGATCAACCATCTTCTTATCCATGCGCTCTTTGTGCCTCGGGAACATGCTGTTGTACAGCAAGCAACTTCCATAGGAAATGCTATAAGCATTAAGCCGTCGGTCTTGAAGCCATTGAAGTAATTCTCGCAGTGATGGATTGTTTTTGATAATCCACCTATCCCAGACGGTCCAACTCATATCTTGGTGCTTGATAACTTTTGGCGGGACTGGCTCAGCAATTGAGACAAATGGAAGGGCCAAGTTAGCGAATGTGTTTCGGTAATCCTCCAGCTTGTGCCCTCCGTCTAAAACCTTATACAGCTCTAAGCAAACAAGACCAGTAGCCATTGCTGTGGAAGTTGCAATTGCAGGGATGATTCTTCCAGCAATAAATTTAGCCTTGAGTTTGTCCACCTCAGGAATGCCATAATTTCTCGCCCTCATGTTAGCAAGTCCAGCAATCAAATCCATGTGATAATTGGTATCATCATCCTGCATTAAAAAAATGTCAGAAGATATAGAAAAGCAAGATACACGTTAATATGAGAGAGAGAGAGAGAGAGAGAGAAAGAGACCGACCTTTTCGAACTGAATAGGGTTCATCTTGTATGCTGAAGGTAACTTCTGTCGGCAGGATTCCAATTTCATAACCAACCCGTCGATAACCACAGCATCATCAACAGAAGCGGTAGAAAGACTAGTAGCCTTCTCATCCGTCACAATTTTAGCATCTTTCTTTGGCTGGAAATCTGGGACTATCACTTTATCAATGGATTCAGCTAATTTTTGGGAAGAGAAGAAAACCCAATCAGGAATGGGGATACCAAATGTCTCTGCCCTTAATATGGATGCAGCCATAACAAAGTTAAGGTGACTGGAGTCATCAACAGAGAATTTAACCGGGTGTGGAAAACGCTTTGGAGCAGACCAGAAAAGTGCCCCATTGCTAGTCGTTGAGTCTTCAGGAAAGGTGTATGTCAACTGCTTTACGCGATTAGCGAAGTAGTCCTCGAACCTGTTCAGACAAGATAACATCGTTAGAAAAACTCAAATGAAGTAGCAACATCATTATAAAAACTAAATGAAGCAGTAATAATCTAATTAACACGCAAATAGCACAATGTAAAGTGATCTTACTTCAGCCGAGCCCAAGTTATACAGTCTTGAAAACTTTCGCATTTGTCACTATCAAGGCATTCTAGAACACGTTCCATATTGTCCCGTGCCTGCGCATCACCAGCATTTTTCATGGCGGAAATGTACTCAGAGGGACTGGAGAGATATGAATTCACTTCAGCTGGAGTTTTCTCAAGAAGTCCTTCGAACTCAGATCGAGCCCATGTCAAGCAATGATCAATATTGTGCGGGAACGAATGCACTGTGCACATGGGAGCTTGCTTTTCAGGTGGGTCCCTAGAAGCACCGTAGTTCTCTGATAGATGAGGAATTACCATCTGTGTGTTGCATTTGGTACCAAGAGTTCCAGACTCCAAAAGCGGTTTCTGGAAGTACAGACATCTCTGATCAATGTAAAGCCTGGCATTCACATTATCTAGGGCATTTATGACCAAACTCAAACTCTCCCAGAACCCATCATGAAACACATTCTCAGTTTCAGGGCTAGCACGATTCTGCAAAGCTTCAATGTGAAGTTTAGGATTAATTAAAGTAGCAGCAGAGGCAGCAACAGTTGATTTGGCCTGACCGATGTTCCAATCCCTAAAAAGAAACTGTCTGCTAAGATTGCTTTTTTCAATGACATCATCATCGGTTATTGTTAGCTTTCCTAAATCACCACAGCAGACCCCCATAAGAGCTAAATTCTTCAGAAATTCGCAGCCCAATGCACCAGCTCCTACAACAAATGCCTTTGCATCCTCCATTTTCTTTTGTAGCTTAGCTCCAAAAACTGAGATTTGAGCATCATAACGACTATTTAAAGGCTTCATATCTTCCGGATCAATTGGTTCAGTAGGGAGTGATTCGACTGAGTCGAAATAGAAAAACTGTAAAAGAAAGATGAAAATGATTATAAAATAGGAAGAAAAATATCGGGATGGAGTTATACCTAATAAACCAACTCTTAGAAATACATGCATTAACCTACAACACCTAGAAGCAGAGCTGTAATTTGATGTCAGCTACCAAAAATAAAATTCCTCACAAATATCAGCAATCACAAACAATGTCGTAAACAAATTACCTGGAAAATTGGGTGAAACTTTCCAGAACAAGCTTTGACCACTTCTTGACCAATAATACCACCAAACATTGCCGCCATGGGGTTTAACACAGCTCTAGCCCCAAATGCGAAATTCCTAAGAAGCTTTTGGTCGATCTCTTGAAGCCTAGCATCATTCAAGCCATTGTTAATTTCAGCAACAAGTGAAATGAGTCTCAGTGCATCCTCCTCAACACCGGTGACAGGGAAGCGACCACACTCTGTTATAAACTTATCTAATGCTTGGAATGCCAAGTGAAGCAGAGGGGGTCGATCAAATTTAGAGAAGTCACTGAGAAGATAATCACCAGGATCCCTCAAGGATTCATTAAGTGATTTAAAATTCAGGACTTTAGGCTCCTTAACCTGTGTGACGATTCCACCTTTGATATATCTAGAATAATTGGTGGTATCCTCCTCAATGGTGAATGAGTACGGCCTCGCATTTTTCACTTTCCTAGGTACTCCATCGTTCAATTCTGTCATTCCCTGCACTTCAGAAAAGACTACAAGATCTCCATCCTGAAACTCAAGCCTTTCATCTTCTACACAAGCCACAAGACCAGGATTGTCATTGCTAACAGATGCAATAATGCCAGTGTGAGGATCCTCGCCATCAACATCAAGGACTGTGAATTCAGGGCCGAAATCACAAAAAACATTACCAAAAAGACCCCGCACTTCACCTTTGATGAAAGCAATTGGAGGCTGGTGTTGACGACAGTAGTCATCAAATTCAATAGCCTGCTGTAAGCTGATATCGGTAACCACAACAGCCTGCATGCCAAGCAATATGTCAGGATATAATACATAGTACAGCACATACGATGGGCATGAGGAGTAGTCCAAAGACATGGCAGAGTAAAGCCAAACGAAAATAGATCTTATTGGCAAAGAAACTAAGACCCTGAAAGATAATATTGAATGTTTTCACTGACTCAAGAGACTTGACCATAAAGAGCTCAGAAATTTCCAAGTTTTCATAACCTCCAATACCATAGGTCATTAGTGTCTACTCAAACTGAATTGAGAAAAACAAGTTGTTTAATTGGATATTTGGTATGTCCGAGTATATTTAATTAATCTTTCACCAAGACTTCATTATGGAGGTTGGGAACAAATTTTTTCGGTGAAAATACCAAAAGCTACATATCAAGCCAGCTCAATATTTTCCCAGGGACCACAGCGGGCTAACATATGTGAATTCAAAAGGTCTAGCAAGCTTCTTTCCACGTACAACAATGCTGATTTTATACTTAACAAAATGATAGTACTCAAAATCAAACAAACATTACACGGTAAGAAAACAAAAAAAAAAAAAAATAGAGAAGTATCTTCATCATCCTAGATCAAGAGAAGAGTTCACATAATTAAGCAAGGACCCCTGAAAACATGTAAGATCAATAGATACTTTACAATTAATAGTCATTGCTAACTTTCTCACAATAAAGCATTTTGCAACATTGTGATCTGTTACAAACCTAATTGAACGCCAATGTATAGTGTAAAATGTTAAACCTGCAAATGTGGTATTCTATATATTCAAGGTTATAGAACCATGTAAAAAAATGCACACTCACCTGAAAGCCTGACAGCTGCTCTTTGGTTAAATCAGTTGTTATAGCAGAAACTGTCACAGCGTTGTTTAGTTCTTGCAATTTTTGTACAGAGGCAAGTGCTCTGTTATTTCCTACATCATCCTCGGAGAAGATGAAATTGCCCGACAAGTCCCACAGCTCCACATTTCCCACGTCATGCAACGTCACCGATTTAACACCGGCAAGAATCAAATTCTTGGCTGAAAAAAAAAATAAAACACGACAAATTAGCCGCAAATTGAGTAATAGCATTCAAAAGTTAAGAGCAAAAGGAAAGAAAGTATCAATTGAAGATGCGAGATATAATTACCGATTTCAGCACCCAGGCCTTGCATTCCGGAAATCAAAATATTAGAAGCGACCAAGCGGCGCATAGTCTCGCGGCCGTAAACGGCAAGCTGGCGACTATGAAGATCCTCATCGATATCCTGAGAATTGCCGTCGCCGCCATTAGTGCCACTGACGAGCGTCGGCGTATTCCCATTCCCAACGCCATTACTTGCGTTCCCGATGCCGTTAGACCCTCCAGCCATGCTAACCTCGGCGTCGGAGGCAGCGGCTGGCGGAGTCGTGGCGGCGGCGGCGGCGGAAGGGGAAGCTCTGTGCTTCTTAAACGCCGTCAAAGAAGCGTCAGCCACCTCAGCTCCGCCCATGGAGTCTCTTTTCACCGGAAGCATAAAGTGCAGCGGAGAACTGTTCGACGTCACCATCAGAACGCCAAAAACAAAATTAAGGAGAGGAAAACGATTAATAAAGACTCTGAGCAAGCGGATTTCGATCAATTAATTGCACAAACAAAAGGGGGGGAAATACAGGGCATCGCGTAAAATGTACGTAGTATGTTAGGAGAGTACAGAGCAAGATAACGCACGGAGGGAAGAGAGAAGGGTAGTGCGTGAGTGTGTGAGAGAGAATGGAGTGATTTGTCACAGCGTTTTGTTGGTATTTGGAGCAAAAGAGAAGAAGGGGGAAGGGGAGGTGGGAACGTACCGAAGGAGGAGAAAGAGAAAGAGAAAAGAGAAAGCAAACGTGAGTTGCGTTGCGGTGCGAGGAGTGCTGCGGTTTAGGCGATTAGATGATGGACCGGTCACCTGCTGTTTACTGATTAGGGTTTGAGCCCTGTGAGGCCTTTTAGGTCTGGTTCGGGTCATACGGTGCGGGTCTGGCTCTGGCTTAAGCCCCTATTGTAATTCTTCAAAAAATATGCTCCATATTACTATATCACAGTACTTATTAATGATGAGGTACACTAATCGAATCAATTAATTAGAACTGTATTTTATGTTGGGATATAAATATCATAATAATCTCTCTTCTCTGTACAATAATCCTATAATAATCCCTCAATTTGGTTTTTTTTTTTTTTTTTTTTTTGGTATCACAAAGAATGGAAAGAATGTTACATGAAATGTGTCAAGTAATGTGCTCTGTGCACTCCGGAATGATGATGACTTTCAAGTACTTTTAGAAAGGCCATATGGAGTGACAGGCTTGATGGAAGCCTGTGGGCTTCGGCATCCTTGGAAACAAGTCCAACCCATCTAACTCAGAAACTTGATTTTTATTTTTATTTTTTGAAAAAAGGAGAAACTTGATTTAAATAATGATTCACAAACTATAACAAGTGAAATAACATCACCTTTTAGACCCCAAAATATCATAAACTGAAAACACAAGGAAACAAAATCACACTACTTGGTATGCAAAATGCTAGGCCAAAAGTCAAAGCACTACTTGCAAATTTTTTTGGTTCTTAAATTGATCCTGAATGCAACAATAATTAGTTAACATGCATGTTCGTCGTAAATTTATAGCCAATTAACCCTCAAAAAGCCCTAAATAACTTATGTCGGTGACAAAGATTTCTCCCAAAGATATAATGGTCAATTCAACCTGACGAAGTACTAGCCTTCTAGTGTTAATCGCTGATTTTCCAGCGAAAAAAAAAATATATATATATATATATATATAGTAGTACTACCTCTCTCCCAATAAAATTTCATTCACTTCCTGATTAAAAAAATATAAAACCCTAATTTTTCATAATGGTTAGTTAGTAACTAAAAAGACCTATTGTCATTAGATTTATCTCTTTTAACAACACGATCAATTGGCAATCATTATACAAGTGGTACATTTAGGCCTTTTGGCCTTCATTATATTGTAGTAACGAAAAAGAAAATCAAGGTAATCAACCACAGATATCATTTTAAATAAGCACAGTATCAACCACTAATTTTGCGAGAAAGATAGTTTTAGGCTTATCGATCAGAGTCCTTATCCACCATAGGAATTTTTCTGGATTCGCCAACTGAAAGTCATGCAACACTTAAACTGGTATTCCCTAGCTAAGAAGGGAGACTTTGCATGTTAGGTTTGGTGGACAATGCTGATTCAAACTCACATTCCCACAAATATAATTAAACTTTTTTTTTTTCCTTTCAATTTATACAATGCTGAATTTTGATATGGATACAAGCAGAAAGATAACAAAGAAAAAACAAACTAACCGTTTGACTAAAAAGGCCAGGGGTCCCTCGTTAGTTCATCACTAGCTATATGAGAATTATTGGTGTGAGGGAGGAGCACTAAAGCCAAAGGAGAAAATGGCCTTTGATTAATTTCAATTACTTTAATTTTAACACTTGTAGACCAATTTCATTCATATCAAGCACGTATCTTGTGATTAATTACTTCTCAGTTATGCCTTTGGAAAACAGGAGCAGACACATCTTTATCAATTTTGGTAGTAACAAAAGGTAGAGGTTAAGGGTTAGAATAGATGAGTATAGCTAGTCTCACCAAATACGAACTAAAAGGCCGTAGCTCCACAAATGCAGACAAAATATGCAGGTATAATCTAAGGCCTTTCATTCTCACCGGGTTGCTTCTGTCGTTTCTCATGGACATATTATTTGGTGACATGATTTTAATACAATAAATAATAACAGCATTGTGAACTTAAAAGAGAGGGAGTATAAATATAATAAGAAGAGTATAATGTCAGTGAAGAAGCTCGTAGAGATGAGGAGGTGGAAATTTTGGCTACTCTTGAATTTGAAGAGCCCATCTTCAGTCCCGGGGAAGAGCACTCTAGCAGGCAAAGGCCATTCAAGGCTAAGACATAGCAGAAACAAAAGTAAGTTTTGCTCTCTTACTACTAAGTTGCTGCACAAAATGTTAGTAGATCGAGATTCTACACAGGATCATTTTAGATTTTAGAGTCAATTCCATCCATTCCCCTCTATGATCTGCAGCGTCTGAAATTTTCCAGCTTAAAAGGCAGAAATATATTTTTTTTACTCCCGTGTTGATGAACTTGATTGGTCATTTCTGAGCAGAGAATAGGAGAGGGTTAGGTGCGCTTTGCAAGGAGATGGAGGCTTGCGGAGGATATTCAGACATAAAGGTGATGTGGGAGATGGTTAACTCTTCTAATCACCACCATGCCAGAAACATTCGAGGGAGAAGCAAAAGGCAGCTACAATGGAATTTCTGCTTCAGTCCAGCCTGAATATTGGCATTAATTTCATTCTTCTTCTTTTTTTGCATCTATATGATAAACTGTCTGTCTGAACACACAGTCATGAATAAGGAAGGCAATACTTCAGCGTAATGTTTGGTTATGGGTGGAGAAATCTACAGTCAGGAACTCAGGATGCTTAAATTGTTGGAGTCGCATTTTGAATGAAACTCAACCATTCACAATACAGTACTTTGCATCTCATAACCATATTCACATTGTTTATTTCATCCCACAGATGCTAAATCTATCCAAATCAAGACACAGCAACATTTCATAGTACCATAATTGCTAGGTTTAGACCATAATAAACTACTTAATGCATCACTAGAGAAATCTACAGGAAAAACCATCATCTGTAGCCAAAGAAAAAAGTCTATTAAAGAAGGAACGTTGTCTAATGGACACCATCTTCATGTAGAAGCCTCTGATCGAAATGCCACACGCCTACAGGAAAATATACCAAATCGCACGTCAAATCAGTGTTTTCATGAGAAACATAAGCATAAACTGGATACATGTTATGTTATGCTCAACTAGAATGATAAGAACAAAAGGGGAATTGATTGCAGAAGTAAGAAAAAGAATCCTACCATGTCCTTTCCCAACCATTCTCAGTTGAGTAACATACTCAGAAATCTTCTTGATGGCTTCAACCTATCAAATGACAAGATCAGCAGAACACTTGTAAGTTGTAATCCATCCAATAAAAGAAATAATGTCAACATAACAGCCCTTGCACTCATAAAACCTTAATCATATGAATTATGTACCTGTTCTTCCAGGAATTCGCTCTCTATGAAATCGGCCATTTGAGGATCATTGTTCTGGTCAGCAACCTGTAATCGCAAATCAGCACAACTTCAGTAACATTTTCACCTAAAAATGTTTACACGCAACTCATATCATAGACACAACTTTGCAAACTCATTTCTCAGTGGAAGAAATCTTACACTGTGCACATTCAGAAGCTTCTCATTTACAAGTTTCTCCAAGGACAATGCTAATTCCATCGCTGAATCAATATAGTAGACTGTAATTAGCTTCTCATACTTATTGCAAATGCAGGATTTGACGAACAGTGAGTTCCAACTTACCATACAAAGCATCACCCTTTTCGACATGTTCAAACTCTGAAGGGGGATTCATAACAGGGTGCAGTTTCACTCTTCCCCCTCTCATGTTCTATAAAAAATAAAGTTAGATAATTTCAATGAAATCATCCAATCACCAAAGGTTCCGTAAAAGTGCTACAAACAGAATTGAACCTGATATTTCATCAGCTTCTCAGCGTGTTCTCTTTCTTCCTCACTTGACTCCTTAAAAAATCTGAAACATAATACAATCAATTCATCATAAATTTAACATTCATTATATCATAGTGAGTGTAAAGTTTAAATAGGATGTGGGATTACTTGGCGAGTCCTTTAAGAGCAACATTGTCCCTGTCGAAGTATGCATACATGGCGTGGTATACATATGACACATTATATTCCACGCTGAGAAAACAAACAGAATGGTCAAATTAGATACTAGACAGCAGGAATAAAATAAATGATATCATACCAAAGAAAATTTATTAGTAGTTAATTATCATAGCAACACGAAACATCCTGTAAAAGATACTCTGACTACTAAACTACTTCCCTTTGTTATATGATAACTTTTCAACATCACAATTTTACTACAAACTTTCACATTTCAGTCGTAAAATCAGTATCAAGTGTAGATTTTAGGCCTTGGGCCTTGAAGGCCGATGCTAATCTGTACATAAAGGAACCTAAAGACCAGGTTTCTATATTTTCTGGATCTACGAAATCTGATGGTTTGACATGAAAATTAATTAGAAAGAAGGGTCAACGATGAAGACATAGAACTAAAAATTAAATGCTCTCCGAAGCTAATATAAAAAATAATAACCAAGGAAAAGATGGAAGAAACTATTACTTGATCTGCTCATTGATGGCGGCTTCACATTCATCGGAGTATCTCTGGCGAGCAAGCGAAACGCTGGGGGCAATGGGTACCAAAAAGTCATCCCTTTTAACCTCTTCAAACGGCTGAAACAGAACACCGGTGAGAGAAACAGAGCTAGTCTTTTCATCCACGGCCGCAAACACCGACAACCCTTTGTCCTGTCGGAGGCGGCGGTGGGATGAAAAGGAGAGAAAGCTCCTTCCGAGGAAGGCAGCAGAGGATAAAGAATGCTCATTGGCGGCAACCGGAGCGCAGATTTTAGCAGGGGAAGAAACTCCTTGAATGAGAGCCATTTTTTTTTCCGAATTTTCTTTTCCTAAATCAAAAAGGGGAAAGCACAAATACTGAATGGCTAAAACTAATGGAGGAGAGGTAAGAAATGAAGGAAATGTGGGATGGGATTATATAGGGGGGAAGATGGTGGAAGAGGGGAGAAGGATGGATCGGAAAATTCAGAGTGGAAGAAGTTGGGTGGAATACGGGATGAATATGGACCGTTGAATGGGTGACACGTGGAGGGTGACGAGCTGTGGAGTTGTACTGGGCGTGTGGCGACCTCGTGCCCTATATCCAAAAAGCTGTAGTATCTGACAAATTTATGAATTATCTGGGAAAATGTCGCTTTCCCCCAAGGAATCTACCAATCTTTTTGCGTTCACACTACGTGGATGGAGTAATTTTAATTTCGATTAAGGTAGATTCTAGATTTCTTGTATCTTCTGTTCTTTAAATTACGAGATTTAGTATTGAGCAACGGCACGTAGTTATTATCAATTTAAAGCTGTGACCCCAGAAAAAAAAATATATTTGTTTTTAGCTCACCATATGTACGTAGATCAGAAATTACACATAAAGCTGTGAAAAATTAATTAATTATGAAGCACACTTCTTTTTTAGTAATTTCTTTTCTATGAGTGTTTTCATTTTTCCTTCCGAGTATGATTAATAAGTCCACACCAACGATATCACTCCATCACAAAGGCCCAACAGGAATGTATTACAGCCCACCAAACTGAAGATCGAAACTCGAAAATATTGACTATCTAAGGAAGGAAAAATTGGTGCCTATCTCAATTCTCAAACAAAATACAGTATTCGGTACAGTATCTCGTAAGAGACCATAATTGAAGTTCAAAAGAAAGATGAGTGAAGACAATAGGGGCAAAACACTATCATTTATCAACAAATAACAGTAAGTAGTATGAACTCAAAGCCAGTCTCTTATAAAATTAGGTGATCTTACATTAAAGCAGACAAATCAAAGCGTTCACCACCAAAGTTGTAATTACAGAAGGCAAAACACCGACAAAATGATACATTTTACAGCCAGGAGTAGATCAAGTGTTCCAAGATCACTAGAACTTGTCTACTCCTACTCCATCTCTAAGAACCTCATAAGCATCTCTGCTTCGGGTTTTCTTCATCCCAGCAGTAAAATGGAGCTTTGATCCTTCCGATGAGATGGCAGTCACTTTCACCCATATCATCACCTTTGTTTTCATTCCTTCTATATCAACTAGTTTTCCCTTCTCCAGATATCCAGTTACGGTGGTCGAGAACCGCAACACAGAGGAATCTTTATATCCCACTTCACATATTGAGGGTATGAAGACAGTAAGCTTCCTTGTCTCCTCATTGAACTCATAGTTGGTGGCATCGCGAGGGAAAATACCTATGGCCAGATCATATTCCTTCAGTAGTTCCGGCAATGGTTTTTGCATTTTTCCTGTAGGGAAAACAAATTATCTTTACAGAATCATTGAACATCGCAAGCATGAGTTCATGATAATAGGGGTAAAGTCATCCATCCACAAATAGTTCCTACTACATGCTCAAAGCTGACTTTTTTAAGTTTAACTGACCTTATATTAAAGCAGACACTTAACGAAAAGATAACTAGCAGAGTGAGCCTATAACTCTGCATTCGAGCAGACCACCAACTTGATAGAAAAGTTAACCACTCTATTTCCTTTTAAATACATAAACAAGTAACTGAACAATACACAAAAAAAACATATTTTTGCGTTAAACCCAACAAAAGTATACCAATTCACATTACGTTAATCAGGTCATAAAATGAATGAGTTTCCTGAATAGGAAATTCAGGATGAAGATTATAAACAATACTCTTCAACAGAAAAGATAACTGTACAGGAATAACTATAGCTGTCCAGTCTTTAGTTGAGATACAAACCTTTAATTTTGTTGACTAACCATTTGGCTCCACCTTCGATACTGCTTGACATCGACTGAGTAGAAGAAAAGGAAAGAGAGGAGCAAGATACATCACAATTAAGAGGTACACAAACATGTTGGATTGGCGAAAGAAATCATGCTAAACTGCTAAATGCACAAGAACTTCCTTTACATACAGGAAAGGATAACACACACACCAAACAGCAAGAGAGACCTCAAACACTGCAAATACATTATAAGAGGACAGCATGTATAATTCAAAACACCACACTAGTAATAATCACATTAGCAGAGTTGTAAGCACAAGACACTCATTCATAAATAAGGAATTTAAAGCTTTACTTAGATGAATAAGCACCCATTCTACAAGTTAGGTAACTAGACAACACGAAACATACCAAGTGGATAAAATGTCCATAACCCAGAAAAACAAATAATATCTGGATCATAATAGATGTAACAACAACAATAACAACAAGCTTTTTAATAGATGTAAATGGACTCAATTTAATCCAAACTTGCAAAATAAACCCCCAAACCCTCTCTTTCTCAAAGTAAAACTGATTGCAGAAGGTTAAGATAATGAACGACAAAACTGGACAGTAGGCGATCAAACAATCCACACCCATAATAATCTTTTATGGGAAATATTCTAGCTTATGAAAAAGGGGTATCATCAATCGAGTAAAAAACCAACGAAAATAGCGGGTTCTCTCTAACAAATAAACAATCCAGTGATCGGATAAAATGAAAACAATTAAAATTTGCAAGAAATGAGGCGAATCAGGTTTAAAGAAGCTATGAGCAACAATTAAGACAAAACGGAAACAACCAAATCTAAGGCTAAAAAAAAAAAGGGGGCCGAATCTTGACATAATGTAGTGTAATGACGCAATTAAAAAAGAATTGGAGGGAGAGTAAGCTTACGTTGATGTCATCGCCGACGGAATTGAGCTCCTTGTTGGCCTTCTTCCCTATCCAGTAGGAACCAACCTTATTCAGTATCTGATCCATCTCGCAGAATTGAAATTACAATCAATAGGGACCCTCAGCTTCGTGTCGGAATGGCTTAATGGTGTAATCTTGGGACGAATCAATCTGGGTAAATTGAAATTACTCTTTTATTCCTGAGCCCTAATTTTTTTCTTTCTTTTCTTTTCTTCTATTTTTTCTCAGAGGGAGAAAGGGCGCAGAGGAATTACGAAGTCGACAGGATGAGACTTTCTTCCTCCGCGACTTTTCAGCCCGTAACGTGTGATGATGTTTTCGAGTTTCGACCAAACCCAAAGATTAATAAATTTAAATAAATGGGTTTTTATTAAAGTACTCCTTCCGTTCTAAAATAAGTGTCGTTTTAGCAAAATAAAAAAATTTCAAAATAAGTGTCGTTCTCACATTTTAATGCATTTTTTGTCTAAAATTTCCAAAATTACCCTCAAAAGAATTAATACTATTGGTGGACATTGTTTTAATGGGGTTAGTTGAGGACATTCAAGTAATTTTATTATCCTAATTAATAGTTTCTTAAACTATGTGCAAAGTGTAAGATGACACTTATTTTAGAATGGATGGAGTAATTAATTAATTAATGGAACATACGTCAATGAAGCTCCATATCACATTCATCAACTCAATTATGTAGAGGAGAAAATATCTACATATATATAAGCGGGAACCCCCTTTTTGTTGCACGGTTAAAGGGGGGTTCCTGGTCGTTTTTGGTGACGTGGCCACGGGTGATTGGATTCATCATTTTTCTTTGGTCGATCCGTTTCTTTGATGTAGCGTTCTCTTTCGGTTGCCAGCTATGTACACCCAAAATTGTCCACGCAAAACTTCTTCTGCAGCTTTGAAGTTGAGTCCTGTGTGTGTGTTTTGCTTTGCCGTTGTTTTGCAAAATTGAAGGCAGCCAAAAGGTAGGTTAGCTCTTGTCTCACGATTACCGACCGTACTTGCTCCGGATTTTGTTTGAACGTGGGTTGTTCTGACTTTAAGCTGTCCACCCAAAATTCTAAGTCCTGTTATACTTTGAAATTGATTATTGATTGTTACTTCTGACCCTTTTCAATTTTTTTTCTCGGTTTTATCTGATTGAGGAAGGGAAGTAGTTTACTTTTGCTGCGGAGAGAGAATCCGGGATTTATCAGAAAGATTAGCTTTTTTTATTGTGTTTCTTTTCCATCGTGTTCAATTACAGTTAGGTTTTAAACTCATTTTTATGCCTTCGATTTTGGGATTTCTTATTAAGTTCTTCAGTGTAGAAAACTTTGTTTGGTTTTGAATTTGAAAAAAAAAAGAATAAAAAGCCACCGAATGTAGCTTGAATTGGTTTTGAATTGCATCAAATGTTGGGTAAAGCCTACAAATTAGAGTCGATTTGGTTGCACGCAAGGTGCTTGATTATATGCTTGGTTTTTTATCTGGCTAAAAAATTTGGGAACAAATGGAACCTTGAATACATGATTATTGTATTGGAGGTGTTCGCTTTATGTTATAAAGAATGCTCTGTTTATTGTATATGTAATGCTATATTTGAATTTGTAATTTTTTGTACAAAGGATAAAATGTTTCTACAATTGTTGAAGATTCTGTTACTCTCTTTTCTCTGTACTTTTATATACTCAATAAATCAATGGTTTTACCTTCATTCTAACCATGCAGTGTATCTTCTTTATTAACTACCACCGAGGCTGTTGTTGTCGAACATCCAAAGAATGAGAAGGAATCCTCCCCAGCAATGCCTCCAATGGGCTATTGAAGCCATTAAAAGGAGGTTGATTTTTTACTTTTCCTATTTTGCGCTGCCCAGCCATTGTAATTAGAGTCAGAGATTTAGCTTAGGAATGTATCCATGGGGATAGTGGCTTTATGAACATTATTAGTGTAGATATATTTGCGCATCCCCATGATAAGCTATTCATTACAGTTTCCTCAATTTAAAACTCTTACCTCTTTGTTATATTCAAAAACGATGATTGAAGTTAAACATCATCTAAGGCAATGTAATTTTCGGAGACTAGAAGACCTCCACACGTTCAAGGCAAAGGCTTCAGCTTTCAGCTGTATTTGACAATTTTCCTCGATTTCTTTTTATTTATTTGTTTTTTTTAATATAAATTTGGGTTCCATCGTGAATGAATATGAATTTTTTTTTAGCCAATTTGCAGATATTTTTTCTCTATTGAATATGAATTTCTCTGCTACTGATTTTGAATTAGCATGCTCAATTTCATTCCTTTTTTATTGATGCATGTGATGTAGTGCCGAAATCATATACTCGGGTTTGATATTGATTATTGAAGAGTGTAGACATTAGCTCATACGTTTTTAGGCCTCGGTTTTAAAACCTTGGCGTTATTGCAATCAATATTAGTTTTATACCATTGAATTGACTTGATTTGAGAAAAGAAACAAGGCATGTGACCGAAAGGTTTTCATAGAGTCAAACAAATGGTGCAAATTTTGGTTAGCTTGTTGGTGCCAATCATTATCACGCATGAAAATGGGCAAAAACAGAGAGAATTTGGTGTTGGTCTTCGTGTTGGAATTTTGATAAAAAAAAAAAAAAGAAAAAAAAAGAAAAGAAAAGGTTAATGCTGGAATCTCATTAGTTATCGACAGAAGGATAGTATTTACTTCTTTTAAAGTGGGCAGATTCCTTATTTGATTCTGATGAAGAAATGGTGATATGTGTTTGATTTGGAATCGATTAAGATTGTTAATCCCTTTTCTTTTCCTAATGAATCCATATATAACATTAGAATAGGATGATAGAAAAGTAAAAAAATTTGGCCTAATGGAACAAGCAGGCCGCTGGTGAATGTCGATATTTGTTTATTCAATTTTTTTATGACTTTAAATTCTCATTCATGAAATCTATTTTGGTGGGGAGAAGAATGGTTTCTGTTATTTTTCCAGTGAGTGTGGTAAAGTTTTTCCTGGGTGGTTTCATAGTTTTTAGGTCAGTTTTGATTTGTCTAATATGTCATTTTCCCACTGAAACAAACAATACCCTGACTCCGTTGCCACCACAGCCGCACATCGTGTGGCTACCCTCGGCTAGTAAATAGTCTGTTTAGTGATTGATTGAAGATTCTATAAACAAAGCCAAAATTAACCTTAAAAAAAAAGAAAATCCTACTCTTTCTGTCCCAAAAAATAATGTAATATATTTTTGGATGATTTTTTTTGGAGGGAGCACAATTTTATAGCACGGGAGTAGTCCAGGAAGATTGTTACACCATAAAACTGAACAAATTAATCGTTTGTTTTTTCTTAAGTTCATTTTCTCAGACTATGGTTCCAATTCAATAACTAAAGATGATAATAAACTGCCACCTCAGCAGTTCTCCTCTGTTTATTTTTGTACATACCCGTGATCATCAATTTCACAAATTTATAAAAACTTCTTAAATTTTAAAACTTTCAAAAGCATACAAAGAAATAGATTAAAATCGTTGAGATTCTTGGGGCGTTTTTCTATTTTTCGTTTGAAAGATTTGGCGAGGGAAGACCAATAAAATTTACTGGTATCCATTGTCCAAAAACCAGTGCAGACAAATTTTCAGCCTGGTTAAGGTGTATCGCCAACCAAGCGGGCCTGAGCCTGGGCCTTTTTATCAAATAAGTTTTTGCACTCAATCCTGCTCCAGAGTCCAGACCAGCCAGTTCTCACACCACCACCGCCCCCGGCCGCTTCCTCGCTTTTCCCATGTTAGCGGCAGCAACTTGCTACCCTTTGAAATTTTGATTAAATTCTCTGTATATGTTCACACGCCAGTGGTTGGGGGCAATTTAAAAATTATTGTTCAATTTAAGTTTTAACTTTTAGCACAATTTGAATTAGAAATGAAAACTCAAACTGGACAATAATTATGGGACAAAGGAAGTATAACCAATTGCAAATCCAAGTTAAAATATGAATAGGTAATTAATTATAACCTTTTGAACTGAAAATTATTGCAAATAAATTCCTCCTCACTTTAATTTGTTTGTTTGAAATGTCTTTCCAACCACCAGATTCCCGAGTATCGGATAAACAAATTTGGTCCTTCCGGTCTCCCGTGCATGCAACCTTTAGAGGAACACATTATCAAGTCAAGAGTTTTTTATTTTTAATCAAGTCAAGAGTTGTTTTCTTATTGCAAATTTATTAAAAGTTGAGAGACATAGTTCTAATGGTCATAAATAATATAGTAGCTCACATGTGAGTTAGGTTTTCATCTTTGTAATTGAGATTTCTGACCCGTGGTTCCGGTAAATATATACTGTATAGTCCATGTTTTCCACAAAATAATATTCCCTCCGATCCTTAATATAATGCATTTTTATTTGTCCTAGTTTTAACCTAATACATATTTTTAATTTACGAAAAAACTTTAAACATATTTCGTAACATTCAAGAGAATATGACGAATTTGAAAATATATTTTTAAGATTTTTTCCTCAATTAAAAATGTGTACAAGATGAAACCTAAGATAAATCAAAATGTCTTATATTAAAGATCCCTCTACGAAAAAGTAAAAACCTTATTTTACATGTTTACAGTAATTAAATATCATTATTGGACCTGATATATATGTGTGCTACTCTCATATTTTCCGTAAATACTAAATAATCATTCAAATGATAATACGTCACTTGCATTGACTGCATATAACTGTGGTAATTATAATAAATTAAGTCTATGAATGACCTTGATTTCGGTTGAAATGACCAAGACTTTTAATCACCTTCATTTCGGGGGTACCACATGAACTTTGAGGTTGGCAAAAAAAATGCGACTGAAAGTCTGAAACTGCTCTCACTCATAAGATAATAAAATATTCAATTATTCAAAAAGAGACTACAACATATAAAAAATCTGTATCGAGCTAAACTACCTTAGTCTGAGAGTACTTGTATATTTTTTTAAATTAGAGATATTCACATCGATCATAATTGGTGCCCTTTCGGGACTCAAAAGTGCACACAGTAAAGGATGATATCACTAGACTCTTCAATTTCGAAATGTGCTACAAATTTATACTTCTTCCAAAATTATTATCCAATTCGATATTTCACTTTTAGTAAAAATTATACTATAAAAATTCAAACTAAACAATTATTTTAGAACAAATTGAGTTACATACATTAGACTTAGGCTTTGTTTGGTTTGTTTTTTTTCTTATGGTAATTTCAAAATAATTAAATATTAATTGTATCATCCCATCATACCTTTTTATATTTCAATACACCTTTTTACATTCTCAACACAAAAAAAATCTAAAAACACACACTGAAAAAACGATCCAAACATAACCTTAGGCCCTGTTTGATAAACTTATTTAGCACTTAAAGTTATTAATTAAGTACTTAATTGATTAACACTATTTGATAACACAATATCGTAATAACTTAATTGGTTAAGAACTTAATTGATTAAGGGCTTAAGTTTTAAGTGCGTTTGATAACTCAAACTATGATGTCTGAATAAATTAAGTAAGTCTGAAATATTAGTATAAATGTGAGTATAAAAATAAGTGATAGGCCTATCATTTATATCTTAACTGAATTCTTGAGGCGATTTTTTTTATATTTATTTACTTGTATGTTTATACTTTTGATGTTTTATCTTGAAATATTTTTATTAATCTTGATATTTAGTTATAAATTAAAATTTATATAAATAATTTTTATCTAATAAATATTTATTTTAATATAAAAATTAAAATCCAAATAAATTCCATGATAAATATATATTTACCTTAAAATATGATATTTTTCGATAATGATGAATATATGACATTATTATTAACTAAAAAATAATTACATAATAAAATATAGATATTTTTATTACATAGTTTTATAAAAAATATTATTATTTTTATTATCATAGTTTCATATAAATCAATTATTTTTTAGATAAAATTATAAGTCGAGATACTTTTAATTTCAATATTCAGACTTTAGATTTTAGATATTTTATTCAGTCTTCACATTTTGAATTTTATCAAACAAGACAAATTTAATCAGTTTAGTACTTATGATTCAGTTTTTAGATTTCAGACTTCAGACTCATAGTAAGTTTTATCAAACGGCCCCTTAGACTTGTTGTTTACGATACTCTGTCTAAAGAAAAAGTATACAACTAAAAGAAAAGATAATGCAATTGACTAGGATTCTGGTACATGAATTTGTATCAAATTGAATAAATTACATGTTCGAGACAAAAAATTATCTTTTCTTCCTTTTGTGTCAAAATCGTTTGCCCAAGTCCTTCATTATGCCAAAAAGAAGGTGGGGGAAGAGGAAGGAAAAGAGTATGTACACAAAAGCATAAACAACAAATCAAAACAAGTTGTTTTGGGGACATTCGAAGTATTTAACATAAACTCTTTACAGTCACATTTTCCCATGATTTTTGTAACGTAAACGTAAAACACAGACACACAAAAACATAAGAGGAGATGGTCCAAAGTCCAAATGATGTGACCTTATCAGAAAATAAAAAAAAAATAAAAGAAAGAAGAAGCTTTAAATTTAATTTAGTAATTCTTATATTTTTGGATGGAAAAAGAGAAGCTCAAATTTTTAATTCTCAAGTAACAACATCCCAGCCCAACCGCCCTAAAGGCTTATTAAAGCTTTAAAGTGAGTCCCCTGATAATATATAATTATGCTCAACTTGTTGTGCCTTTGATGTAATGAAAGTTCCACTTTACATATAAAAACAACCAATCACACACAACAGCATAATCATCTTCAAGCCACACCAAAACATAATTAAAAATTTGTTCTTTCTTCTTCCTTCCTTTTATTCTCCCCTTTCCACTAAATTCACAAACCCTCCAGCCTGGCCACCCCAAATAACCCAAAAACCAGAAGCTCCGAAGCTTGATCAATCCAGGATCGAATCCCAGTACAAACATCCAAAGCGAAGAAAATGCATTCCAACTCGCCGGATTCATCCTCTCTTGTTCTTCAGAGAATCAACCCTACAAGCCCTTCTACAAGCTCCGCCGCCCTTTCCACATCCTGCAAACAAGCTCCGCCGCCGCCGCCGCATCCGTATTACTACTGCCCTTCTCAGCTCCCGGAGTCCGCCGTCCCTTACCACACATACCTGGTGGGGCCAAACCAGTGCTGCTCCGCCGTGATCCAAGAAATCTCGGCGCCGGTTTCCACCGTCTGGTCGGTTGTCCGGCGGTTCGACAACCCTCAAGCCTACAAGCATTTCGTGAAGAGCTGCCACCTGGTGTTGGGTGACGGCAACCGCGTCGGGAATCTCCGGGAGGTTCAAGTCGTGTCGGGACTGCCAGCTGCCAACAGCACGGAGAGGCTAGAGATCCTGGACGACGAGCGCCACGTCATCAGCTTCAGCGTGGTGGGCGGGGACCACCGCCTGTTTAACTATCGCTCTGTGACGACCCTCCACCAGGAGGAAGCGGCGGAGGAGGGCGGGTCCGACGGGAGGACGGTGGTGGTGGAATCGTATATCGTTGATATTCCGATCGGGAATACCAAGGAAGAAACTTGCGTGTTCGTGGATACAATTGTGAAATGTAATCTCCAGTCTTTGGCCAAGTTGACCGAGGATTTAGCCCACACCAAACCATGATTCATTAACTCAAGCGTACGTATTAAATTAGGTCAAAATTTTCACCGTGCCTTATATATATATTTTCGTTATCAACTTTGGAGTTGCTTATTCTCCTTGTGGAAAACTATAAATATATTTTGAATGAAATGATGATGAATCGGAATCAAAACTTTGCTTTGTATCCATCTCGAGAGATGGTGATTTTGTATCAGATATTGCGTCGTTGCGAGGGAAAAAAAAAGGGTGTGTTTAGTTTCTATTTCTTGCTTATCTATGTTTTATTTAAGTGTTTTGTGAGGTTGGGCTATCATCTAAATCGAGGGCGTGTGAAATTGTGAATGGAGTGGTGCCTTGTTTCTTACACTTCTGAAGTAATTTTTTTTTAATTTTATTTTTGTGTAGTATCCAGTGATGAATTTTTTTGTATATAGAATAACTGACATTGTCAACATTCAAACGAAAATTTAATCCTCAATAAGCCTTTCTTATTGTTACTCCATTGCGAACGGGGTATACCTTGTGAGTTCATAGTTAACAACTTGACATTTTAGATATAGTGTTTTGAAAGAAGTAAAAAACAAAAAGGGAAGTGAAGAAACATATATTACTATGGAAAATACCAACTTCAAACATGATTATCCCCTTTCTTGGGTTGATCTGGGGGCACGACGCCACGAAATGACATAAATCTGGACAGAAACTATAATTACAAGGTAATTTAGTGAATGTTTTTAAGTGATATCTTTTCATTGAACTGATCTATTATAAAGAGAAAACTGTGTGGTATGCGCAGAATGAACCTTCCCTGATTGTGTTTAGGAATTGAATGGCAATGTCAAAGTCAGATGGTAATAAAGAATATAGAGTTTTAATTCCTAGTTTTGTAGGTTAAAATAAAATAATGACATGTTCTGCCAACGAGGGAGCGCTAGCGTTGAGGGTGACTTGGGGAGTGCTAGTACACTGAACCGTGATCACAATTAATGTAAATAATCATAAGCTGACAACAACAGAAATTTTTATATAAAAACCTAGGATTATTAATCAAGCTTTCATTAATCATCGTCTTCTACCCGCTGGAATTAAGATTCATAAACAGTGGGTACTGTAGAATAATAGTTGTAGGTACAAAACGAAGCGAAAATGGTGGGATTAGTACGATGTAAGCCAGTTGGTGGCTGTTAATATATTAATTACTAATTTAATTCAAGTTGTATCGAGAGAATATGTACTGTATCTGCTGGTTGCAGACATTGAAAAAGGGTATCAAATGAATGAAGGTTGAAAAACCCTCACAAAATCATTTTCGATAATCAAGCAATGCATAGCAAACTTCCAAATCTGAAGTTACACTAACTCTAATTATCAGAAATTAAGCAAAGTACTTGTACTTATTAATTTTGTCCGTTGCCTATAGCCTGTATATATGTACATGCCTAGAGGGCAACATGTTACATTAAAAATGGTGTAAATAACGTACGAAGCGGCCGATGAAACTGAATTAATAAGAAAGAGGTTGAATAAAATCAATATAATCGATGATGATGACAGCTAGCAAAGGAAGGGGGAAGGAATGCAAGTTGCAGGGGGGTTTGACGAGACCGACGAACCAACTGCGAAAAAAGAAATAGGCAATTAGGCAACTTGCATCTCCAACTTGGTGTCCTTTGATCTCAGCTTTTTTTGAGTTTTTTTTCCGTCTTTTGCTTCTCTTCTCTTTCTCTCTCTCTCTTCTTTTTTGATTTCTCTTTAAAACAGTACTGGCAGCGTTAAATGTATACGCTGCAATATCAGCAAGTTGTGGCTGTTGTTGATGCTTTTCATGTTGTGATATATAAACATGGTAGAGTTTTTTTTTTTTTTTTTTTTTTTTGGTGTGGGGAGGGGTAAAATTTCATGTCTATCAAACTATTTCAATCTAGCAGTAATTTATTTACTTTCTTAATTATTTTAAAATAGAGGGTACGATAATTCATTATTTTGAAACCAAATGAATTTTGAAAACTCATTGAACGCCGTCCACACGGTAAGTCCATGTACATTGTAACTGACATGTTTTTAAAAAAATCGAAAAAAGATGAAGGGGAGGTTGAGGAGGTGGGGTTAGAATGGGGCGCAAGTTGCAGGGAGCAAGTGGCCAATTTGACGAAATATTTAGCGGTCTTTAATGTTGTTGATTGGGAAAAGAAGAGGGGGTTGCCTCTTTCTCTTGTCCTTTACTTGCGCTTTACGATCATCCATCTATCCATTTTTGTGTGCAATATTCACTTCACTTCACGCTTCATTCTCGCCCCCCTTTTTCTTTTTTTTTTTTTTTTCATATTTGCAGGGTATTTCCCGTCGTCAACAGTTACTAATCTACATCGCTGAATTATAGATACCTCAATGAGTGGGACAACTGGTTAAACTATTTAAGATTATTCCATACCTATGACGAGATTCGAACCCTCGATCTATAATTAAGTATGAAAGAGTCTCTTCCCCTCCACCACAAACACTTTGGTTAATTTAATTGTATTCTCACAAATTCCTTCCTGTCTCTATGCAGTATGCATGGTTCTTTCTAGATTCTACCTCAGCTTCCTTCGCTGCCCCAATTTGACATCGCACTGGCCACTGAGTATTCATATTCTCAAACTACTTGGCCAACCAAACCATCCTTTTATTCCTCTCTCTTCTTTTTAGTATTACTTTCGTTTCGAAATTATTGTTCATTTTAAATTTTTAATTTTAATACAGATTAAATTGAAAGTGAAAATCTAAATTAGATAATAATTCTAAAATAGAGGAAATACTATTTTTAACTCCTCTTATTTCATTTTCTTGCTCTAATATTTAGTAAACTAATCAAATCTTTGTCTTTCAAAATCACTTTTATATTTGCTATATATACACATTTTCACATTTCAAATGAAAATAAACAAATAAGCGTTCAACATGGTCTAAAAGTCCCACGCAACAAAATCAAAGTGGCCATTTCTAACAAGTCTCTTGAAACTTGTAGTTATTATTATTATTATTTTGTATAAAGAAACCTGTAGTTAAGCTCGTGAAATGATTAAATGAAATGCAAATACAAACTCCAGTTTGGAGAAGTCAACGAGCACTAGCTTAGTTATCAATTCCAGTGCCATTTCACACTGATTATTTTAATTTAGATTACATTAGACAATATATCTCTCTCGGTGGGTTTTTTTTTTTTTTTTTTCCTTTGTTTTGGCCAAAAGAGAAATATATAATCAAGTAACCATGCGTCAGGGATTTAAAAATAAAAAAAGCAGAAAAAGAACTCCTATAATGTCATGGTTTAGCCATCTTGTAACATCTAGAGGCGACAAATCCAATCGCACCAAACTTCCCAAATTCATCACTTTCAATTAGGGTTAAGAAATCAGTTACAAAATTACATGGCTCATGAATGCGTTAATTTTACCATCCAGCAACAGTCTAGAGCTTCTCTAATAGCTCGCTTTGAGTCCCTCATACACAGTCGGAGGTATATTTTTATCGAAAACCATTGTGACTATACTCGAGTCGTCAATCTCTGCTTCAACGTACTTCTCCCAGATCATTGTGACTGTACTCGAGTAATCAACCCCCTGCAACCAGAATCCCAGACCAATTTTAACCCCTGGTACCCAGTTATCAACCTCTTTCGCTAGGATTTTGTTTTACGTTGATTACTCCATTAGATGAATGAATCTACAACGCGGCATTTTCAAATAACTATCAATTTCGTCCAACTTGGTAAACTCAAAGAATCAGCATATTTGCTGGATGTGACAGTGTCTAGGCGTTGTCTAGATTTAGTTGATTGAAAACTGTCTATTTCGTACTCTTCTTCTTCTTCTTTTTTTTTTTTTTTTATTTTAAATAAAGTGATTCTACACAATGGTTTGATTTTGTTGCGCCTAGTCTCTATTCAATGGAACTTTGAGATATTCGACACTAATATATGTAATCGATGAGTAGCGTGGTTCATTTAAGATTCATTAATGCATATTTCATCTATTCCAAAATGATTATCTACTTTGAATTTAATCTAAATAAAAAATAAAAATTCAAACCGAATAAACATTTATGGACGGATGGAATATTAATTATGCAAAATACTTTGTTGATTAAGTGGATATGCACATGCATTATATGAAAGATTAAACTGTTCAAATTAATCCTAAGTTTGTCATTTATGGTACATGAATCATGAAATAATAATACAAGCTCAAACTACAAATATGAAATTGCCAAACATTAATAGAGCGAACCCCCCAAGAAAAGAAAAAAGGAAAAAAAAAAAGAAAAAAAAAGGAAGCACACTAAACGGGAGAATGCAGTATTTGTTGATTTGGAAGAAAGAACTAAATTTACTTTCTTTCCCCGCCGGAGGAAAGTTAGTCGAAAATAAATTAGTTGGTGCAGCCAGAAATCAAAGACACCCTAATGAGAATGAATGACTATGTGTTGGACTCGTTGTCGGATTTAAGGGGGGAGTGGCGTTAGCAAATGCTTATGGTAAAGCTACTCTTAAGTTAGCTGATTTACTCTCATTACTCACTTTCTTATAGATAAATACTCTATCGTCCCCAAAAAATAGTCCATAATAAATTTTAAGTTTTGTACTGTTTTTAGTACAAATTTACAAATTCAATGTATTTTTTTGAACGGAGGTAGAAACATGTTTGCTGGTCTGGTTCACACACACTTCTCTACAGGTGAAGCAAGCAACTGAAGAAAACTTCGCCATGTAATCGAAATCAGGAAACTCTACGTCTCTACTACTGGAAACTTTTGGGCTTGCCTCACGCACATTAAAGCCCATTTGATCAGCCCTGGTAAGAAGTGGTAATGGGGCAAATCTTTTTATTCTCTCTCTCATTTCCGGAAAAACAATGTTATGATTTTTAGGTTTCTTTTCAATAAAATTAACTAGATGTTTGGCCCAGGCAGATGCCCGGGCGCCCCTTCTAAATTACTATTTTATTAAAATCTAATTGAATTACTATTTTTTGAGGAATTAATTTGGCGTATATATCATTTATGCTATGGTTTGGGGCTTAAAAAAATATACCTATAAATCTGAGGTTATAAGGGAATAATAAATAATTAGTTTATAATGCATTATTCTTAATTACTGGATTTAGTTTTTTATTTTTATTTTTTGTTTATATTAAGCCTGCAAAACTGTACGATTGGACATTTGAATTTGAATTAATATATCCATTCGTTTGAAATGTAACTGATTCTTATTTGTAGAATTTTTTCATTGGATAAGTGTCACATCTAAAACATGTGTTTTTTTTAAAAAAAAGAATTATATACCTTCTAATTAAAAGAGACTTACACGTGGCAAAAAGACTCCTGAAATCTGAAATATGGTGCATTGGAGCCAAAACAGATGCATACGTAATTACCACATAAGCTTCATGTCTTATGCTTTAATAGGGTAAAAGGGATTAATTATTGGTGAGGAGGAAATAGACAATAGAACGAGGGCAAAAGATTTCTAATATCACTTTTGATGTAATACAAATTATGTTACTCACTGTGTTCATCTTACTCAACAAATTATTCAATGGTGAGCTAAAGTATTAATTAAATTTAAAGAAACTCTAATATTAATTATTGGTGAGCATAGGTCAGGTTATGGGTGGACCGTGGAATCTTTAAACTCCAGGAATTGTAGAAGTTAAAACAAAAAAAATTACATACTCTTTATAAATGTAGAGTTCACATGGATTAAAGTTTTTTTTTTTTCATAAATTTAGGAAAGGGATTGTTGGTGCGTTCATAGGTCAGCCCACGAGACAGCGCCTAAAATACCTAAAATACCCTACAAAACAGAGTTAGCACTTCGATGCTAAAGTCTGAAATTTTAGAGAGAGAAAGAGAAAAACGTAAATGCTGTCTAGAGAGAGAATCACGTGTAGAATAAATAAATGAGAGACTCCTTTTTATATACCTAAGAACGAATATAAGAATATTCTCCAAACACATAAATGTATATGGCTCTAGATGGATCTTGAGTAATACTTAGACTTTCGAGGTTAAAGCCCAAAAAGGCAATGAGTTACTTATTGCCCCATCAGGGAAGATACGATTAACTTCAACTTTCAATATCATGATAGCATTGCTCGAGCAAGACTACTGTTGATTTTTAACATATGATCAAACACCTCGAAGGCTTGAAGTATCTATACTGAAATTTGTAAAAAATGATCATCATTCATGTTTTCATTTTATAGAACTAAAATAATGTCGCAACGGTACTAAAGGCACCATATGTGCAATCGCTTTTGTTACACGATTAGGTACTAATTATGAATGACAGAGTTAGCAAGGCCCCCACAACATCCAAATCTTTTTATTAAATTAAACCAATTATAGTCAAGACTAAATACTAATAATTAAAAATGTTGGAGGTCCACATCTTTTTGTAGGTTTCTTTCCGTTTAAGATTAATCGCAGTTGTGGATTGTGGGGGATTGGGTCTGGTCAGGTCAGCGAATAGCAGACTTTGCTTTCCGGCAACGATATTGGAATAAGATATTTCAACTACCCTAACTACAAAACCTAATCCGTCTTTTTAGTTTTTTTAACTTGAGTTCAGATGAGACTTCAATATATCCAGTAGCTAGTAGACTGAGGATTTATTTAGTGACTAAGATAACGAATACTTGTAATAGTTGATAATAAAATCATAAAAGCATGCAGAAAATTATAATGCATCGATATTACAGACCATTCCTAGTAACAACCATGGACCGATTGACCATTGCAATATTTTGTTCTCTTCTCGTTCCAAAATTTTATATTGAGAAATAAGCAAATTCACCATTTGGATTATAGGAAGATATCTTACAAGAGATAAATAAAGAAGTTTACCCTTCGAATTAGATAGATTTCTTAGGAGAGATAAAATTAACAAAATCTATTACCATCTTCTAAGAAAAATGGGAACTAAAACATATTCAAAGTGTTAAAATCTTTCCTGCGGCTTTTGTCAGCTATTGTCTTCAATTTTTGTGATTGTAATATATTCGGTGAAAAGTGATACACTATTATTAATCTCCATAAAAGATCATCTGGTCAAAAATTATACCAAAAACAGGGCATTGTCCTTTTTTTTAAGACATCCAATAAGATACAGTTCAACCACTGCCAAGTTACCACCTACTATTGCTTTCATTAACCACCATGATAGTGTGGCCACCATCATTTCTCGGCTTTACTTCTAAACTTTCAAGAACCCTTCAGAAAATCACCAACTCCAAATGATTTCCCAATGACCAATTATTAATATCATGGGAAACTTGTAATGATGAAGCATTTCAGAGAAACTTGTAGAGTCCCAATAATTATGCGATTCAAAGCAAGAAGCTGAGTTTTATATCATCCGTCCAAGGAAAATATTATGGCGATGAAGAAGAACCAAATAGTGATTGTTAACAATGGTCAAGGATCTTGGGACGTTAGGTGCAGCTTCCATTCTCTGGTTGCGCTTCTTGTTATGGCCTTAATCGCTGGGGCAATTTATCTGACGGCACAAAGTGGACACTTGTTAACTGATCATCTTTATAATACTAGTACTGCTGCTGCTGCTGCTAGTAGTAATAATGTTGATCATGATGATGCGTATGTTCATGTTCATGATGATCATCAGGATGATGTTGATGATAATCGTGCTTCTTCGAACTCATCGCCGCAATGCAATTTGTTTTCAGGGAAATGGGTATTCGATAACCAATCTTACCCGCTTTATAAAGAGCGTCAGTGCAAGTTCATGTCTGATCAATTGGCTTGCGAAAAGTTTGGAAGAAAGGATTTGGGATACCAGAACTGGAGATGGCAGCCTCATCACTGTGATCTTCCGAGGTACATATATATTCACCCCGTCAGTCCATATTGAGTTTTTAGATATGTAATATTAAAAATCTAAAAAACTCAACGTGAACATTAATACGAATTTGAAAACACAATGTGAGATTTTTTTTGGGGGGGGGACGGAAGTATTATTAATTAAATCCTTGCTTCTTTGTTTTAGCATAAGTAGAATTCTCCAATAAAAATAGCAACTTACGTTCTGGAATTATGGAAACTATTAGGTTCAATGCGACGGCATTGCTAGAAAGATTGAGGAACAAGAGGCTTGTGTATGTTGGAGATTCTCTGAATCGAGGCCAATGGGTATCAATGGTTTGCCTTGTGGAGACTATGATGCCTCCTCCATCTCCAAAATCAATGCACAATGACGGCGGCAACTTGATCACTTTTAAGGCCAAAGTGAGTTTGCGGAGTTTAATTAGACTAATTATTTTGGTGAATATTTTGACTCTTGATTTCAGTTTGAAAATTGGATACATTTTGGGTGGTTAAACATATGAAAAACAATTTATTAGGAGTACAATGCTACAATCGAGTTCTATTGGGCGCCGTTGCTCTTGGAGTCCAATTCCGACGACCCAACCCACCACCGGTTACCGCAACGCATAGTAAGAGCCCAGAGCATCGAGAAGCACGCTAGGCATTGGACAGACGCTGATGTACTCGTCTTCAACACGTACCTTTGGTGGAGACGGCCCATGATGACCATCTTGTAAGTATATACAATCATCTCAGACACTTTGTTGTATCCTAGTTTGATCCCGTACATCATTTGACGATATTTGACTGATTGGATCAAATGTTTTCTTTCAGGTGGGGTTCGTTCGGAGAATCCGATGGTATCTACAAAGATGTTGAGATGTTACGGAGCTACGAAATGGCACTCAAGACTTGGGCTGATTGGTTGGAGATCCATGTCGACCGCAACAAGACCCAATTGTTTTTCGTCAGCATGTCTCCCACACACGAAAGGTACGTATCAACAAGTCCACTAAGCAAATACTCTCCGTCCCAAAATTATTGTCCACTTTAAGTTTTCATTTATAGTACAAATTATACTAAAAGTGAGAACCCAAACTGGACAATAATTATGGGATAGAGGGAGTATTACACAATGCCCAGACAATTATCACATTGTAGTAATTCGGAATCACTAACTCTATTTTGGGACGGAACGAATATTTATTTATTCGATGAATTGGACTAAATTATGCAGGGCAGACGAATGGGGCGGGTCGAAGGGCGAAACGTGTTACGGGGAGACTGAAATGATAGAGGAAGAGAATTACTGGGGAAACGGGTCGGATCCAAAGATGATGAGAATAGTAGAGTCCACCATTAACGACCTCAAACACAAAAGAGGCTTGAATGTGCAAATGATTAACATCACCCAGCTGTCTGAATATCGGAAAGAAGGCCACCCTTCTGTTTACGGCAAACGATGGCATCCTTTGACGCCAGAACAACTTGCTAACCCGGCATCTTACGCTGATTGTATACATTGGTGTCTTCCTGGAGTTCCTGATGTTTGGAATGAACTCCTTTATGCTTACATCTTTAATGACTCCTTGTAAAATTGACTTGCTTGGCAGAATACTAATTTTGTAATGATTATTTTGTATAAAGATATAAAATAATCATTGTTAAATGAAGATTCAACCCCCTTTTCCACTTATTTGAATCTTCATTGAACTAATATCCAAATTTATAGACAATAAATACAAAAAAAATGATTCTCTTAATTATATAGTTATTGGAATCACTCAAAACATACGTATGTTCGGCTACTTATCAGATCTCTACCTTATTGAAAATTTGTAAATTTTTTGAAAGGAATTGATGAATTGAGAGCAATTGTTTTTATATTGAAAGCAAAATTTTATTAATTTCTATTATTACCTTTATGTAAAATTATAAATCATGTATACCATTTTTTCCACTTAATTTTCTCTATTCTTCCTCCATCAACCATCAAACGATGCAGGATTGGAGGGATACACCAAACTTCCCGCCTCTTTTTGCCTATGTCATCTTAATCTACTTTTTAGTCTTAAGTGGAGTAATTATAATTTCTTCAAACCTTTATTTGTCCGAGTCTAATTTACAATTTTCTGATACAATTGTAGTGGTCCGTGAGCATCAAATTTCTTCAAACCTTTATTTGTCCGAGTCTTCTTTGTCTTTCATGTAGCAATGTTCGTGAGACAAAGCCAGGAACCGAGGGCGGAGTTACGTACATGTGAGATGGGGCAATTGTCCCATCTCAAAATTCCGCAATTACCGCTTAGATACCGTTTAATTACTAAAGCTTTCAAAGCACTGCTCCAGTAATTATTTGAATAATGGGTAATGGGGGGAGTAAATACTTAAATACTTTGCTGTAAGAGTACAAACCATTTTTTGCCCCACCTGCTAATAAGGGCTTGGCTCCGCCCCTGCTGGCAGAAGCAATTGTTAAAGGTACTTGGTCCAGCACAAGGTGGTAATTGTCTGTAATATAGATCAGGAGTGACTTGCTTCTCATGCAACCATGGTTTCCCAAGCAAAATATCCGTCTCAGTCAGCACTGGAAAAACGTAGCACATCACTCCATTAACGTAATCGCCTATTGAAAAGTTCAATTTCACTTGCCTATCCAAGTTGGTCACTTCCCCTTGACAAAGTGGCACTCGAATCTGCTGATGTTGATCAACCGGGATAGTGGGCAACCCCAATTTATCTACAAACCTCGCACTTGCAAAGTTATTATTACAACTCCTTTCGACAGCCAATAAGCTTACCTCGTTTTGGAACAAACATTTGGTATATAAATGCATGGGTCGGAACACGACATTATAGGGCTTGGTACGAAATTACCGCCGCAGAGGCTGGTTGTTGGAGCCGTTGATGCCACTGCTCCTAAGTAATTCACACAGCACGTAATGATCACCGGAGGGAGTAATCATTGATGAGCAGCTGGATTGATGGAGTACTCGATTCTTCCTCAAAGAATGTGGTGAACTCATTTCTCCCTCAAAGGTGGAGTTTCCTTTTTTTTTTTTTTGAGATTAAATCAAAGGTGGTGTTTCCTAATTACCTTAGATGGGCCAAACAAAGGACGCTGATGTGGGCTCCTTAATGGGTTTTAAGTTTGGACGCAATACTTTTCATTAACCATGAATGACAACACTATAACGGTGGAATAGAACTGATTATTAAAATTTCCCAATTTTGAAAACAAAAAAAATAAATAAAATAAATTTTCTAATTTAATTAATACAATTTTCGTCTCGAAATTATTACCTCAATTTAATTATCATTTTTAGTAAAAATTGAAATAAAAATAAAAATGTAAAATATACGATAATTTTGGAACAAGGAAATACATGCCATCAATCACAAATTGATCCTTATATTTGAGTGTGTTGAACACTTGAACTGCAAAAGTTTCAAGAGGTCCAAAATGTGGGTCTTCAGTGTTCAATGTTCTATGATTAAATTTATAAAATAAATAGTGTTGTAAAATTATTTTATACTTAAAGATCTAAAAAATGAGAGCTCTATTGACTATAATATTTATTTATATTCTTTTAAAAATAATTTTAGTCATTATAAAATTAAATATGCAAAAAAATGTACTTCTATAATTAAATTAAAACATTACGAATTAAATTTTTTTTAAATGAACGAATTAAACTATATAATAAAATTATTACCAAACTTTAAGATTTTAAAAATCAAAATAAAATTTAAACTATAACATTTGAAAATTTGATATACTAAGATTGGAATGCAACGACATTTAGTGTAAAAAAAGCTTAAAATGATTTATTTTTGCAAATTATGGTATAATAGTTGGAATTTCTCTTACAACACAAATTTTGTTCCCATCCACGGTAAGAATCCCATCAATACTAATGCAACCGGGGATCAAATCCGCACTGTTCTTGCTATGGAGTGTTTGATACTCCGCTCCTTAATATAAGACATTTTGATTTGTCATAAGTTTCATCTAGTACGCATTTTTTTATGAAAAAAATCTTTAAAATATATTTTTATATTTTTTGTGTTCTCTAGATTGTTATGAAATATTTTTAAGGTTTTTTCGTCAATTAAAAATGCGTATTAAGTGAAACTTATGGATAATCAAAATGCCTTATAATAAGCACCGGAGGGAGTATTTCATATAATTTGAGCACGAGTTTATGTTTACTAATATTTATTTTCTTTGTCATAAAATGTATTTTAAATTTAAATTTTCAATGTTAATATAATTTATATTATAAATAAATGAAATTCTAACATAAATAATCATTTTATATAGAAGAAATATTAAAAACGATGTACTTAGTTCGGAGTCTCTTCGACCGGCCAAGGAACTAAGCAAACAACAATCACGGTCGTTTCCAGACTATGATTATACATCATCATCTATCAATCAATTAAAAAACGTTAATAGCCAAAGTCCTCGACAATCCAGGCTGTTTCAAATTACCCAACTCTGAATTTCCCATTGTAACCTCGCCTCACTCATCAGCCCGTACAGGAGCATCCACTTGTCAAACCTCGATTTCAAAAGCCCAATTTCGGAATTTCACCAATATCGTCAACCACTTCTGCATTTTCCCCTTTCATATCAAAACCATCGTCGGAACAATTGGCTTTCCCCCCTCTTTTCCCCCTTTTTTTTTTTCTCATTGTTTGTTCCCCAGGAAGATTAAAAGAAAAACACCAGATCGGCGAGTGTTGGTTTCTTCAATTTTAAATTATACAAAAGCCCAAGGCAGTTTGACATTGATACGATCCAAATCTGAATCCCTAACGGTTGAAATCCGACCGACCGGACTGAGAGGGAGGGCTCCCTCAACCAGCTGACACAAATGGGGGATTTCAATTTAGCGCTGCTGATTGTGGCGATTGTCGTCGTCGTTTTGGTCTTCATCGTCAATTTGTACCTGTTAATCAATTATCAGCATCCGGATGATGCCAACCAGGCTTATTTCCCCAAATTCGTCGTCGTTTTGGGTCTCTCCATCGCCGCAATCTCCATCCTTATGCTCCCGGCGGATGTGGCGAACCGGACGGCCTGCCGGAACTCAATTTATAATGGCGCGTGTAAGCTGACGCTACCTATGAAGGATCTCTGGCTTGCCGTCTACATTGCCGATGCAGTTCTCGTGTTTTTCATCATTCCTTTTGCCATGTTTTATTACGAAGGCGACCAGGACAAGTAAGTACATTGCTTAGGGTTTCCGTTTAGATTTTCTAGCCTGCCTTCCGAAATTAATGGGAAATAAGTATGGTTTTAATGCAAAGCTTTCTTGTTCAGGAGCGTTGGGAAAAGGATTAAAAGTGCATTGTTGTGGGTAATTACCACCGCAATTGTTTGTGCTTTGGTGCTTGGAATTTTATACGGTTAGTCATCATTGAAATTCTTTGATTCACGTTTCTTTTTACTTTGCTCTCTCATGGGTTTAGTGACCAAATTGTTTAAGATTCTATAAAACCTAAATGTTAGTTTATAGTTGATGGATAAATTACATTCTTAGTAGAAAAAGTTTAATTGACATGCTTGGATTTATGCGTCGGGGAGGATTTAATATCGAAGGCTGTATATACTTTTAACTTAGCTAGCTGGATATGTTTTAGAGGACATCAGACCTTGAGAGAAGCATTGTTGTATGCTTGTGTTTCAGCCTTTTAATGAGAAATCTTGTGTTCTCTGGCCTGTTTGGAGTTGGAAACAAAGTTTGTGTGGACATTGTAAGACTATTAGTTACTTTATGATTTTACCTATAAAGAACATTTTCTTTTGATTGTAACTAAGCTTTACTTATCCTGCTTCCAGGGCTTGTTGGAAAGGTTGACTTCACTGTCAGGCACCTCTCGTCTAGTACTGCTTCATTCTCAGGCTCATGGCAGCAATTTTCTAGTGGTCAACCATGTGTAGGACCTAATAATCCGCCGCATCAGGTGGGCAAAAAGTTTTAATCATGAAATGGTTATAGGTATTGACTTATATTTGTTATTTTGAAACTGCATAGATATTGATCCCGAACAAGTAATAACTTACCGAATCTCTCAATAGTTTTTAGGTTTTGAAGTATTTCTGGAAGTTGCTGATTGGACTTTGTACCTATAGCTACATAATGTAGTCAAACAAAATAGTCTCTGCTAAGACTTTTTCTTTTTTCACTTTAATGGTTATTTTATCATCACTGGATACTAAATTTGTTTGTATATTCATGAAAAGTTGTTTTTGTTGTACTTCAACTTTAGAAAATCATTAAGTGCGCTATTCCTTTTGCTCATTGGAGTGACAAGGATTGGTGCTTTGTAGTACTAAAACGCTCAACTTTGAATGCTGTTATGCCCTGATTCTGGTTTTGATACTATTCTTTGTGCTTCCCTTAACAGTGTTCTGCATATTCTGCTAGTCCTTCATCTGAGACTACATGGACTATGCGTGCCACCTTCCCAGAGTATGTCGTTGCTCTAGCAACAATAGCTGGATCTGTGCTTTTCACGGTACTGCCTTTCCAGACATGACCTGTTTTAGTTCCTTTTAAGATGGAAATGATATCTGATGATTTCCAACAACAACCTAGAGAAAGGCGTTGAGTGTTTGAATTGGGATGGCTATCTCTGTGTTTTTTCCCTTCTCTTATTTCATGCTTGATATATATGCAACAGATTTTTGGCGGGGTTGGCATTGCCTGCCTTCCACTAGGACTCATTTTCTCATTTATCAGACGTCCAAAGGCTGTTATAACGCGCTCACAGTATATCAAGGTATCATCTTTTTTGACTAGAATTGACTGGTTTTGATGTCTATAGATTCTTGTGACATGGTTTTGGACTTTTATGTCACGTAGGAAGCAACTGAACTAGGAAAGAAGGCCAGAGAATTGAAGAAGGCTGCTGATGCACTTCATCAGGAAGAAAGGAGTGGTGGTAAGGGAAGAAAATGGCGTAAAAATGTCAAGGCAGTAGAAAAGGTATGACGTCTATTTATAATTTCTCCTTTTGTCTTTTTTCCCCCCTGCTTGTCTTGCTAGAATTTACTCTAATATTTATTTTAGTTTTTTATTTTTAGTAGTGATTATTTGATTTGAGATTGAGTAATCATTTTGTGCCCATAAACTGCTTATATGCAGTGGTCTTGGTGTACAACATACACGATGGTTTTTGATTTTTTTGGGTTAAGTAGTTTCAATTCTTCTTTTCTGCAAAATTCTTTATGATAATCATGTGCTGTGATGTTAATTGGTTACCAACCTTTTGATGGACATCATATGGAATAAACATGTTCATTGGACATTCATGGTATTCCATCTTTTCTTTAGCAAATTATCATTTCTTGTATATATGCAACTATGCTGTTTCTTTGATGTCTTATAGACCCAATTTCCTTTTCTGTTTCCCTGCTGTGAGATTTCGTTGGATATTTAATGTTGTTTTGCCTAGATTTGCATGAGCACTTCTGTGTTTGACTTGTAGCTTTCACTGAGTATATGGTTCCCCTTGCTCATTTCTTCAGGAATTACTGCTTCTGGAAGAGGATGTGAAGGCTCTAGAGGAGATGTACCCTCAAGGTGAAAAGGTGATTAATCAAATAGCAGTAAATTGGTTAAAGACCTGTATGTCAGCACAAGGATATTGAACTAGTTCTCGTTAGCTTCTTTTGTGGACATAAATGTCTTATTGAATATTTACAGGCCGAGGCTGCTTGGGCCATGACTGTGCTTGGTTACTTGGCTAAATTGGTCTTAGGAGTTATAGGGTATGCCATACTCTCTACTCTTGATCCGTGATACATATTGAAATTGGTGCTTATTTTGGTTGTACTGCTGTACCTCCACACCTCTGTATGAATTATTCTTTTATGTGCCTTTTTATGTTCAGCATATTTCTTAAAATTGTTTTCTTGGCTTGCTTCTGCAGGTTGCTTGTTTCAATTGCCTGGGTTGCACATATTGTCATTTATCTGTTGATTGATCCTCCACTTTCTCCATTTTTGAATGAAGTTTTCATCAAATTGGATGACGTTTGGGGTAGGTTTGAAAACTCTACATGTACTTCTGTATTTCCATCTTGTTAATTAGCTATAATAGTAGTGTGCTTTCCTGTATGTTTTTTCTCCAGGTCTTTTGGGTACTGCAGCATTTGCTTTCTTCTGCTTCTATCTCTTACTTGCTGTTATTGCTGGGGCCACGATGGTTGGCATGAGATTGGTTTTCATTGCAATTCATCCAATGAAGTAACTATCTTATGCTTAAAAAACTTTTATTATTAAAGTTTGTGACCTATCCGCTCACTTTTCCATCTCTCTCATATTTGTGTTGGACTTTTCCAGGTGGGGAGCTACTCTCATGAACTCTTTCCTTTTCAATGTTGGTCTCATCCTCCTTTGCTCCATCAGGTTAGTGCTTAGTTCTTCCTGTTGGCCCCAATATACCTGAAGAAGCCTAACGTTGAGCATTTCCTGGAGTTGTCTTACACATCCATTGTTTTAAATTTTTCCTTTGTCATGGTTATAACAAGTTTTACAAATGATTTTTTGCAGTGTGATTCAATTTTGTTCCACTGCATTTGCATACTACGCTCAAGCTACAGCAGCTCAAGAAATATTTGGTCACACTTTGCAGTCGCTTCGGGGAATCAAATACTTATACAAGTTGGTTCCATTTGTTATCTAATTTAAGCCATCAACAAAGTTTTGAATGTTGTTTTTGTGGTCGTGTAAGTTATTAAGTTAATAATATTTGGGTGGTTGCAGGTACAATGTGTTTCAAATCGCATTCATTGTTCTAGCTGGGTTGACATTTGTGTACTATGCTGCTTTTGTAAGTTTTTTCTGCTCCTGGAATGCTTTTGTGTGGATCTTGCTGTGCCTTGAAAAACTAATTTGGATGCTCATGTATTGTACAGGGTTGGAGAAGAAGGAAACCCAGCGGCAGATTCCAGCTGTCCTCTTAGTACGTATGTTGTCCTGGACAGCATAATCCTGTAAAAGGTTCCCATCGAGGTGGATTTCGAGCTTTTACATTGATTTTCAGATGTGCGAGCTCTGTTCTGTTTTACCGTTCTTCTCCTGAGCATGCACACGAGGATCATACATGTTTAAAATCTATTGCTAGGACAGAAAAGGTGTTGCATGTGATGTTTAATTATTACCCTGCCTCCACTGTTGCTGCTACGACTGGTTTTCCACCTTTTTGTATGTATTATTTGTTTGTTCGAGTTAATACTGGATTGGTTCTGTACTGAACTGTAGAGGGCGGGTTTTTACTTATATTTGATGTATAATATTGACAAAGGGAACAAAAGATTGTTGATACTGAGCTGACCCGTACTACTTGTATTTACTTTTTAATCTTTGTTTTCCAGTTTCCACTACAGCTTACAAGATTGATTGATTGGTAACTCTGTAAAGCTGCAAACTCTGTATTTTTCCTTTTAATTTTGGTTTGCGTTTGTTTTTGGAGCCATTTCTACTGTATTTCATGGTAAGTTGGCTGTAATGCCGATTGTAAGGGGACAGATGAAATATTGGGAATATTACAGAAACAACTGGCATGAAATTTTGATAAACAGAGAATCCCTCTTACCATGTACTGGCAGGAACTTGATTAAGATAAGAAATTATGGGCAGAACTCAAACTCGAAGCTAAAATATATACTTTCAACATTAATTTAATATTTTTAAATTTGAATTAGATCAATAAGCAAGGCGAAAAGCATTGTCCATGCGAATATTATGGCTAGTCCCAAGCGGTCTCCCAGTGCAGATTCGCATCGGAGAAATTTGTGGTTTTACCATCAGCACTAACCACATCAAAGGTTGAATCATCAGAGAATTCAGTTGGCAATGACCTCCAATGCAGACATGGTTCCCACTCAGCCTCTTTGAGAACTTTGAGTATTTCCTTCACCACAATCTTGCTTGCTTCGGCCGTGAAATGAATTCCATCCCTATCAAAAAAGGAATAAAGAAATTTAAAACAAAAATAAGGATGGTACGGCTATTCAATCAAAATGTCCCAAGATCTCACAGAAGTTTTCTTACACAACAACGCAACGCAAACAGGTTTCATTACGTATACTTAAAACACCTTGAGGCATTGTTTGATGAAAAACATTATTGGCGAAAGGGATGCAGCACATATTCAAAAGTTAGAACACACTTACGTGAAGCAAACATCCAACCAATCACCACGCCGTTGGAGTGCAGTCCACATATCAACGACCTTAACATCCAACTCTCGACACAGCTTTTTGCAAGCTTCTGAATAGATTCGGCAAGATTCATTTGTCCGACCGAGAACATCAAGTGTTCCACTAGCAAAAAACAACTTCTTGTTGAGATAACCAATGTACTTTTCATTTTCATCACAATTTACTCACACACACACACATTTCATTTTACCCGAAAACTTCACAAATCTGTGCCTCATTCACCGGTGGAGCACTAAGGAAGAGTAGCCGAGTTTTGTCCGAAAGGGACTGCCAGAGGAAGATCACATAAAAATCATTACATTCAACACCAAAAACAGTCTAATCACTCAAAATCACAGAAGCAAGGATGTGTGGTGGTGGTTAAGAAGCTCTTTTCAATGGAAAAATTACAAGAATGAAGCTATTTTACCCTGATGTGAAGGGCGACCTTCCTCATGTTCTCCACATATTCAGCAAGAGGAACATGAGGACCTTGCCCTGTTGGGTGAGGCTTCATTGAATCATTACCACCAAAATAAACAATGACCAGCGAAGGCTGCACTGCTGCATCCTGCAAAGACAGTAAAAGCCAACAATGTACCTAAACTGGGGAATATATCAATTCACTTGCTCAAACATTACAGAAAAAATAAGACAGCCAAATAAAAGAGGCCCCCAAGGAAAAGGAAAGCTTCAAGCTACTTGGTGAATTAACAATTGATTATATGGCAAGATCCTTTTCTCATATTCCCCACGCACATATTTTACATTTCAGAACCAAAACGCCTAGATATACCTTAGGGAAAACTCTGTCTAGGACTTGAAGAGCTCGTCTTGAATTCCAACCAGCATATCCTCGCAACACTATATCAGCCTGGCCAAAAAGCACACACTTTTGACTCACATACACACAGAAAAAACATGCTCCCTTCCCAAAATTATTGTCCAGTTTGAGATTTCACTTTAGTACAATTTGAACTAGAAATGAAAACCTAAACTGGATAATGATTATGGGAAGGAGAGAGTACATAAATCAAAAATCTTAAGTGAATCCCACAAAACCCTTATTCACAATTTTGCAAATTTATTTTCCATTCTCAGTATTTCTCAAATTATAACTAATCAACTTCGAGTATTGCTGGGCACAAGCGAGAAAAGTACAAGAAAAAGACGAACCCATATATACAAAAGAAAAGAAGAGAAAGGGAGAAAGAAAGAGTTGAGACTGAAGAGAGGAGAAAAAAAGGAGGGTCACCTTGCGGGCATAGATGTCAGAGAGGATTGCAGCCCAGCCTTGATGGCTGTACCCGTATTGCACAATGGAGGATCCAAATAGAACAAATTGCGGGCGTTCGGGTCCTACCATTTTCTCTGTTTATCTCAGTACCTGCAAGGCTGCAACAACACCTGATTTAATGGTGATTAGTACTACTATTAACTCATTACTAGTTTGTATCGCTGGCTTCATTTCTGTTTGTTTGTTTGTCTTTTTAATTAGATTCCAAAAGACATGTACACAACTACTAGTGAAAGTCTACCGCTACAAGGGCTTGCAAATAATATAAAAATATTCACAATAAACTGAATTTATACCGTACATTTTCTGATTTATTAGTAGCAACAATTATCTTGAGACGAAAATAAAAAAATAAAAAAATAAAGTAATCAAAGCATCATTGTAAGATAGTACTTCCTCCCTCTCATAATTATTGTTCAATTTTGAATTTTTATTTTTAATTCAAATCATACTAGAAGTGAAATCTCAAATTATATAATAATTTTGGGACGGAAGGAGTACTATTTTTTCCTCATAACCATTATGGCGGTGTTCTTTCTCATTGATGATTCAATAAAGTGATGAACTTTTGTTTAATTTTTTTTTTTTAATATACGGAGTAGTTTTGATCTTGGCTTTAAAGAAGGGAAAGGGAAAAAATATACAGTTTATATACTACTAATAAAGAAGTTTTTCTTTTTTTTTTTTTTTCAAAAAGCAATAAAAGGCCCAAAAGGAGTGGGCTGACTAGCCTGTTATCACTTTAACCCAGCCCACCGATTCCAGCAAAGTAGCGCGGAGAAGAAGCAATTTCTCTCTGGGACTCAGTAGCCGAAGACGGCGGCGGGAATGGACACAGCTCTATTTTCTCCGGCTTCCCTCTTTGCCGATGCCGATTCCTCAGGTTATCTTCTTTTCTCCCTCTCTCTCTCTCTCTCTATTCCGTTCCCTGTTTTCTTACAGCCCTTTTAAATGTTGTGTTAGTTCGATTATGCTTCATTTATTTCCTTCCCTTTTTTTTGGCTGAATGTTTATGTGATAATTGATGGATTACATTACTTAGCAGATGAGGAAAAGGAAAACAGCGACAGCTCTCACAGTTTTGTTGAAAGAAAGCACCAATTCCCCGACATGGTGAGGAAAATATTGCAAAAATTTCGTCAAGATGGAAAAACACCTTTTTATAGCATATTCTTGGTAGTTACAAGTTTTAACCCTTTGTGTTGGGGTACTTGGGTCTCTAACTCGTTGTTTATTTTGTCTGTCTGCAGGAACTGGTCATTCGGGAATTTTCATTTCATGAGCTGAATGCTAATTTGTTATGGCCCGGTACATTTGCCTTTGCTGAATGGTTAGTTCAACATAGATCATGGGTGGAAGGAAGACGCATAATTGAGTTGGGAAGGTATTTTTCTATCTGTGTGGCTGGTTTTAGTTTCATTTTAGTTTGAATAACTTGGATACCATATGATAGTTGGATTTTGATTGTAGATTTATAAATTAAGTCGAACGAAAGTGACTAAACTAAGGGACATTTTGGCTTAATATATTTTTAAGGGGTGATAAATGATGTTATAGTGAATAGAAGCTCAGTATGTGTAAGTTTTGGCTTATTAACAATTGATCCAGGAGATTTTAGATTGCTGTACCTTGATCATGCTGTAAAAGTTGGTGTCTGATCATTGTATTAAAGGAAACTCCTCAGATGACTTCAGCACATCATGTAAACCTAAACTTTGGGGAAAGGAATCTATTAAAAGTGAGCTGCTGCACACGGTTCCACTTTTTGTTGTATGATTATGATGTTGCTGAAAATACAGACTAACTTATTTATGCTTTAAGTTATCTGGCTGAGAGTTATATCGAGTTGTAAAACTTTGTACTTAGTGAAGTTAGTTTTCTTGTGGAGTGGAATTTTCGCTGAAGTATGCTATTGTTAGTTCTATCTCAGTGGTACAGGTGCATTGGCTATATTTTTATATAAATCGTATAAGCTGGACATTACAACATCTGATTACGATGATCCAGATATTGAAGAAAACATATGCCATAATTGTCAGTTTAATGGGATTACACCAGTTCTTCCTCACATAAAGCGTGAGTCCTTTTACCTCGTGTGGCTTGTTTATTGTCCTTTTAAGTTACAACAATCACATTATCCTTTGAAGTATGTCCTTGACCATATGTGATTCCTTACAAATCAATTTTACCATTACCAAACAACAGATTCGTGGGGAGATGTTTTTCCGATTCAGTGTCCGGACTGGGACCTGATTATTGCCAGTGATATATTGTTGTGTAAGTGCCTCATATTTTGAACCTCATTTTTTAGTCTAGGCAACTGATTCTTTCTGTTAAATCATGTACTCTCTTTGTCCAAAGTAGTTCTCTATATTGAGTTTTGAGATTTGCACAATACAACTTTCAAAACTCAATGTGAGGTGGACTATTTTTTTTGGGACATATGTGGTATTTCCTTGCTGCTTCACATTTCTGCCTGCTTGTTTCTTGTAGATGTGAAGCAATACCCGAACTTAATAAAAACCCTGTCCTTTCTTCTGAAATCTTACAAGCCGCGAACTGGAGAGGCAGCTCCTCATAGTACTCAATCAAATGGTACATCTCATTCTTGTATATTAATAGTTTGTCTTAGAAAGTAATAACTTAAATGCAATTCTGTAATGTGCGCCTCAGATACATGTCCGTTGCCACAGCCTGCATTTTTAATGAGCTGGAGACGTAGGATAGGGAAGGAGGATGAGTCCCTCTTTTTTGATGGATGTGAAAAAGCTGGTCTTGAAGTCCAACATTTAGGATCTCGTGTATTCTGTATTGTTCCCAAAGATATAAAATAGTGATTCGTTGCAAAAATGAAACCTAAGAAGCTGATGTTTACCTAAAAGCTTCTCTTTTATTAGACCCATCAAAGCTGATGGTTTTCGTGTTGGGTTTTGGTTGATCAAGCATAGGCTAAGTCTTCAATGTGAACATTATTATAAATCTAATTCATCAGATGGTCCCATGACAAAATCAGGAGCTTTAGGATGACAAGAAAGAGGGTGTTTTCCACCTTTTTTTTTTTTGTTTTTTTGGCATCGGATGCAAGGACCCGAGGTAAGGGGGCTGATATTTTTCTTAGGATTCGTTGTTTTCTCGCAATCCTGATGATTAACATGAGATAATGTCTTGTTCAATCAGTGAGAAGTTTCTTTACTGATCAAGGTCTGTTATAGTTCTCCAACCTGAATAGTAGAGAGATAATTGCGCAACATATACTTAAAATCATTTAAACAAACCGAGCCACTCGTAAGTTAGTCGATCGACTTAGCTTGAGCTCGCGCGCACTCCCGCAATCATTTGTGATGAAAAGTTCGAGTTATACGCATTTTTTAACTGATTTGTGCTGAAAAAAGTTTGATGGTTACTCTATTGTAAACTCATAGTCTTGATATCAAATACTATTTTTGAAAATGATCAATCTAAATTTTCAACTCAATTATTAGTTCTCAATGCAGGCCTGAGCAATCTTTTGTAGCTATGTGTCACATGTCAGCACCTGCAAAACTCAGAAACGATATCGTCAGAGGGTAACCGTATTGGATCGTCTTTACACTCCGTAACCCTTCGTTTTGGTATCATCTCAATAAAGCTGATGTTAAACTCCGTGACCACCATTTTTTTTTTTTGGTAAATCACAACTCAAAATCCAATCAAAGATTCGTCATCGATCGCGCATGCATGTTCTTCAGCTACCGTTTGATGGTTTTAAACCCGTGAACTTCTGTTCTTCTGATATCTATCAACCAGGTCGTGCACGTGACAGGAAAAATTCGTGCCCAAAATAGTAAATAAAACTTGCCCATTTCATTTAATTATCGACTAGTACATGACCTTTTAGTTTAACAAAGTAAACTGTTAAGATGATAAATTTACATATCATTACAGGTTTCAATGTAGCTAGTGATAAATTTACATATCAGATTGGCATTGCTTTATGGATTTGAGAAGCAGAAGGAGTTTTATTGCTTTCACAGAAGTCTAAATGGAGTCTACTTCAAATACTTCCCAAGCAAGCTGCTGACGGCCAACTTCTATAAGAAGTCCGAGAATATCATCAACACACACCTCAAATCATCAAATCATCAGTCTTTTATTTTCTTTCTTCTTTTAGTCTTTTACTTCATATATTTTATGTTCTTTTCTAAATGTAACCTAACATAAATATGTGTTTGCCTATTTTTCTTTATAAAAATAGATATTAGTTCATGGATTCTACTTCAGTGAATTCGGTTTTTCTCTATAATAGTGTTCCATCGATAGACATTCCCTGTCGCAGATAGGCAATCCCTGTCGACGCTACTATCTTTCTGGTTTGTGTCATAGCGTGTCATCGACTACATCTAGTCGGCGCTAATATCTTTTTTTCTTTTCCATGTAATAGTGCGTTATCGGCACTACTTATAGTTTGCCGGCGCTAGGATTTTTTCCTACTATTAAAAATTAATGCCATTAAACTCGTTTCCCCCCTATCTTCTTTATTTTTTTTTCTCTTTATTTACAAACCAAAGAGAACATAAATCCTCGATTCTAGGTCCGAGATCGGTTTTTGAACTCATCCACAATCACTTGATTTTATATGTTTTAGAGAGATTTACCCTTTTCTTCCCACGGTTTAGGGTGATTTTTTCGGCACAAACATTATCATGTCAGAAACGACTATCTAGTTTACTAACTAAAATACCACAAAGCTACATAGCTAATAATATATTCAGACGTCAACATCTTTTGGTAGTATTGAGCTCGAATCAAACAAAACAGTACGTACTCCCTTCTCATGAGTACCTCAGCTAGTTGTTGGGTACCGTTTTGCGGGTCAAATAGAAACATTAGTATATGATCATGAATCAAATGAATCCATCAGAGGGATCGAAGAGGCACTAAATTGTGTCAATTTGGCTTCTTCATCTGATAACCTTTATCATCTTCGGGGGAAGAAGTTTCCAGGAAATTGGGTATTATACTATTATGCTGATATAGGGAGCTAGATATCAAACAGGTTGAGCCCCACGACGTCTTTGTTTTTTAGAGGGTCATCAACAATTCACAATTCACATGCATTGCTGCAATATTGCCGATTTCCTCATGCTTCCACATCGGGTTGGAATTTGGATCCATTCATAGTTTCATACAGGCTTATCAAATGCGCCAGTTCCCAAATTCTTACCATATTTGATCTCTTCTTAATTCTTATAAGCACATATGAGAAAGCCTATTAAACAATATTCTCTACGTCCTAAAAAAATATATCATATTATCAATTAAAAATTATATTAGCGTAACGTGCCACAACTATATATACAATCCCAAGGCATGCTCCCCCTTTCTCTAGGCGATGGATTCGAATATTGTAGCATTTTTTTTTATTTTGTACCTCCCACAAAGTATATCAATTAAGTTTACAATTAGGCATGAAAATGCCATTTAGACACTACTAATACTCCCATCCATCGTTTTTAAAGGAAACTTCCGGGAAGCATAGAAGACGGTAGAGGTCCCGTCCAGAACACTTGCGAATATGTATGAGTCTATGAGATATCATCCTCCTAATAATAAGATACGACGAAGGATACTATCAAAATGCACGTCAATCTACTTCTGACACTTACCGGTCTACATATATATACAAAATGACGCATTAAACTACATACAGACAATATTCGTTTGCATATTTACCTAAAATATCATTTGTATTTTTTCCGCAAAACTACCAAAAATAATTACACGCACTCACACACATCAATTATTTTGTTTGGTGAAAAATGCCGAACATGGGATGGGGGTGTGGTAATACTGTGTCATTCAAGCTCGATCATGACAAACCAGCAATTAATTTACACTGCAGGTATCTATCCTATATATCGTTTTGCACACTTTTTTTTTCCCCTTTAATTAACTGAAAAATACTACATTTGCTTTCATAAATTATAAGCATATTTACAAACTCACATTCATCCATGTCGGACAATGGAACATGAAGTCATTTCTTTCTTTCATTCATTTAACAAACTCACATTTCTTGGATTTTTTTTTTTAATTTTTTTTGGGCAAAAAGAGTTCTATGTTATGATAGTAGCTAGGGAAGCGGACTGCGATTTTACAAAAACATATAAAAACATTTTCAAATAAGGTACAATCATTTTGGGACAGAAATACTACAAATATACAACTTGAGGAAAACTTTGACCTCCTCTCTCCTTTTTCCTGGCAGGGATAAGATACGTAACAAACTACAGCTAGCACAAATGTCTTTCAATTATGTGGCGCAAAATCCACCTGAAAAAAAGAAAGAAGAAGAAGAGAGTGTTCTAATACGAACTGGTGGACACAAAAACCATTTAACTACGTACGTCTGCTTATTCAAAGTTGAACGACATATGTAGCAGAATAGGAAAATGAAAAATACCTAAAATCAGATGGACCACGTATATAAGCATGAAAAGAAAAGAAAATCTAAAAGTAGGTACAAATGTAGTAGTATTAGATATACTGGTGAGTTTGAAATGCAGGTAATTAAAACTCCATCGGGGGAAAATATCCTTAACTAAACAAAAGCATAAACCCGATAAGGATTTCCAAGGCTTTTCAGGTAGGAAGAGGTTGGGTGAGACTAAGATGGGTAACTAACTGATCAGAGGAATTCAATGGCTACGTAATGTATAAAAAAAAAAGGGTTTTGCTCTATCTGCTGAAGTCCTAGGTTTCACCACCTTCTTTTCTTTCTTGTGGAACATTTATTTATACTGAGATGACGCGTTAACTTATTAGATATACAGTGCTTCACGGGAGAAAAAAAAAAAAAAGAAGACAAATTCTTCTCTTCTTAAAATTTCAGTTCAGGTTATCCATCACGAGCAAGGGTATAAAGTAAACACGTACATATTTGGTGATACTTGAAGTTTTATTTAAAGATGCATGGTAGACTCGGTTGTCACAAACAACACAACTTATAAAGTTTTTTTTTTTTTTTTAATCCCATCTTGTGGTACTCGATTGTCACATGCATGGATCAAACACAAATTCCTTCACTCTACTTATTATAAATGGATTTTAAAATCAGAAATTAACTCCATACTACCTTATAGTACTAGGTTTTAAAATAGAAAAGTAGGTACAAGAATACCGCGGGTCAACAATTATACAACCTGAAAGCGAAAAATTTATATTAAACACCTGAAATTATTACAAATAACATGAAGATCGTGTAATTAATAATATTCTTATATATATATATATATTCCCATGCATGGGCGAAGAATTCAGATTCGGGGATTAATCGATGCTTGCTAAAATTAGATGTCAAATACTACAATTATTTGGATGGGAAGCGATGATGCGTGTAAGAATGAAGAACTCATCTCTGGGATGTGTGTGTCATTTTGTTGGATTGTTAATGTGTAATAATCTGGCTGCTGGTGGTGGTGATGATAAGGATTTTGAAGATACATATCTTGAGATCACTTGAGCATGTTCGGTGGTGCAAGTCGATTTGCCCCAGTACTGTCATCTTCTTGGTTTCTTTCGCCATATAATATTATATAATAGTAGTACTATATATAACTAAGCTACCGGTTAAGGAAATGAAACTTCGTCGAAGTTGCGCAGCCCTGATCGGTACAGATGACCGTACCCCGGGCCCCCTCTCTGTTATGATACGTACTGCCTGCCCGTACGTGTGTACTTTGTCGTCTCCCAAACGCCGCAATCATTCATTCGTGTCTAACATTATTACCCTGGAAACTGATATATGGATACTAATTTGATCTTTAACCAACTAGAAAAAAAAATTAACAATCCCTAATTTAATTATTGTTTTCATTCCCTGCCCCCCGGGGGGGATTTTAATTGAAATACTAATATGTTAGCAAAAGATGGTGTTTAACAATGGAGCAAATTCAACTTTGAAGCTAGGCATATGTCATGATTTTAGCTTTTTTCCTTGAGAGCTAGGGCAAGAAGAGAGAGAGAGAGAGAGAGAGAGAGAGAGAGAGAGAGAGAGAGAGAGAGAGAGAGAGAGAAAGGGTTGATTAAAGAAGGCTTTTAGTCTTTGTGCCCTTTTGCTGCATTTATTATAATATAGTAAGTACATTTGGAGTACGTACGAGGTGGACTTCTAAATTCATTCACTACTGCTATACACCCATGGAGTACTACTCCGATTGAACTTTGACTTCCTTTGACGAATTCATGAAAACTCCAATGAGTTTTTGACAGATCCTCTCACCAAAACAGAAAAATATAAAGGGATACATGACATAAACTACGAGGACCTAATTACATACGATATAGTAATTGTCATTTCTATTTCTATATTGTGTAAAACGATTAAAAGGACTTTAATTTGTTGTGATTTGTTACTAGCTACTATAGTATATTCATATGTTGTGTCTGTAAGGCATATGTATATGTATATATATATATATATATATATATATATATATCCTAGTAATAGTAGTAGTAGTTTATAGATAAGAAGAAGATAACTTAATCCATCTAAGACTGTCACACATTGAATACTGAAATTCTTATCCAGCTAGACGTTTAAAAAAAAAAAAATCACGGGAGAAGAATTATACATGTATAGCACAACCGCACAACTACAAAGCTGATTCCCACAAATGATTGCTCATCAATATATATATAAATATAAATAAAGTAACTTATTCAAGTAGACGAGTAACATTAAACACCATTAAAAGCGTGGATATTGCATTCTATATTATACAGTATATTTTATAAACAAATTAAAACACAATCATTAGAAGAAAGAAAGAAGATGGTAACAAAATAGAGAAGGTGAGAGGAAGCTTCCTCTGGGAGAGATTTTAAGGCTCGAATCTCATTATTTAAATACAGCAGCGCAGCACAGAATCCAATGTACATCAGGAATCAGCCCTAGCTCCAAAAAAAAAAAAAACCCTCCAATTAGTCCATTTTCCAGACCTACAAATCAATCAGAGTCCTTATATCCTTTGGTTTTTTGTTTTGTTCTTTCCGTGTACCAGATTGAATTAAACAATTTGTTTTTAATTAATTAATTTGTACACCGTAGCATCATCAAACAATGGCATCCAACAACAACGTTGTGGAACCTTGGATGCTAGAGAATGGGAATGCAAAGTGTTTGACTAAGGAGATGAGACATGGAAGTGGCGGCCACCACCACCACCATCACCACGGCCGAACTGCCCACAACATGTCCTCATCTTCTCTCCGCAAGAAATCCGACATTTCCCTCGTCTCTAAAGTCAGATACCCTTGTCTCAGGGACTTTTTGGCCAATCTTCAGGAGATCTTTCTGGGCACCAAGCTTTCCGTCCTCTTTCTCGCTATCCCTTTTGCTATCCTCGCTGATTACCGCCAATTCGGCAGCGTAAGCCCACTTTCCCCTCCCCCAAAACTCCACACACACACACACAATCTTATATATATATATATAGTATTGATTCATGTCTGATTAATTTTGTTTTGGCATCGATTTAATTTTCATGATGGCAGCCATGGGTGTTTGGTTTGAGTTTATTGGGTCTCACGCCTTTGGCTGAACGTGTTAGCTTCTTGACCGAGTAAGTTATTTAAATCTTGGATAATTAATTCTAGACTTTGACGACATTCTAGTTCTAGAGTTATGTATATTATTTATTTGTTTGATTTTTGTTTTAAAAAATATTGCAGACAAATCGCCATGTTCACAGGACCAACAGGTACATATGATTTATCCCTCAATTATTGTTTGTTGAGATTGATTATTTAATTGTGAAGATTTTATACCTTTCATCATATACATTAATTAATTGACTAATAAATAATTAAATCTTTGTTGGGGTTGGATTCAGTTGGAGGGCTGTTGAATGCAACATGCGGGAATGCTACGGAGCTGATTATAGCAATATTTGCATTGCTTCAACACAAGGTGGATGTGGTGAAGTACTCCCTTTTGGGTTCTGTACTCTCCAACCTCCTCCTCGTTCTCGGCACTTCTCTCTTCTGCGGTGGCCTTGCCAACTTAAACAAGGAGCAGAAATTCGACCGGGTTCGTGATTTATTATTAATTAAGTACTACATTATTTATGTATGTATCACCCCTTATTAGTGTTTTGATTGATTTGTATACTGAATTGATGTGAATGTTGGGGGAACCAGAAACAAGCTGATGTGAACTCGTTGCTGTTGCTGCTGGGATTGCTATGCCACCTGCTGCCCTTGATGTTCCGAATGGCGGCCCCGGCGCAGGCCGATTCCGTCGTAACCTCCCAGGCCACACTTCAGCTGTCAAGAGTCAGTTGCATTTTCATGCTCGTCGCCTACATCGCCTACCTTGTGTTCCAGTTGTGGACTCATCGACAGTTGTTTGAGACACAAGAGGTATATTTAACATATGTTAACACAACATTTTTATAGATCCATTACATTTTAGTTTTACACACATAAAATTCATCCCTCCTCCTCTGATGATGGTGGCGGATGGATGATTGTATAATTAGGAGGAAAATGAAGAGGGTGCGGCAGCAGAAGAGGAAACACCAGTGATTGGATTCTGGAGTGGGATTGTTTGGTTGGCTGGCATGACTGCCGTCATTGCTCTTCTCTCCGAGTTTGTTGTTGGCACCATTCAGGTTAACTCACTCACTAATTATTAGTTTACCTACTCAGTTCTACTAGTAATAATCATTTTTTTAAATTAACCAAGCCATTATTACCTACTGAATGACTATGCTCTCAAACAGGACGCTTCCGACACCTGGGGATTGTCCGTCAGCTTCATCAGTCTGATCTTGCTGCCAATTGTCGGAAATGCAGCTGAGCACGCCGGAGCCATCATTTTTGCTTTCAAGAATAAGCTGGTCAGTCTTATTTGGCGCATTTTATCAAAGGGTCTGATTTTCACATCCTTTTTCACTTTCATTGCTAACTATTTTCTACAACGAATATCTGCAGGATATATCTTTGGGGGTAGCCTTGGGTTCAGCAGCTCAGATTTCCATGTTTGTGGTAAGTCATCAAATATGTACTATACAGTCCATACAGATACAAGCATTTTAAATTCACAATTTAGATTTTCAGGTTATAATAACATAATAAATCTATAAAAATATGAAATGAGATGATGTGAATGTGACTCGTTCTAATAATTGATAAATGTTTGTTGACATTATGCCTTTCGTCATGAAATTGTGTATTAAATGTAGCACATATACAACACTTGGCAACTTTATGTGAATATACATAGGATACCTAAATCATTTGCGTCGAAATTTCAGGTGCCACTGTGTGTGATTGTGGCTTGGATCCTGAATATCGACATGAATCTTGACTTCAATCTCCTCGAAACCGGCTGCCTTGCTCTATCAATCCTTATCACAGCCTTCGCTTTGCAGGTAATTTTATAACTAAGGGTGCATTCTTTTTGACTTTTTTGTTGCAAAACCCACAACTTGATTGTGAGATTATATTTTCATCCTTGTAGCCTGTACTACTGTATAAGATAAATCTAATAAATAATTAATTAATGTTTTGTCTGTTAACAGGATGGAACGTCACACTACATGAAAGGACTAGTACTCCTCTTATGCTACGTGGTTATTGGAGCTTGCTTCTTTGTTTCCAGAACGCCACTTAGTAAGTAGCTAGCGTACCTAAATATATACTACAACGTTGATGCCTATATACTACTTAATAGGTTTATCAATTGCATCAACTGTTCGTACATGGATTGTAAAATTTACTGTGATTTTTTACTGAACCACAGACCAAAACCACGACCAAGCAGATATTGTCAACTTAGGTTTCAAATCATCTGCCCAAGGGTACTCAACACTTTGAATGATCAGGTAGGACATTTGTTGGCTTAGGTGACTACTGTACCTAGTTTTGTCTCTTTTCTTTTTAGCTAGGGAGTCTTTCTTCAACTTTACTGAACTCCTGGTATGAATTTTTGCCACAGGCCTTTCTCCATTTATTCGGGGGGAAGTATTGATGATATAAACAACATCAATTTCGCAAGATCAAGACGCATCCATTTGTTGATTCTTTGATCTGGGTTGATTTCCAAGCCGCATGGCAAGGAGAATCAAGTGTGATAATGCTGCATTGTTGGGGAAGAGAGGGAGGGGGGGGGGGGACCGACAACATGAATTTGCCCATGAATTTATTTGATGATTGGGTGTATTTCTCTATACGTGTGGGGGTATTTCTATACGAACGAGTGTGATTTAATTAATTAAGTTTTGTGTGTGTATGTATAATCCAATTGTGGTTACATATACCATTAGTGTCTCTTTTTTGTTCTCCAGTCCAGCGTCCTGGGAATCAAGGTTTTGCTTCCAATTAAAAAGAATTTCCGCTTTTTTATATCAAGGTCTAAGCTAGCTTCTGGTTTTAGAATATATCTCCTTGTACTATTTACTACTATTACTACTACTGCTGCTACTGTAAGCAATAGCAATAAGTACTTATTGGAGATTTCTCCAACATTTTCATTTTGATACTCTTTTGTGTGCTATTGGTACTACTTTTACTGAAGCTAGCCGGAGTAGTTGTAAGTTTTAGGTTATTATTCTATCTATCTAACTATTAATGGCAACCACCAATATTACAGCACGACCAAAAAAGGAAAAAAAAAAAAAAGGAAAATTCAGCAGTGCAAAGAACTTTAATGTTATTTCTAAGTTAACTCGAACAATTGATTAATGATCTCTATCCACTTGAAAGAATGGCTTCGGATCTGTTGCTGCAATCCATAAGAAAGAATGATTAGATAGACTCCGCCTCCAAGGCTATAACTAGCATGGGATCCACATTGAGGGTGGAAAATTAAGGTAGACTATAAATGCATATATGATATAGGCTAAGTTGATCAATACGGAATTTGCTGAGGCGGTATTGAAATCTGCATATCAATATCCGTATATCGAGAGTCTTAAGTTGTCGTACATTATTTGGCATCAAAAGCTCTAACATATCGTTATAATCAGGGGCGGAGCCAAGCCCCAAACATATAGTAAAGCAAGATTTTCAAAATTTGTAATTTAATATGTTTGCCCGTTGATATTTTCAATTTAGGTGGGGCAAAAACTATAGCTCTATTTGGACAAATCTTTTGAAAATTTATTAAAAAAAGTCTGTTTGAACCAAAACTTTAAAAAGTACTTTTTAGAAAATAATGCATTTGGACATTTAGTAATTAAAATATTAAAAAGTCATTTGGACTAGGTCTTTTTCAAAATTACTTTTTCTTCAAAATAATTTTTGAACTTTTTTTTAAAAAAATAAAATCATTCTTATACAAATTGTCATTTTAATTTTTTTCCACTTTTTTTTCCTAAATTTTTGTTTTATTATTCGCAATTGTCTTGTTCCAAAATTTTCTTTTTCACACTTTATCTTCCAACATAAATCAAAATAAGAGTATAATTTTAAAATTCTGACTAAATTAAAGCATAATATTAAAACTATTCCAACTTATGAAATGCATAATAAGTTTGGAATATTATTATCGAGAGATTTTTAAACGTCCAACCTCATAGATTTCCATATTCTCATTTAAACAGATCACTGCCAAATACCCGTCTGCTCACATAGACTTTCTCCTGTATCATCAAACTAAAAAAAGGGATCATTCCTCTACGTGGATTGTCCTTAGACCATTAAAACTAACAGAAAAAGTTTCAGGACTTGATCTTTCTAATAAAGCAACGGGAGGGGTTGAGTCTAAAGAAGGTCCATAAGGAATGACATTTCTAGCGCTCCATCGGCAAAGAAAATCACCAGTGAACCTTATCTTCAAGCTAGTTTTCTCTTGACAAGACCTTTAAAAAAAGTCAAAAATGCAGCAACAACCAGCAATGCTTACTATTAAATCCGGCAACAGAGAACTTAAAAGGCATTAACCAACAACAACAACAACAACATAACAACAACAACATATCCAGTATATTCCCAACTCGGTTGGAGTCCTCGGGCGTCAAGATGTACGCAGTCTTATCCCTGTATTTCAATATAGAGAGGTTGTTTAAGTAGTACGACCGAGATGCATTGGTGCATTGATGTATCGATTTCTGACAACTTCGCTAAACTAAGAAGCGTCAGAATTTAAATGATCCATTTTGCTCTAATCCACTATTAGCACAAAGCTGAAAGAATTGTCAATAATGACTCTTCCAGCTCCATTTGCAATGGATAAACAGCTCCTGAATGCAAGTAGTTGCTCATGCGAGTTTGGGAGGGGGGGGGGGAGGGTGATTATGCAGCAATGATGCAGAACCTAATAGTTTTGACAGGTCATCACCTCCAGCAAGAGACCAAGAAAAAGAAGGGGAAAATCTTTATGATGAACTGTCTTGGGAAAATGTCTTTTTTCTATTGAAAGACTTGACTAAGGACTACTTTATAATGTCAAGCTCAGATTGGAATTCAGCACAACACCACAAGAAGCATGAAACAATAACTCAGTTTTTCCTACGACTACAAAGATTTAGAGGGTTACAATCCGTCAAAGGCTGCAAATTTGGTGGCACAGGGGAAATGAAAGTATGAAGATTGAAATTTCAACAATGAGAAAAAGGAAGGGAAATTCTAAGTTCAAATCAACCATTAGGAATATCACCAGTAGTTCTCTCTTTCCTCTGGGCAATAAACATACATGGAGGTACTAAGAGTCATATCAACCATTAGGAATATCACTAATCAAGACAGTAAACAAACTGAATCTCTGTTTATTAAAGGAAATAAGAAAGGGTGGGGAAATGAACAAACTGAATAAATTTTCTCATGATATCCTAATTAACAAACATACAAAAACATGTATGTAAACAAACCCAACTCAGAATTAGAAAAGCACCTGCCAGAGTTTGTCGTGGAAAGAAACAAGATTAATAAAAGGAAACCAATTCAAAAACTTGGGTTCTTTTTCTTCGATCTCAGTTGATGGTGTAAAAACAAACATAAAGAGCTACTTCCATAAATGTAATATCCTCACAAACAAGCATCCTCATAGAAATCCAATTTGTGAATAACAATATACTCCTCAAAGGTTGTCAAATGGAGATAAAGATAGAAGTCCATCAAAAAGCAAACATAAAAAGAAACAAAGAGTGGTGAAAAAAAGATACTTAAAGAGAGATATTGGTGAGAATAGAAGTTAAAAGAGAAAAGCCCAAGAAGAGAAAAATGGGATACCTAAAAAGTAAATATCTCATAAAGTTCAGCTACAATACGTGAGATGAAGTATCCAATAATTAGAAGTATCCAATAACCAGAAAGCAATAAAACATCATATGTCCACATAGAGATAGAGGTCTAGACATCTAAAGCTTAGTTAAGTTACATTATGACTGCAGAAAATGCCTTAAACTTAGTACACCATCATAAGAGAGCACTGAATCAACCTTGACACACTCTCCTCAGGAAATGGCTAAAGCCCGAAATCATTCTTGGCACATTAAAGAATTCAGTGCACGAATAATTACATGGTGGCCAGAAATTGATATCTAAAAGATCAAGCTTGTGATTAAACTGAATTCAGTAACTAATTTCAACAGAAGCCCTAAGTGTAACCATAGATATCAGAACTATATCTAAAAGATTAAGCTAGTGATTAAACTGGTTCACAGTACAAAATTGCACTCGATATCAAAGGTTACTCGAAGAAGTTCAAAACTATAGAGAGTAATTTACAAAAGCAAAACAGAACTATATCTAAAGATTGAACCCTCGAACTCAGCTTTCATACTACTACATAGGGCGTGTTTTTTCAAGTACATCTCACCATCAAGCTCAGTCAAAAAAGATATATTAATTCAGATTCATATATAGAAAGAGAGCTGCATTGCTTCTCTGTACAAATTTCTATTTGTAAACATAGATAAACAGCAAATAAAGAAACGTATTACTATGGCTGTATACCCAATGTCACTAGAAAGATCAAGAAAAATAAATTCCAATCTAAAAAAAAAGGTGAAAATCATCAAACCCATGAAAGAAAAACAAGAAAAAGAGTCATTACCTTTCAGATTTGAAAGAATCAAAGCTCCCAATACGTCCACAATAAACTATGGAATTGAAGTTTCAAATTCGTCCAAATTCTTCCAGATCAGCTATGGAATTTAAGACCCTTTTCTGTTAACCTCCGAAAATTAATTGATTTACTAAGAAGGATGCACAATGATTTCAGATTTGGAGTGAGAGAGATGTTTGCTTTGAGCTCTCCATAACGGCGGCGTGAATGGGTAGAAGTGAGAAGAGCTATGCGTTTCTCTTTGTATAGTTAACCCGAATTGCCTATACCCGGTATTGATCCGTCATCGAGACCCACGATTTTTTTTATCTAAGCTAAAAAGTCCGTTCCGAAAATTTGAAAAATACCTCCCACTTATTTTCTAAAAAGTCTGTTCCAGACCTACTTTTTTCAAAAAATAATTTTAGAAAAGACCCTAAATTTGTTGGACAAATGACTTTTTGACTTTAAACAGACTTTTTAGCTCTAAAAGATTTTTTAGAACTCTTGTCCAAATGAAGCCCGTATTTTTAAAAAAAATTCTTAAATTTTAGGGGATTATTAGGCAAAAAAAAAAAAAAATCAGCTATCTGACTTGTACGTAGCTCCGCCCTTATAATGGTTGGATGTTTCATATATTCATAGTAGGTTGATTTAGCATTTATAGGTTTTGGCGAAAGACGTAAAGTGAAACTAGTAGAGAATGGTAACAGTAGCATGAGGACATCTTTTTGCTTCATGTCATTGCAGGTGAAGAAGTGAGAGGTCAGGTTAGGGACTGTGTACTCATACTTCTAAAATGCAGGGGCAAAAAATTTCCTTTTTTAAACTTATGGGATCCAGAAAAGTCAAATCTCTCGATATCTAATAATGTAAAGGACCATTTTTGAAATCTGGGATTTCTTTAATTTTCTTTTTAATCGTGCAAATTAAATATTATCAGGGGGAATAACAGAATCAGGTAAAAAAAAAAAGAACAAACTGCGACAGGGTTCCGTGATTCCAAAATTCAGCATCATTTAGAGAATAATGAAGGATTAATTAGAGATTCCTAATTCCAAATCCAAAATCCATCCTCCCTTTCCCCCCGGCTCTCTCTCTCTCTGTGTCTTTATTATTACCAAAATTATGTCTGCATTAAGCGGATGATACCTTATCCATTCAAAGGCGGGAAGCTCCATTTCCATTTTTTTCCCCTTTTGAGCTCCCCCGGTTTCCTTTACCCACAGAGAGAGGGGGAAATAGTAAAAAAATGCGGAATTCCCAAGTCTCTTTCACCCGCCGGGAAATCCCCGTTTTGCAATCCCCGGTTTCCGAACCCCAATTTTGGTCAATTCAAACCGACACCTTTCATCTCGTCTCTTATTCTCCAGCTGGCCGGAGTGTTCCTAATTTCGCCTGCCTCACTTTAGCGGAAAAGAAGGTGGAGGAGGACCGCGAATTCTTCCCCACCACTAATCAGCTGTTGAAGCATCCTTTAGCTATCCTTGCTTTGGTTCCCAAGGATGCCGCGCTTTTCGCTGCCGGAGCTATTGCCGGCGCCGCTGCCAAGACCGTCACCGCTCCTCTCGACCGCATTAAGCTTCTATTGCAGGTTTCCGTTTCCTAATATGCCCCTGTATATATTTTGGTCTTCGACTATATTAGTGCCTGTATACACTGCGTTTGTGTTTAGCATAAACTGTAAGTAGGATTATTTTTAAGTAGTAGTACTTATTTGCATGTTTAGTCAGAAGAACTACAAATATAGCCTTATCCCTGACACTCCATCCTTCTCGGCGGATATAGTTTGTGTTTCGGAATTATTGTGCCATTTAGATTGTATTTTAATTATTGTACCATATAGATAAAGAAGAGAATAAGTTCTTAATATGGATTCAGAGTAATTACGAATTACGTAGTATCTTAAGTGCGTGTACTGAGAAGTTCTTAATGTTATTTTAATTACTGCAAATTAGTCATTTATGGTTTGATTATCAATACTCATATTAAACTACCGTTAGGATGGCTGAAATGAGTAATCAGCGGCAATAGGCCCATTTTTGGGGTATTTGAAGACAGTTGATTTGAGATGAAGACTAACAAGTGCATGCATTATTAAGAGCTTTGAAATGTTTGCAGTTTTGTTTGTTTTCGAACTTGGAAAGTGTTGTTCACTGTTACTTAATGTTGCCGTGGTAGAAATCTATAATAGGTTCTCATGGATTCATGATTCCATTTAATGACATTTTCACTGTGAGTAACCTAGAGTTGTTGACTTTGCCATGCCTTTTTCTTGCAGACTCATGGGCTTAGAGTTGGGCAAGATGGCGTTAGAAAGGGTATTGGATTCATTGAGGTAAACTGTTTCTTTATGACTTCTGATCATAATCTTTCTAGTGTTTGTTGTTCGTTTCATGAATTGTTGGATGGTGAAGGATGTCACGAATTCCTGGTGTTTTTTTTTAAAAAAAAATTGTCTAAGAATACATATATGAGAATAAGCGTATATAGATTGATCCAATATCTTCCACTTCATTGTCAACATCTGGAGTAAATTCCTGTTTTTGAGAATTTGTGTGATGAAAGTTCCTACACTTGAAATTGCAGGCATTTACTTTGATCGGAAAGGAAGAAGGGATAAAAGGGTACTGGAAAGGCAACCTTCCCCAGGTACTAGTTTAGTTCAGTGGTTGGTGACCAGTTGCACTGCAGTTCTTCCAAGTTCTAAGTAGCATGTCCATATTTAAGGCAGAATCGATTTTTGCTTGATCTGGTGCAATAAATCTGAAAGTTCTTCTTTATGCTTTAATTTCTAGGTGATACGGATTATACCTTACAGCGCAGCTCAGTTGTTTGCATATGAAACCTACAAGGTAATAGAGAATGGATAAAACGATTTTTTTTTTCTCCTTGGCGAAAGGAAGCGGCATCCAATATGAAATTCTTGTCAATTTTGAATAATTGTTGTTGCAGAAACTATTTACGGGAAAGGATGGAAAGCTGTCGGTCATCGGAAGACTAGCGGCAGGTGCTTGTGCTGGCATGACTTCAACATTTGTAAGTTATATATGTGATTAGTTATAGGAGAAACCAAGGTTCAGAAGTTTGGCTTGTGTGTGTCACTTTTTAAGGGAGGAATGGTGCTCCATTTGTCTTACAAGTTTACTCTTGATTTGATGGAGAAATAAAGCAAACTAGTTGTGGACGCGGTAGTTTTTGCTGTTAGAATATTTTAAATGATTAGATTGCAGTGAATTGTGTCTTTCTTTGGGAATGATTCTCTCCCTTGGGCTTTTTACATCTCTAAAATTCTATGTGTGATTTACCTAAAATCTTTTATCTGCATCGTTAAACAGTATCTAATCGTCCCAGACAGGTATTTGATTCACTATACTGCTATGTGCTATCTGTTCTCACACCCTAATTATTACTGCTACTTTCAAGTTGCTGTTAGTCACTAAACATCATCTTTTTTTGTGTGTCCAGATTACCTATCCACTAGATGTTCTTCGACTGAGATTGGCTGTCGAACCTGGTTATAGAACTATGTCACAGGTGAAACTGATTAGCCTTAAACTAATCATCCCTAATGCTCATTTTCTGATTAGTGGTTCTCAATCATTTTTAGGTTGCCTTAAATATGCTGAAAGAGGAAGGAGTAGCATCCTTTTATAATGGTCTAGGGCCTTCTCTTATTGGAATAGCACCGTACATTGCAGTAAACTTTTGTGTGTTTGACCTGTGAGTCTTCTGGCGATTCTTCCTTGAACTCATTTTTAATGGCAAAACATAGATAATAATGCATCGTAAATATGTTAATTTGATGATGTCAGAGTGAAGAAAGCTCTTCCTGAAGACTATCAGAAACGAACAGAAGCATCCCTCTTAACAGGTTTGATATCAGCTACTGTTGCCACGGTTATGTGCTATCCTCTGGATACAGTCCGAAGACAAATGCAAATGAAAGGCACACCCTATAAGACAATTTTGGATGCTTTTCCAGGTACTCAAAACTGAGCCATCACCGAGGCCACACTGTTGAAATTTTGAATGTTATGGAAATGTGTTATTGGAGTTTGACGCCTCCCATAATTTCTTTGGTGTTGAAAATCAGGTATTGTGGAACGTGATGGCTTAGTTGGCTTGTACCGGGGCTTTGTGCCCAATGCATTAAAAACTCTACCAAATAGCAGGTTTATCCCTCTTTCCCTTCTATTCAGCTTGTCCACTCTGTTCTGACTTTGAAAGTCTTTATGCTTTTTGTTGTAGTAGATGTGAGTGACAAAGTAGGACAGTACATTTTATGCCCGATTGGTGGATCATAACTCCAACTATACCCATTTTCTGATGCAGAATTATTGATTGTGGCTGTGAGTTAACTTTAATCTCTTCTCTGTTTTGTTGGCAGCATAAGACTGACCACCTTCGACTCTGTTAAGCGTTTGATTGCTGCCGGTGAAAAGGAGCTTCAGAAAATTGTAGAGGGAAATCGAAAGAAGGAAAGCATGTCTCCAAGCAGTAGTGCAAATTAAGATAATTCGTGATCATGAATTTAGCAGATATATTTGATGAGTTCATTATTTGGCCAACTCAACAATATTTGGAACAAAAGAAGACATTTGGAACAAAACCAGCATGTCAGATTCGTGGGGTTGTATGATGTGTGAGACGGGGCCTGGCTGCTGGCAATCATTCATTGGCATACACTCTTCCTGCAGCTCCAATTTTTGTAGCAAGAAAACTAGATAGATGGGAATAGAGATGATTAGAGTAATTATTAGTTTATTATATATGTAATTCAATAACCCCCCTGTTTTTTTATCTGTTATGTCTTTACATATTTGCTGAACTCCTTGTAAGTCTTGCCGCTGTGCTCTATCTAAAGGCTCTTTCCACATTTGATCAACACCATGGATTTACTTTGAAAAAAAGATTCACATTGAATTCAAAAACTCTAAAAATGATACATTCATCTTACATAAACAGACTCCGAAATTGTCAATTTAAAAGTACATTAACCTTCCTCTCCTGTTGGAGGGTTCAGAATTTTCAGTTTCACATTGAAGTTTGTTTTTGGTAGGAAGAACTTTTCTCACGCACAGAACATTCTCAATCAACCTCTTCTAAAATAGAAGATGTTAAAACAGAAGAACCATATAAACGCAAAATTGCTCAATTGCCTGAATTATAAACTTCCAAGTTCCATTCGATTGAAATCCTATTACAATAAAAGGGACAGGATCATGGCTGCAACAACATCATTATCTATCCAGTTCAGATCACAAGAACCACAACGAAAAGCGATTTTATTTTTCACCATTGAAATCTATTATTAATGCCAGAAGATCATTAATAAAAGGGAAAAAAAGAAAAGGAGCAAAAAATAGTCTGAACTCATTCCCTCGCCTGCTTCCGGGCTTCCTCCCGCATTACGGCTTTGACATAGATCTCGTAACAGCAGCCAGCTACGACTATAATAGTTAGAGCATCACCGACTCTCTTGAGGCGATGGACGCTTTTCTTGTGTGATTTGAAGCGCTTAAGTGCCGGGTCTTCAGCCAACAGAGCTTTCTCCCGAGCCCCTGGTTCGACGTGTAACCCCCGACCCGCGAGCCCAAAAGGATGACCCATTTTCTGCTGGGTTTGGAGTCTGAATTGAGACAGGGCAGTTCTGTTGAGTAAGAACGCCATCGAATTGAATCGTATTTCGTAGGGGTTGGATACTGAGGTATCAGGTGATGCTGGAAAGTGGGCCTACGATCGGAACGCGAGCGGGTGGCACCGGAAAGATCGATGAAGTTCCTCTGTAATTAGGTTGGTTTTCCTTTCCTAATCCTTTATTTTCTGGATTTTTATTTTATATCGCACCTAAAGTAATTTAGGTAATTACATCGTCAGTCCCTGATGTTTGACTGGGAAGTTAATCTAGCCAGTATTTCGACAAAGGTGGTATGTACATGACTTTATTCATGATGATCTTTATGTGAGCGAGTCGACTTGATTTATTGCAAAACGTACAAATGTAGCATTCCATTCTTGTCGTATGTTAGATTCGTATGGAAAGAAATCTTATGAAATATACTCTTGGCCCCTCGATCATGTTTATCATACACAAATTTAAACTAACTTCAATATCGTATATGGTTTTATATTAAATTTTGTCAATTTGATTTATCGATCGGTGGTGATCTTGCAAAACATACAAATATAGCATTGCATTCCTATCGTTTGATCGATTCATAAGGAAAAGAAAAAATACTCTTCAAAAATATACTCTTGGCCCGTCGGTCATATTTATCATACACAATTAAACTAATTCCAATGTTAATTTGTGCTTTATAACCAAGATAGGGAGGAGTATGAACTTTTTGGGTGTACAAACTTCAAAGTAGGATTCCGTCTACAAAATAATCGACGTTATAATTTGTTAATCATAAAATAATAATGTAAATTTTGTGATGTGGACTATACTTTGTTTGGAACAGGGAGGTATTTTTTAAAAATATATATTGTCATTTCTATTCATTTCTTTTTTTCATACACCAAAAAAAAGAAAAGAAAAGACCATAGCTCTTCGGAAAGGCCGTTAGAGAAGGAAAAAGGTCGTGCGCCAAAGTGGATTGGATAGCGAGATAACTGAAGTCTGCAAAGAAGAACAAGAAGGGGATAGTCAATTTGTTCAACTTCGATCAAAAACCCTTATCCATCCATAACCAATCACTTTTTCTTCTTCCTCCATGCAATTTTGCTGCCCAAAGTCGAGCTTTCATTCGTGGCAGATTCCCTCGCCGCTGCCATTGCCGCTCACTTTCCCTTCCAGATTGCACCGTCATCTGCCGATCCCATGCACCTCCGACGGAGGAGGTGGTCCCAGGTAACATTCCGATGATCCTGACCACTAGTTAACCTTCTCGATTTTTGTCATTGAATTTGATGATACATTACTCGGTTGTTTTTCGGTAGGAATGAGGAAGGAGACGACAAATTTCAAAGAAGTGTGATTCTGGTTGAAAAAAACGGCAACGGAGTTTCTAGAAGGTAATACTCCGATTCCGTTTTTCATTAGTTTCTCTACCATAAGAGCAGGGCGCAGGGCTTGTTTGCCAGTTTCATCACGCATTTTACGTATTTGATAGAATTTCAAACTGAGGATCTTTTGCATCAGGCGTCTCATTTGTGCTTTTATTGTTTACTTTTGCTTCTCTGCATACTGACACAAGCTAACAGGTACATCCTATCGGAAGATGACTCAGAAGTTAAGTCATATCTTGAGGAACATGTCCCCCACACTAGCAATTCATCAGGGCCACCAATCTCTGAAGGGGAATTACCTTGGCTTCCAAGTGTCATAAAGGATTTGTTTCTTCCATCTGGGTTCCCTGGTAATGTCTTTTTTAAACGGGAGACTTTGAAACACTTTTTTTTTTTTTTAATGCATGTTTACAGTGCTCTTTGAAATTCCTTATATGTACCTGGACTTCTAGGGTCGGATTATAAGTGTGGTTTGTGCTTCTGTTGCAGAATCAGTGTCAAATGATTACTTGGAATACATGTTGTGGCAGTTCCCTACCAATGTTACTGGGTGGATTTGTCACACGTTAGTCACTTCAAGTCTTCTAAAGGCACGTCAATCTAACCCTGGCCGTTAATTTTACTTGGGTATGTGAACCATCAACTGAAAACCTTTCACCTTTCTAAGTTTTTGCATTCGTAACTAATCAGTTATCGCCACCTCTCTTCTCGGGGCAAGCTTAACTGTAGTTATTTTTGTGATAGCTGTCCCTTTTATATTATGCAGTATCATTTGACTTTACTGGTTTTGCATTGACATGTGCAGTTTCAGCTTTCATAGTTTTCCCAGAACAGGATATTTGCTTATTAAGTTTTTGGTGGATGTCAAGTTTGTTTCATGTGATAATTTGAGTTTGAATTAGCTTCTTTGCATAGTTCTACAATTTTAACACTCTCTTAGATCTTTATTGTTAAACTTTTGATTGTGTTTAGAGCCCTTAATAATTCAACCCGGTCCTGATTCTGCTGACATGCAGGCTGTTGGAGTCGGCTCTTTCTCAGGAACCACTGCTGCTGCTTCTGCTGCTGCTATCAGGTAATTATGTTATTATTTATAAATGCTAGCATTGTAATATCATTCAATAAGGATGTTTAATTATTGTGCAGATGGGTTACCAAGGATGGCATTGGTGCTGTTGGGCGCTTGTTCATTGGTAGGTAGCATTTGACCAAAATAATGAGAAAAAATAAAAGCCTCATGGGACCAAGTGACTTGATTATCGCTTTCTTTCCAGGCGGAAGGTTTGGAAATCTATTTGATGATGACCCCAAACAGTGGCGCATGTATGCAGACTTCATTGGAAGTGCAGGAAGGTATCCATGACTGTATGCTTCAAACAATTTTGTGTCCCATATGTAATTACTGCAATGACTCGGCTGAGAGTTTGTTCATCTACTTTTTCAGCATCTTTGATCTGACCACTCCATTATATCCTTCTTATTTCCTGCCATTGGCTTCAATGGGGAATCTTGCAAAGGTAGTTATACTTTTCTTAACTTATTTATTTCCTCTTATTCTACATTTGGACATTTTAATTTGAGGAACTAGTTGGAACCTAGTTGATTTCAATATTTCATCAAGGGACTCTACTTCTTCATGTGTTTGTCCAGCCTTGGTTAATTGCTTCAATTTTTTCTCGACTTTTATGTCCAACAGATATAGTGTCTAATTTGATTTGACGTTGTGGATAGGCTGTTGCTAGGGGACTTAAAGATCCTTCTTTCCGGGTAATACAGAATCACTTCGCAATTTCTGGAAATCTTGGAGAGGTTGCAGCAAAGGTTAGCAACATATTTAACATGGTTCACTGTTGTGTCACTGATTTATTTTTGTTTGCTATTTCTGTAAATCTTATCAAGCAGAAATTTGCTCGGGACTAGAAGGAATCAGATTTTATACTTTATTTCAGTATCTACATTTATTTATGAGTATAAGAGCTGTTAGGCAACTGATAATCCTATGTGGATTTCCACGCAATGTCACTGTTGTGTCACTGATTTATTTTTGTTTGCTATTTCTGTAAATCTTATCAAGCACAAATTTGCTCGGGACTAGAAGGAATCAGACTTTATACTTTATTTCAGTATCTACATATATTTATTAGTATAAGAGCAGTTAGGCAACTGATAATCCTATGTGGATTTCCACGCAATATCTCTAAAACTGGTTACTTCATTATCAACTAGGAGGAAGTTTGGGAAGTAGCAGCTGAACTGCTCGGTCTTGCTATTGGCATCCTGATTCTGGTGAGTGAAGTGGTTTGCCTCTGATTCGTGAACCCTTTTGCCATCTTATGACAAGGCCTGTACACATCATTGATTCCATTTCTCAATGAGAGAAAGATCAATTAATATACCATCTTGCAGGATGCACCTGGTCTCTCATCATCATATTCTGTATTGACCTTCACATGGTTGAGTGTGCGGCTTCTACATCTATGGTTTCGCTATCTGTCCCTATCAGTGCTGCAATTTGATACGGTGAGAGTGGTGTAATCATCTCATTCTATTAAATTTGGAAGCTATATTTTACCTTCTTGCAGAATATATGCTATTCAAAACTTAATTTGGGTAACTTTTTACTGACAGATAAATCTTAAACGTGCTTGCATACTAGTAAACTCACACGTTAGGCTGTCTACAGTCCTAGGTAAGTTTTTTCTTTGATGTAAAGCAAATTCATCATTTATTTCTGTGTTTAATTGTTTAGTCAGGTTGAATCAGGATGTCATGAATGCAATAGGATGGAAAATATCTTACAGTGGCAAAGATTTTCAAAACCACGCATCCATTTTGGTGTATCCTTGCAAGAGTTGCTTGACGGGGAAAAAGGAAGCTCCGTGGTAAATGACTTTTCACATTCTTGTTGCTCTAGAAATTGCTTAAACATGTTCAAATAAAGTCATTAGTCAGTCAGTCCTACAGGATTTATGGGGGAAGTATAAGCTTTTTACAAGATCGAATTCTGTGTTGATATTCCTAAACACTGCCTTCTATTGATGATATAGGTGAAAGTTATTAGATTGTATTCCAAGGAGAGATATTTTCTCGTGGTGAACCGAATGCAATTCGGAGAATTGGAGGTCTTTGTTTCCTTCAAGGTACGAGGGTGTGATTTCACCTGCAAGGTTACACAGAATAAACATGTTACTCCGTGTTTCTGACTTTGACTGGTTAACATCTTGGTGCAGGAGGGAGCAACAAGTTTGTCAGTGTTGCGGAGTTTGTGGCAGGCATACTGGGTCTATCAGAACTGGAGCTGGTCAAATAATGTTGAGGAGCAAATCGAGGAAAGCCTGATTAGTTTGGAAAAAAGGTTCGACGATTTCATGCAACAGCTGAAAAACGCAGGATGGGATACAAGCCAATTGAATTTGAAAGTCCCGAGGGATTTTTCAATCCAGGAACTTCCTAGTTTATAATATACTGGTAGAGGTTAGCCCTGTTCTTTTTCTTCTTTATCATGAAGCTAGGCTATGGAATTTTAGGGAAAAGTTACATTTATCATGAAATTATATGAAATTTTTCAACCTATGGGTATCAACGGCCTCCAGAGAGAAGTGAGCCTGCTTCAAGGGAATTCTGATAGTAAGATCCAGATTGAAACGAGTCTGTGTATGCAGACAGTGAAACATCTGCAAAACTTGTAGCCCGTCCAAAAGCCGTGCTGCTTGCAGAAATGCCTACTGATGATAACTCAGGCAAGGGCGTACTGCCATCCAAATAGAGCATAACTTTCTGCATACTTGGCCTGCCCATTGGCTTCGAATTAGTGCACAATAGACCAAGCTTCAAAATCATTACAGCCTCTTCTCTATCGAAATTCATACCCAAATTTGGATCAACTGCCTCAAGAATTCTTCCTTGACTCCACAATTCAATCACCCGATCAACTAAAATCACGTCTCTTCTAGGCTCAATCGGCCTTCTACCACACACAACCTCGAGGAGAAATGCACCGAATGCATACACATCCGTCTTTGTAGTAGCCCGACCGGTTATGTAATGTTCGGGGGCTAGGTATCCAACTGTTCCTACAACATGTGTAGTTTGAGGATCAGTTCCATGATCATAAAGTCTCGCAAGACCAAAATCTCCTAATCTTCCATTCAGTTCACTGTCTAGTAATACATTACTAGCTTTAACATCTCTATGAACCACGACTTGCTCCCATTCTTCGTGAAGGTAGAATAAAGCTGAAGCGACGCCCTTGATTATTCGAAATCTCTGTTCCCAGTTCAGAAGCGACTTCCTTGGGCTGTAAAGCAACTTGTCAAGACTTCCATTTGGCATGTATTCGTAAATCAATAGTAATTCACCTCTACGCCGGCAGTAACCCAAAAGAGGGACTAAATTCCGATGCCTCATCCGACCAATGCTGACTATTTCTGCCACGAATTGCCTCATCCCCTGTCTGGTTTCATGGGAAACCCTTTTCACTGCAATTTGAAGTTTAGTAATTGGTAACACACCTTTATAAACTCTCCCGAATCCGCCTGCTCCGAGAAGCTCCGAGTTTTTGAATCCTTTTGTGGCAATATATAGATCTTTGTACTTGAAACGGTGAGGCCCGTATGCAACTTCCCAATCTTCAAGCACTTCTGCAAACTTCCTTTTCCTTCGGATGTAATAAATTACGCTTAAAACTGCTAATAATACGGAGAATATGCAAATCAGGGGCACCCCAGTAAGTAGAAAGATTGGTACCTTCTTCTTAGGACTCACAAGTATAGGAAGTTTAGGAAGCCGAGAAATGTCAAGCTCAAGTTGTCGAGGAGAATTACCCGCCTGAAAGCTCCATCCAAGTATATAATGATTCACTACAAAAGCAGAAGTGGATGATGAAAATCCAACGTACATGGCTTGCTGTAAAACCGGTGAAAGGTCATACGTCAAGTTGACGAGGGGAACGGATGGTCTTTTAGGGGCTGAAGATTTTGAAACCGGAGCCAGAGTAACCATGATTTGTTTCTCGATGCCATCATAATCCACCCAAGCTTGTATTGGATCGCCGCTCATAAGAGTTATGTTATCAAACATTTCCCCATCATCATCATCACTGTAGTAGCCGGCTGGTGCTTGTTGCACCGAATTGATGCTGTCAATATCGATTCCAACGTGGTTGTCATCGATATCATTTGCATTTGAATTCTGAAACGTATCGAACTCCACCCCGAAAATACGGTTGCTGGAATTTCCGTCGTTGGATTCGTTAAAAAGGCCGAGAAACCGATACGACCGGCCTCCGGGGAGGTCTTTAGTGGGTGCGATCACAAAAGCCAATCCCTGAGCACTTTTAGTCTTGATTTCTGATCTTATGGCGAACACGAACGTGGTGGAAAAGGAGGATGAGTTGTTGAAATTGATGGGATGTTGATAGAAAGCATGTCCTGTTTGTACAGGAGTATCGTAACTGCTGTTGGTTAACATCAACAGGCCATTGTTGGTGAACTCTGCAATGCCATCTAAACTCAGGGTTTTGGCTGATTGGAAGCCATTGTAGATGAATCCCTGAGGATCAACTCCGATCAGTAGATTGGCAGTCAGAATCCACACTACCAATACTTGCTGAACCAGCATTATTAATCTTTCCAATTTTGAGTCTTAAAGAAAGTAGCAAGTATGACTAAACAGTTCTCTGTCAAATTCTGTTCTTTCATGTGAATTTTATGTGACTTTCCGAGTTGAAACCGATAGGCACTGACATTGATGATGTTTTGTTTGGATTATACTGTATGGGTGATAGTTGGATTTATTATTTGTTCTCAAAATGCACGACATGCAAATATATATGGACTGGTGGGCGTCATGGGATGTGACCAACGTCATTGATCTGAAATGCCGAGGTCAGCCTTTTGAAAGAATTTGTCTATAAATAGAGAGTAGCGGGAAATGGAATCGTATGTAAGATCACGTCTTGGCGCACAGTTAGTTCAATTAGTAATGGCCGATTTTTATTTTTTTTTTTTGCCATATTATAGGTGTTAACCGATAACAGTGACTAATCATCTTCGCTCGTGATAGGCACCAAAAATTTCATATCTCTGATTAAACTCGAGCCTTCATGAGACCGTTGATTTTGTTTAGAAATACTACTAGGAGTATTGAATCCCTCGTAATCGTTTCGGGTTGCCGCTTAGAAACCCACAAAGAAAGTGGATACGTAGCGCCCGATTAGTTAGTTGGTTTGTTGATAAATGAAATCATTAAGTGGCTGATTATCTTTGATTTGGAAATGTTAATGAGTAAATAAACGATTGTGAAGTGAAAGAAGGAACGCATTCCCTTTTCTTTCAAGTTTCAACTTTCAAGTGAATGATGAATATACACGTCAATGTGGCATATGTTCATTTGTAAACATGAACTTTGCCATGTATTTTTATTCAGTTTCAACCTTTTCTTCTTTTTTTTTCCTTTTTTTTGAGCTAGGCTTCATTACAGAAATAAGCTGAGAATCCAAAGTTGTCACATCCGATAGAGAAACACAACTCTCTCTTTGAAAAATAGTGATAAAATTTAAATGGTGAGATATTATAGGATTATTAATAATGGCTTTGTTTTGCAAGCAAATGGTTGGTTATGTTGTCACTCTCATATCGGTGCGGTGGCGGTGCATGCTGCCCAATGTCTCATTAGGTGTCCCTTAGTTTTGTTTTTTAAAAAAAAAACATTATTTTTATATTTTACAATGTTGTTCAATAATTATAAGCCAAAAATATGTATGATAATTTTATTTTGGCTAATTACATCATGGAAGTTGAATCTTTAAAAAAAAAAAAGAAGAAGAAGAAGAAGAAAGAACTATCCAATTTTCTTCTTGGGGGTGGAGGAATACTCTAATTAACTCTCTGGATCAGTAAGCAAGCACGCAACTATTTTAGTTTGCCCAATAAAATCCTAATACACACCAACTGGCTAATCATCTGTTAATTAGCTACTCGCACACGCTAATCATCAAAGGCCAAAACATATCATTTATTTGACTAAACCCTAATCGTGGGACCAATAATTATAAAATATTTGTGGCATCATCTAACGCAGTGTGTACAAATATTGTTCTAAAGATTGATTGCCTCCACTTGGCATTTTAATTTGGCAAATGTTTCAACCAAACGTTTTGATGTTCATGTTGAAGCATCCTCGTCCTTCTAGTATCTTAAGGGTGTATAATATTCTCTTTTCCGTTCCAAAATAATTGTTTTATTATTTTTCTTATTAGAAAAAAATCTATATTTGTAAATATAAATCTCAAAAATTAATGTGATTTTTTTTTTTTTTTGAGAATGAAGGAATATTTCAAAACAAGTAACATTTATAAAATACTTTTCATTTTAAAATGATTTTTCTAACTTGAATTTCCAACTTTTAAAAATTATAATTTTTTTTTTTTTTGGTTTTACATTAAGAATAAATCATATTGTGCATATTTTCCACCTCCCCTACAGAAGGTACAAGATGTGAAAGACAATATTCATTACGAACACAGAAAAATAATAATGTAATGTTTGTAATCGTCTAGCTTCCTGTGCCAAAAAAAGAAAAAAAAAAACGGGATTATGTGGCTCTTATCTTTTCTAATGTACTATACAGTGCTTCTTTTTTGGGGCTAACGGGATTACGTTAAGCGCTTATAACCTTAGAAACGGATGCTTTATATGTATGACGCTAAAAAGTCTGAGTGCTGGTTTCCAAATATTAATGCATGTTCAACAAACACCTGATAAAAAAGAAAAGGAAGCATGTACGCCATGAGTTCCATGTTTCACCCCTCAACAATTTCCTTGTGCGGTGGTGAGGTCATATGATAGCTGTCTGGATTACTGTCTCTATTTCATTTCAATAGGCTCACTTTCTCTTTTGAGACGTTTCAAAACTTAGTCCCACTTCAGACAATTAATTAATTTTTTCTATAAATTCTCTAATATACACTTCCCACTTTCACTGAAATTAATTTCAACTATTACTCTCTCATATCAACTAATAACTCAATAGTCATTAATAAAGGTGTAGTAAAAATTTTATTTAAAACTAACTACATAAATTACATTACCCATTTTTTCTTAATTTCCGTGTATGTTTAAATGGGTCTATTGAATTGGAATGGAAGGAGTATGAAAAAAATATACCCTTAGTTTAAAAGGTTCTATATATCTCGACGAATAAAGTACTAGTAGCACTTCATACTAGCAGCATTGATGATGCATAATTGCATTAATTTCTCCATTAACTGCATGTCTCCCCGAAAATGGTACTATTCTACTCGCGGTGGTTTTTGGTTCACTGTTTTGCTACTTCACTTTTTCGCTTTGATTTCGTCTTTTTGTCCAATCCTTCCACCATGAATGCGCATGCTTTCGTGAAATTAAGTAAATTGAGTTTAGTTGGTGCAGCGACAGAGTTAAATTTTTTGTGATTGCAGAGATAAAATAATCAAAATTTTATTTTGCTGGAGCAAAAAAACCTACTATTTTTTGTATTAAAATTTTGAAGTTTGAATCACCCTTCAAGAAAAAATTATGACAAGAGGAGGTAACCCAAATTGGTTCCCCTAACCTCCTCCTCCTCCCCCAAGACTTGAGTAATTAATTAATTATTGTGTGTCCACTACACAATCTTACATACGTTAAAAAAAAAATGAAAAATTGTAAGTTAACAACGATTATATGGTAAAAAATAGAGAATATTATCTTTATTGTTTTGGTATAAGAAAATAACGATACATCTAGACTACAATAAAATGAAATACATACAAGTTGTCGATGAGAAATGGGCCAAAAAATACTACTCCCTCCGTCCCATAATTATTGTCCAGTTTGAGTTTTCATTTATAATTCAAATTGTACTAAAAGTGGTCAATAATTATGGGACAGAAGGGGTACTACTTATTAAAAACATTTTCGATGCATCTTTAAGAGAGCAATCCGTTGGATGCATGAATTTGATGCAATTAATTATCATCGTGTTTTCCTAACCTTTTTTATGTCACATTTTGCCTAAAAACTGTAACTTTTAAGTTCATTTGTTACATTTGGATTTTTATTTTTTTACACTTTTTTAAATTCCTAACAAACGTAATGATCTAACTCTCAAATGTACTTACCAACGATTGTCCCTTCGGAAACATTCGATAAAATTGGAACAATACAGAGAAGATTAACATGGCCCTTGCGCAAGGATGACACGCACAAATCGAGTACTTATCAACGGCTAAAAGAAGTCCAAAAGAATCCACCGTGGAATAGACCCCTCAAAATGCATTAAAAGTATGATGAATAGATTTAACACCTAATGGTTCCCCTTCCGTGTTATGCCAATTTTAATACCCTACTACGTCTATCTAATTTGGTTGTTTTTTTATTGTTTTGTTTTAATTTAATTAAGTGAGATAGTCCATTCTCAGTATAGATCTTGAATTAATTCTTTATTGAGCGAATTTAATGTGTTAATGGAACCGAGTCCGTTGGTCGAGTCTAAATTTGATGTGTGCTGTTCGTTGTTAATGATATAAATCTGTGCTTCAGTCTGCGGATAAGTGATATATTTTCAGAATTTTATTCTGTTCCGTGATATGTTCAACAATAGAATTATGTCATTATAGGATTGTTAACTTTTTTGGCGGTTGTATTAGTCTAGTCACTGGTGCAGTGACTAGTACCGTGAGTACGTCATTAGGACGATTTGAATACGTCATTTTGGACAGTTTGTTTTTGTATAAAATGGTGCTGGACCATTTCCAATAATTTTAATAATGTTTTTTTTCCTCTGAAAAAAAAATTATCCTCCACAATTTAAGACTTTCCTTTAACTCCGAAAATTCCGCCTACATTATATAAGTAGAATCATAGAATTCTGTTTATGAAAGTTACAATTTCAAGTAAAGTATAATTTTCATTAAAATTATATTGGGCACCTGAAATTTTTATTATGTAGTCACAAATACCTGTGACTCCTGTGCATCTAATGGGACTCTCACAATATTTATTACTATAATTTTCTATAAATTTTATTTATAGAAGATTTTTCAAGAAAATCTGGAGGATAACATAACCGAAGAGGTGCTCAACAACGGCAGCCTTCGCCACCAACTAACCCCACCTCCCCACAACGCGACATGTTAGTCAATTCCATCTCAGCCCGAAATCTAATTCTTAAAAAAAAATACGGGACTTATTAATAAAAATTAGTAGTGAATTACTAGAAATATAAATACAAATTTTTTTTTTTCCGAAAACAAATATACTCAAAAAGACATTATTGCCAATCAATCAGAAATCTCTGCAACAACAACAACAAATAAAACAAACAAAAGAGGGAAAGAAGAGGATAACATCACAGCAATTAAGGAGAAGCAACAGATGGATTAGTAGTAGAAACCATCAGAAGAAATCGAATTCGAAGGTGCTAACAAGGAACCCCCCCAATCCTAATAAACGTGTGATTGAAGCCAATAAAACTTTTTTTTTTTTTTTTCCTTCCTTCGAATTCACAATTAATTCAACTTTCTCCTCCCATCACTCACTATTCTACTGCCACCATTACCACCACTACTACTGCTAAGTACTAACAGCCAACAAATTTCATCAGTTTCGGGTTCGATTCCCCATGTTTTCCTTACCCTGCAATTTCTGTTGAAATTCCCTCCACTTTCCTCTTGTTAATTCCCCCCAACAGCTTCCGCATTCAGTTAGTTGTGGGGATTTGCCTAATCCCAATTCCCATAATCGAATCCCAATAAATTTTCATTGTGTCCGAGGAATCCCAGTTTTTTAAATTTATAGGGTCATTCTTTTGGGGGATTTTTTTTCACTCTTAGGTGACAAAGAATAAGGTTGGGTTGTTGAAAAACTCTCTCTTTTTTGGGTGTGGGATTGTGTTTTTGGGTTATAGATTGATCAATTTAGCTTTCCAATTGATTTGTAGTGTAAGAAACCAAGAACTTTAGACGGGATTCTTGCTGAATTTTTTATAGGGATTTGTGCAAGTTGGATGGGAATTGAGGAAACGCTTAGTAGTATTAGTAGCCTTATTGTTGCTTCTGGTGGTAGTGATGAAGAAATCTTTCAAGGATTCGCTCAAAGCTCTTGAAGCTGACATCCAACATGCCAACACCCTGTATGTTTCTCTCCTTCAGTACTGTTCCTGGAACTGTCTTCCCCTTTTGTTGATTTTGTTTGCTTGTTTTTCCTCTACGTTTTGAGTTCGTCGAATCTCTTTTGCTTTCTTCGAGTTTTGAAGACTGTTTTTCCCAGTTCCGTTTTTATATGCTGTTTTCAATATGGTAATTACAAGGTCTGTAAGCTGGAATGGTTACTGAATTAGTTCTTGAGTTGTGTGTTTGAGCCTTGAAGATTGATTCCCTGGATACTACTGCAACTGTTCTCTGTCCTTTCAGTTTTGGCCTGGCCTTTGTTTGAGAAGAATATCTGATTGATTCTTTAGGGCCTGCTAATACTATTCCTGTCAGGGATTAGAAAAAGTGCGGATAATAAGTGGATATAAACTGGCTGGATCTGGGAGACTCTTGACTGGACCACAACAATTATCATTATTATTATTATACTGTAGAACCACTAGTTTCAGCTTCCTCTTTTTTCTTCAATTCATCTTACAATTTTGAATTGACTTTGGTGATCAGTTTAGTTTGTATCTAAAGATTATTTACCATATTGCTGACGGAATTATGAATGATGAAATTATTGATGCTAGTGCTGAATTGTTTTGTGCTAAAAAAACAGGGCTTCTGATTATCCCAGGGAGTATGATGGGGCATGCCTCCAGATGAGGCTGTCATACAGTCCCTGTGCCCACATTCTTCTCTTTCTTGTTCAGTGGACCGATTGTCACCTTGCTGGAGTTCTCGGATTACTGAGGATCCTTATTTACAAGGTATTTCAGTTTCTGCACTATTGTTGGTTTGCCTCCTTTTTTATGTTCCTTGCCCTGGTCATGGGAATCAATTATTGCTGAAATGAGGATGGCTGATGCCAGGCATACGAAGATGGTAGGACTACCATGTCTGTTCATGAGAGAAAGGCTAGTTTGAAGGAGTTTTACGGTAAGGCGATGTCCTCAAGTCTGAAAAGCTCTTTCTTTTGCTGAATTTTGATATTTTCTCTTGATGGCTGCTTGATTGTTTAATCTGGTGATTGGGTAGTGTTCGTGTTTTTTGGTGGAAGTTGGAAATTGTTATCCCAGATGTCAGTATTGCTTTTAATATACTTAGTTTAACACGTTTTTATTAGGCTCAATTTTCGTGCCCTTTTATGTTGTATGTGAATTAAGCTGATCATGTCTTGTCCATTGCTATAGATATGTTATTGTTTCGGGTTAGGTTTGTATAGTTTCACAAATTACCTATTTGCCATCCCTAAGAATCTTCCTTGTGGTGAGCGTGTTCTCTGTAGTTTGTTCTGTCACTTTTTTAAGTGTGAAATTCTGATAAAAACACATTCACATGGGATCAGGAGTGATATTCCCTTCCTTGTTGCAACTTCAAAAGGGAATCACTGAAATTGAGGACAGAAAACAAAGAGAAGTCTGTGAGAAGAAGTATCAGAGAAAAGATGAGATGGACAAGGGGAAAAAGTTGTCTGAAATCGAAATCGAGAGGGAGGAGGAATGTGGAATTTGCATGGAATTGGATACTAAGGTTGTTTTACCCAGTTGCAGCCACTCTATGTGCATGGAATGTTATAGAAGCTGGTAAGCAGATCACGTGACAACATTTTTTGCTTTTTCTTCTGATATGCTCTGGTATTTGGGCTGGTTTTACCAGGACTAACTAATGTACTAAACAAATGAATTTGCATCTTCTTGTATACTTCATTTACTGGTGGTACCTTGTTTTTCCTAGCTGGCAGATGTTTGCTTTGGCCTTTTTCATTTGGTGATTTCTAGTAATTTTGTTTTCATTTTTGGTTTCAAAATAATGGCGCTCTTTTAGGCGATCGCGGTCTCAATCATGCCCCTTCTGTCGGGATAGTCTGAAACGAGTGAACTCTGGTGACCTTTGGATCTACCCCGGCAGCTATGAAATCTTAGATCTGTCAGCAATTGCCAAAGAGAACTTGAAGAGACTTTTCATGTACATTGAGAAATTACCACTGTTAGTTCCCGATACCGTGCTGGTTTCTTATGATCCTCGTTTCAGATGAAGGAATGGGTTCTTTGGCTCAGAAAATTAGTTTTTAGTTGAACGAAAATTGTAGCTGTAAATATTGTCTCACTTATTTGTTTGTCACACTCCAAATATTTATAATTGTAAATACGGTTGGGTTATTAGCCAGTTAGGACGACACCTGCATTGTAATCAACTCTCTAAAGGTGAAGAGAGCATGAAAGTCAATTTTAAGCCATTGCCTTTTATGCTAATGCCTGTCAACAGGGGCTTTTGTGCATTGTGGATTAAGAAAAACAAAGGGGATGTTCTAATAGTAGTTTATCATACCTAGCCTTTTGGAATAGAATCTGAACACGATCTTCCTGTTTTAAAGAAACACGACTGCTATCATGTTGCTTTGCTATTCCGAGTCCTTGGCAGAATTTTTGTGCTGACACAAATTTGAACAAGACTGGATGCTTCTACCCACATAACAAGCTTCAGGTGCCAGAAAAAGTAAAATGAAGAAATAGAAAAGACCCATAAAGATAAAATTTTCCTTCGCAAGAACACAAGTGATCATTACTACATGATACTTATGTACTAGATAAAAGATGCAAATAAATCCATCATACACGCATGTACAACATTCCGCGCTATCACATTTCCTTGCAGTTGGAAAGGTCGACTGCCATTAGAATAGGCGGGTTAGGAACAAACAGTGTCTTCCCATTGGACCCCTGCAGCCTGACTCAGAGATCATCGTCCTCCTCGTCATCCTCTTCTTCCTCCTGCTGTAAAGAAACTGGATCAGACAGGTGGAAAACACACAACAAGCAGTCATAACAAAATGTTCTTTGCAGAAGCACATGATTAAAAGGAAGCATCCGACTACGGATGCCTTGCCACCAGCATAAAATATTTCCAAGAAAAATCTCCTTTTGACCTCTGTTCAAAGGGGGAAAATGGGAGATCATAACCAATAATTCAATATTTCCATATGAAATTAAAGAAACAGAAAACAAGCTAGTTGAAAAGTTTCAACTGCATCTTGAAAACCAAAAAAAAATTAAAATTAAAATAAAAAGTATCAAAGAGATTTATGTATATCTACCTCTCCACCTCCCTCTTCGTCATCATGAATTTCAGAGTTTGATTTCTCTGATTCATCATCAGCTGAGTTATCCTGCCAGTCAAATAAGAAACTGAGGCACTAGAGCATTTACATTGACACGGCTTTGGACAATGACTAAACACTTGAGAGATTACTGGCATGATGACAAGATTTCAGTAAATCAATCCAATAACAGACAAGGACACCGGAAAAGTTCTGACCTGCTTCTTGTTGTAGGCGTTTATAAGCTTCTCGTACTCAGCCTTCCTCTTTGCAGCTTTAGCTTCATATGGTGCTTTTTCCTTACGAAGAGAAATGATATCTGATGTCAGTTATTACAACACAACAGAGGTTGTATTTCACGACACAGGAGCTTCAAATCACCCTTGAAATAATCAATTCACCCTCCACCAGGCGCTAGCTACTTAAGAAATAAACTGGCCTGCTTAATTTAAAATAAATTTTAGTTGATTTAATAGTGCAGACTACTACCGAAGCTTTCATGGATGCCGATACCATAATAGAAATGATTGTCAATTTTAGTAAAAAGGACAGAGTGATGGAGCACTTACTGCTTGACTCATGGATTTCCATTTCTGTCCTCCAGCTTTTCCAACCTGATTCATCCACAGCAAATTGAAACATATTGAGAAATTACACTTGAACTTATTGAGATGATTAAAATAGCCATATATACTTACAGCTGAGACAGCCTTCACATTAGGATTTTCCTTTTTAAATGTCTGTCTGAACTCCTCACTGGGCAATAAATGTAATCAGATTAGGTTACAAGGATAACAAGTGGCTGTTATTCAGTTTTCCTTGAGAAGTAAAACAGCACATACAGGAAGACAAAGAAGGCACTTGGGGGTCTTTTCGGCTTATTGGGGTCTTTCTGCCCCTTTTTCTGCTTCCCTGCAGCCCTTCTTTGACTACTTTGATCTGCCTTTCTCTTTCCAAGCTTCCTGCAAAGAATAAAGATGAACACATGAACCATTAAACATAGCATTCTTCAAGACAGCACCGCAATACCACAGCAAACATGCATGAGATGTCTTCACAAAACCTGTGAATTCAAAAGCACGTAGTTAGTAAAAATAGCGAAAACAGATAAATTTGGAACCTGTCATCAACGGGCTTCAACGCTTCCTTAGTGTCCTTTCTCGCTGGCCCCTTGCCCTTTGCGGTTTTCATGATAATGAGCCAAATTCCAGAAAAATGCAAAACTGCTGACACATAACAAACAAGCTTAAAGCCATAACGTGCTTTTCCACCCAAAAGCAAGCTCTGAATCAGTCCAATATTAAACAATTACCCTATTGCCCCCAATATTCAAGCAATTCATATAAAAAAATCTGCTTCTTAATGCTCCCTATATCCAAGAAAAATAATTTACATTTTTGTACCATTTTAACTCAATAAATTTGACTATTTTTCTCGGGGTGAATGAGGAGTACATTTTTATCCACTCAAAAATTTCGCGATGCTTTAACAACGGATCACGAGTGATCATTGACAGTTTCCCAATGTTTTAAAACAATTACATAAGATTTATCTTCCATTTACCATAAAGTTTCCAAGTCAAGGACTAGCATGCCTACAATTTAGAGATCGCGCTAACCTACTTTGGCAGTACAAAGAGTCAACGGCACAACAAAATAAGAACAATTCATAAGATCAAAGCAAAATTTAGCAGAAAATAACTTCAACTAGCAACGAGTTCAAAATCCTTCACGGTTTGAAGCGAGACATATTGAATCTTTTTCCGCAAACAAAAAAATAAAAAATAAAAAATCATCTCAGCTAGTTAAATTAAGTAAAAATTCCATCTACAACTAAAGCTAATAAAAAGAAATGACCCAAAAAACAAAAACAAAAAAAACCAAAAAAGGAAATTCAAAACCAATCGTTCACGCGAACATGAATTCATGAAAGCACTTTCATAGTTTTATCATAATCAAAAAAAGTTAAAAAAATCTATGCAAGGAATATTTGGGGGAAAATAAAAAGAAAAATAAAGGAAATACCTGAAAGAAAAAGATAAGAAGGCGATCGAGGAGTGATGAAGGAAAGAAGCAGAGAGCAAAGCAGAGCCAACTAAGTCCACGCACCCGATAAAAAGAGAGAGAGAATAAGTGTGTTTCAGTAGTAGTACTGACGAGAATAATCAAAAGCCCTCTTCTTTTTTTTCTTTTTCTTTTTTTTTTTTTTGTTTTTGTTTTTTGTCTTTTTTATTTTTTGATGACGGGGAATACGACACCGTCCATTCGAATTTCCTAGCATTATACTAAAAAATGAAATTCCAGACGGGACCAACCCCTAATGATAATTATTAATTTCCTCTGTTGTTTCTTTTCTTTTTTTAACCAAAAAAAAAAATTAGTAGTACATTATTTGTTTTCATATTGCCGCCGCTTAAGTTTGGGGTCACTCACCGGCCGACTGGCACATACAGGAAAGCCGCCGTGAAGGCACCATATGACACGCAGACGTCTCTTTAGTCATCTTGGTCTCCAAATCATTTCTCCTGTTTTCTTTTCTTTGTACTAATTTGTTTTTTATAACTAATTATAAACTTTTCAAAAAAAAAAATGATTACGTGCTCAGTGCTGTGTAATAGTGGAGTACTGGCATCGTCAAATTTGAGATGGGAGTATTTGTATTTTGGTATCAGGAAAACGTGACTTTGAAAATATATTATTATTATAACTTTTATACTGAAATAATAATAGTGTTGGTTTGTGTAAAATTTGCCCAATCATTTCAGGAATATTTTTGTTTCAACTTTCATCTAAGCAGTCCGCTGTTTTATACTTGTTCAGGTTTCAGATATGTTCAGAACTATTCTTATCTGGGTTTCAGTTACACTGTTAAAGTAAGATCAGTTAGTTTCCAACCACCAGGCTATCGCCCTGTAGGCAGCTATAGCCCAAAATGAAAAGGCCCACTGCCCAATTCATCTACTTTAGTAACTTGGGCTATCTTTGGAAGGTTTTTTTAATATGTTTTTTTGCATTGGGAATGTAAAAATGTGTATTGAAAATTTAAAAATGTGCATTGGGAATGTAAAAAGATATACTGGGATAGCAAATTATCTGGTACACCCGGGGGCACCGTGTACCCCCTGCGCGTGTACTTTACTCTCTTAAAATAGCGTGAGCTCGCTAGATAATTCAGCTTTCTTTTTCTTTTTTTTTAAATGTGACATATATAAATTACCGAATTCATTCAAATTTTGAAAACTTACTGTGCCAGTATTGACATTGTGGATAACCAGTATGTACACTATGAATAACTAGTTAAACATAGCTGAATAACCAGTGTGCACACTATGAATAACCAGCTACACACTATGGACAACCAGTGTTCACAATGTGGATAACCAGTGTTGGCAATATGGATAATTAATTATACACAGTTGGATAATCAGTATTGACAATATGGATAATTAGTTATACACAATTGAACACAATTGAACGTACCTTATTTCCATCATTTGGCAAACTGTCCCTCATTCATTTTTTGTTCTCCATCATTTGGCAAAATGCTCCTCCTCATTCATTTAAATACTATTTATGAAATTTGCCGTGTTCGGCAGGGGGCGGCGCAGCCGGGTCGTTTAGTTTATCACGGGAGGGTTTATACAAGTAATTTGTGTCCCCTCTTAACGCAATAACACACTCTCCTTACACACACTCGAAAAAAGGATTATCTTAGCTAAATTGGCGTGTTCGACGGCGCGGCGCAGCCGGGGCAGGTTGGTGACCTGCGATTCCGGTGGCCGCGGGAGTCGTTTAATTTATCATGGGGGGCATTAACTTGTCGTTTGCTTCTTTACCTCTGGATAACCAGTTTACAACTTGTGGATAACCAGTTTATATCTTCTGGATAACTAGTTTACACCTTCTGGATAACCAGTTTACAACTTGTGGATAACCAGTTTGCACCTTCTGGATAACCAGTTTACACCTTGTAGATAACCAGTTTACAACTTGTGGATAACCAGTTTACATCTTCTGGATAACCAGTTTACCCCTTCTGGATAACCAGTTTACAACTTGTGGATAAATTATGGATAACCAGCAATTGTGTGTGTTTGTGCCTGAGGATGAAAACAGTAAAATGGATGAAAACAATTTTGATTGTGCATTTAATTTAAAGGTGAAAAACGTTGAGCGCGTGTAGTGCGTGTGTTTGGTGGGGGTATACGGTATACCCGGGTGCACTGGATATGGACTCTACTGGGATGAGATAGATATTAATTAAAAATTTTGAAAAAATGAGTGAAAAAAGGAACCAAACATAGCCTTCACTTCTAAATTTTTCAGACAAAAAGTGTTTTTGGTTCACTCATGAGACTCTAGTAAAATCTTGACGGGAATTATCGATGACATTACGTTCTAATTATTAATAAGGAAAAATGTTTTCAAATTAGCATATATGGTACATTTTAGGAATAAACAAAAATATTAACTCGCACAACATGTTGACCGACGGACCTACAAAAGCATAAATTAACTGGCGAATCCTTCAAAGATTTTATATTTGGTCGATGTTGTTTCCTTGAACCTCAATTGTGAAACCATGTGGTATTATCAACACATTAACTAATCAACTCGAAGAAGTAAGTAGTATTAATAAGAAATCTAAACAGTTTAGAGCACTGGTAGTCTCAATTTCAATTTACACAAAATATTCGTAGTTGGAATATGATATAATAGAGATTGCATATTTCAAAAATGGTTAAATTAGGCCTTTGCCTCCATCTTCGTAGCCGGAAAAAAAAAGTACTTCGATTTAAACAAAATGCAAGATTTCAAAATGTAGCGGGAAATTGAAGTTTATATTTCACATTGAACGTCAACAACATTTCATCCAAATGAACCATTCTCTGATTATCATCCTGTGAGCAACTCATCACTTAAAAATTAAATATGGTGCTTTTCTTTCAAGGAAAAAAAAAAGAAAAAAGAAAAAGATATTTGGGAATCAGCAAATGGTGTCAACCACATATCGGAAAAATCATCCAACGTGGACAGCAACAAGCCAGTCATGGTCAAGCGAAGAACACAACCAGATAAGAAACTGATAAGGCCCAGAGAGTTTATACCGTCAGATGGATTCATCTTCAAATCAGACGGTCAAAAATCTGCAGCACAGATAATCCCATGGAAACCAAAAATCTCTTTCTCCATCACCAGAATAGCATCCAGCTTCCTATAACCCCACAAAAACAAAAACAAACATATTCTCACTCACTCCCCACACCGCCATTTTCTAATCCCATTCTCATCTGATCCGTCCACCACACATCAGCCACCATGGCCGCCACCACTTCCGCCGCCGCCGCCGCATCTTCATTCATCGGCACTCGTCTTCCGGAAGTCCACTCCGGATCCGGCCGTATCCAGGCACGATTTGGGTTCGGAAAGAAACCTGCTCCTAAGAAAAAGGTCTCTAAGGTCACCACTGACCGCCCATTGTGGTTCCCGGGAGCCCAAGCACCCGATTATTTGGACGGGAGCCTGGTCGGGGACTACGGGTTCGACCCGTTCGGTCTAGGCAAGCCCGTGGAGTACTTGCAGTATGACTTGGACTCTTTGGACCAGAACCTGGCGAAAAACGTGGCCGGTGACATCATCGGAACCAGGACCGAAAACTCCGACGTCAAGTCCACCCCGTTTCAGCCCTACAGCGAAGTGTTCGGTTTGCAACGGTTCAGGGAATGTGAGTTGATCCACGGCAGGTGGGCCATGTTGGCTACCCTCGGCGCCCTTACCGTTGAGTGGCTCACCGGTGTTACCTGGCAAGACGCCGGAAAGGTAACATTTCTACTTATTATCCTTCTTCGATTCGTGCTGTGCTTCTTTCCCTGAACAATGCATTTAGTCCTTAATTAGTTTCCTACTTATGAAGCCCTATTGAATTTCCAATAGGTTAATACAGTTTTTGTATAGAATAACAGAGCAATACACTTTACCTGCTGAATAAATATATCCAATTGTGTTTGAATTAGGCTCTTATGGTGTCATAGATTCGTGCAATAAAGTATCTAAACATTTGTTGGATGAAACCTTAGAAAATTAGTAGACACTGAAAGCTTCTTCCAACGAATTAGTATAATGTGAGAGATTGATGAATTGATGGGGTTTTTTATATATATATATAGGTAGAGCTGGTTGATGGAGCATCATACTTGGGTCAACCACTCCCATTCTCCCTCACCACATTGATCTGGATTGAGGTGTTGGTGATTGGATACATTGAGTTCCAAAGAAACGCAGAGCTGGACCCGGAAAAGAGGTTGTACCCAGGTGGAAGCTTCTTTGACCCACTGGGATTGGCTGCTGACCCGGAGAAGAAAGCCACCCTCCAACTCGCCGAAATCAAGCACGCCCGCCTCGCCATGGTTGCCTTCCTGGGCTTCGCCGTCCAAGCTGCCGCCACCGGCAAAGGTCCGCTCAACAACTGGGCAACCCACCTGAGCGACCCGCTTCACACCACCATTTTTGACACCTTTGGATGGTTCTCTTAAATTAAATGCCCCCAATCTTGTTAAAAAAACATCCATCGTCATATGTTTTGGTTTCATGAATGTAAAGTAATGTACAATTTGACAGCTTAATCAAGAGATTCATCAATGTGTGCCAGTCTAGGCATATACATTCCGCCTGCTTGTTAATTATAGAATATTATAATCTGCTAGTTATTGTTGTATTAATGTGATGATGTTTTTCCTCTTCTGGTGGAGAAACCGGTTTAAGAATATTATTATCAACCAAAAAAAAACACAAAATTTGGCTTTTGTTTGGTTGACAAATTAATAGCAGGGATAGGTTTACTGAAGCAAGACAGCTTGTTTCAAATTTCAAGTTTGTAAATTGCAATTATGATAACCAGAGCAACGGAACTTGATACACGGGAAATAGAGATGGCATGGGATGTAGACTGTAGTGACTGGAAATAGAAACTTGTTCAAAATGAATAAAAAATTGTAAAATGAAAGATATTCATGATGATACCATCCATCAAATCTAGACAACTTATTTAAAAATTTAGTCCCATAATTTATTAGTATATAAGATTTTCAAATAAAATTTTTCTATATATGTATCACCAACCACTCGCGAATAGAAAAATGCACAGACTTTGTTTGAAGGGGATTCTTCGTCAGGTGACTGAAATTGTATATATAAAATAAGGAACCTTAAATGGTTATTAAACTCATCACTTATCACTGTTTAATACTGCTATTTCTGGGCTACAAAATTGAATTATCTTTCTATACAACGGAGAGTGTAACTTCTAGTTTTGTGATTTTGTGACATAGATGTCGTTGAGGCAGACAAGTGATTTTTTATTTTTTATTTTTTGGATAATGTAATTAAACTAAATTATTATAGCATTACAATGCGTGACATAATAATAAAATTGATTTAATAACACATGACAAGTGTCTTTTGGGAGTGCGAAGAAACTAGTGTGTCCAGTCCAGTTCCGGTGATCCAGTCTCTTACCTTACCCATAGGTAGACAGTAGAGACACATCACACAAGTAAATAGAACTCCTGGAATTAGAAATAAAATAAAATAAACAAATTTGGAGCAGTATCACACACATTAACTCACGTCCCATTCGGTGCGTGTGTGTGCTGACGTGGCAGTTCCCACTGGCCTTTTTAGGCCTCGTTTCTTTTGCTTTGCCCCCAGAAGCGAAAAACCTCTCTTTTTTTTTCCCTTCTTAACCGCCTGCTGCTTTTGCTTTGGGTCGGTCGTCAGGTGTGAGATTATCGCAATCCTCTTCTCTCTTCTCTCTCTCTCTCTCATCACCCGAGCTGTTTCTTCCATGTCCGCCATCTCTCTAAGCTTCTCATTCTCATCTTCTTTTACATTCACCGCTTTGATAAAGTTTATTGTATGCATTGCATTATGTCGTTTCTATCGTAATCTACGTCGATTCCGTTTTTTTTTTCTTCCCGTCGAATTTTAAGCCATTGAATTTGTCGGTTTGGTTTTTTCGGTTTATTGATTTTTATCAGACATTTTTTGCAGTGATTTTTTTGAGGATGGGAAGGCTATTCTTGATCAGTCTGGAAGGAAACTTCTACAGCTGTAAGCACTGTCAAGCTCACCTCGCTCACTGTGATGATATCATCTCCAAGGTCTTGAGACGGTTTTATCCCTTACTCCTTGTTTCTTTCTGAGCTGTCCTCTTATTAGTGTGATATAACTTTACTGATTTTGGTTGGGTGAATTTCGTCTTTTGCTGTTTCCGGTACGATGAACGCTGAATGGGGGGGAGCCTCACCATTGAATTCATCGTAACATATGAAACTAAATTGTTTTAGATCATGAATTCCTTTCCTTATCATCGTTTATGTTTCTCATTTTGTTTTTCTTCCCTTTGTAAATTTTGTTTGTGTGTGTCTGTGTGTGTGATTTTTTTTTTGGCCATGAACGAGGAATCTCAGATTATCAATCGAATTTAGTACTGAATGTTTGCAAACCCCAAGAGCATTATGTTTTTAAGAGCAAAAGATGAAGAGAATTTCACGACTATGTGGTGTGAATTTGGTGTTGATTCTCCTGAACTGTATTTTGCAATTGAAATTCGTATGAATGATGAGAATTTAAAAGGAGCTCTTTATTTGATTGCTTCAAAATTGCTGCCGTTAAAGTTTGGTTGTAACCATATTCTTCTGTATTCATTCGGTATGTGGTTGCTGTTTAGCGGTGTTCTGTCTTTGATTGAATAAATTGTTTTTTCCCTTCTTACTTACCCTTTTTTGTTTGGTGTTGCATGAGGTGAAAACAGTAGAAGTACATGAGTTAAAAGCATCTTGTGTTTGAGGTTGTGTTTCCAGAAAGCTGGTTGAAGGCAGAGATGTTTTATGTACATCCTTGTATGGAATGATGCTTTACCTGGATGTTCTACCATGCCCCGGCTTAAAATAATCCAAAATAGAGAATTTTTTTCAGTATGCCTGTAGTTTGGAGGATGGGTGATTTTGAGACTATTTTATTGCTTTGCATAGTGGAGTTGATTTACATTTTAGGTCTCCGCAACTTGCTTAGAGTCTTACTTTCATGCGTAGTCATTAATTCTCACCGTACTATTTAGTTGGACACACTTGAGGAAGTCAGATTGTTGAATCTTGTCATGCGACAGCACAGTTCTCTCTGAAAAACAATTTTCATGGTGCCTTATAGTCTAACAAATATATTTGCATTTCTTTGCTTTCTCTTACTGCCAAAATATTGATCCAGTATAAATGGGAGGAGTATTTCTTTTGGTAATTTAGGGTAGACAGACAAACTCTCACCTCTTGTTGAATAAATGAAACCTGTTTGATCTCAAGTCTCAACTGTGAATATATGAACCATTATGTAATATACACGTAAACTATCTATGCTTATGGGAAAATGATTTCCAGTGGTATTGCATAGCTAGAGTGTTCGTTGTTTGCCAAGTACAGCTTGAGTAGCTAATCATGTGGAAATAATTCCATGCTTGTGAGCTGAATCATCTCTGAAACATTCGTCTTTCAGCTCTATGTGTTTGTTCAACAGGACATCTCTAGATGGGATTGCTCTGCAACTTTTCCACTTTTAGAGTTACCTTCTAAGATCAAATTCTGCCTGTCCATTAAATCTGCATGAAGTACTTTCCATCAAGAGATCCATGTAACTTTAGTTTTGGGTAATGGATATGTGCTGTTCAACTTCTCTGGCTTTGATGTAACGTTTTTTTTTCTTTCTGTCTTTGTTGATACCTAGACTTCCTGGTATCTGTTGATCGCTTGGAAGATAGTGACATGGCTTTCCTTTTTTTCTTATCTTACAAACTTCCACTGATGTGTTAGAGAGCTAATTTTAAATCTGAGCTTGCTTCTTTGTTTCCTTTACAGAGATTCTCAGCCATTAACTGCTGGTCATGGCATTATATCCATTTCAATTGCATTTAAAACGAGCGTTGTTGTTAAAAGACTAACTACTAAGATATGACGTGAAAACTTTTCTTGGCTGAACTTCCGTCCTGTCATGGCATGTTTGCTGGTTTATTGAAATTATTGTGTACTGTGTAGTGACCGAAAAATAAGGGTTATCAATGTTGGTTATTTCAGTTTTCTGTTGGCTGGAGGTCCACGTAAAGTAATAGAAGTTTGAATTTAGACTTCTATTACTTTACGTGAAATTCTCTATGCATTTAGTAGTTTGATATCTGGCTCCTTGTTCAATTCTCTAACACTGAGTTTGCCTGCTATTTTCAGTCTTTTCACTGCAGGCATGGGAAGGCTTATCTCTTTGAGAAAGTGTAAGTATTTCCATTCCGTTTCTTCTTTGGTAACTAGAAGGCAGATGGAATTTCTTCAGCTGTATTCTTAAGGTTTCTCGATGATTTTTAATAATATCGGTCAAATGACTCAGACTTCAAAAACCCAAAGGGTCATCATTCAATTGCCACGTTGAAATATTTACTTTCCATCATGGATTTCAGTTACCCATCTCATTTTCCTCTCTGAATCATATATGAAAGCAGATTTTTATTGTTTTCTGTACTGCATAATGATATGCCTGAACAATAGTAGGTATTCTGATGGTATCGTATACTTCCATTTCATGGCAGGGTTAACGTGACTTATGGGGAGAAAGAAGAGCGGATGATGATGACTGGAGTGCACGTTGTGAGCGACATGTTTTGTGTTGGTTGTGGGTCGATGGTGGGCTGGAAATACGTAAGTTTCACTTGCTAAAACTTTCTTTGCCATTTCTTTTAGTATGTTGCTAATATCTTTCACTTGTTATATATATATAGGAATCTGCTCTTGAAAAGAGCCAAAAGTACAAGGAGGGAAAATTCATTCTTGAAAGGTATTCAGTTAATGCATTCATTTATTTTCATTTCCTTTTTCCTCTGGTTGCTTGACCTGTGTGTCTCTTGGTTAGGTTTAAGATGTTGGGTGCTGATGGAAGTCATTATATCATCACCCATGACGGTCAGCTTGTGGGAAGCGATGCTGAGGAATGATGATGCTTCGCTTGATGATCAGATATTCAGATGTTAAGCTTGACATGATGAAAACTACACCTTGGCCTCAACCTGTATATATTCGACCTTATTGTCCTCAACAATGGACGTTGGTTTTACATCTCTGTTGTTTTACATCTGGTATACATGCAAACTGGTGGGCATAGAAACAGTTCTGTAGGGATGATACTTTCTTTTATATTTCCATTTCCATTTTCGAGGACTTAATTTAAGTAGTTAATGATGTATTGAAGGTGGTGATTGCTTCATATTTAAGATTTTGGCTCACAAATCTATCAAGCAGGCCGCTTCAGATTTCAATCAGTGGATTTCTCTCCGTTTTTCAAGTTTGATATTTTCTCTTTTTTGTGTCTGATAGTTGTTTATGATCAATGGATTACAGGGGATGTGGGGAGGTTCATGTTCTCTTTGCATGAACATCCATTGGTGTGATTTTTCTGATTCATGGTTTAGATTTTAGCAGATAGGTCGAATTTGTTTTGCTGCCATTTCCTCTCCTTTAGACTGCATGATGTTGTTTTGGTGGGTATAATTTGATCCTCTTAAAAGTACTAGTAAGAATATATGCAAGTTAAAGTCCCTGTAAAATTAAAGTTGTACTATGCAAGGTATATGCAAGTATACAACATGTACAATTTTAGTTTACATAACAAAAGAACCTTGTGCCAACTTTTCCATCTGGCATTTTTTTGGTAAACTAAAATCATATGGGTTTGCAATTGAATTGTTGCAGTGTGACAAGTTTTTAAAATTTTGCTTTTGATTAGTCTTTTTTCCCGGCAATTTCAATTAAAATTCTATATTATAGTTTATTTTTTATTGTGTTTCTTTTTTCAATTAATGTTCATGATATTTTTAAATAGTTATAGAAAATTTGAATTTACTGATTAATTGTCTTGAATAATTGACGACATCGAATGATTCGAATGGATGACAAAGAACTCTTTACGAATCAATGATGAAAACATGACGAGAAAAAGAAATTAAAATCTCTCACTAATCTTGTGTAATTTTACATTGTGTGTATTTCAATTTGAGATAAAAACAAAATTACTACTATTTCCATTTTTCTCATGAGATGTCAATGACTAATTTTATACATGCCAATAAAACTAATCAATTTTAGTTATTTGTCTCCAATAACCTATGAGTTTACTAAGCCAACTTTAGTACATTTAATGATTGGAATAAATTCTAAGTTATTTAAGTTCAGAGGACAAATAATAGGAAAAATAATTTATTCTTTTTTTTTATTTATCAAAAGTAAACTGAATTTTATAACCAACTTCAAGTCACCCATTGTGTACATTTCCTATCACTCACTATTACAAATAGTCACCTGTTTATACACAATTGTTTTTTTTTATAGTTTCCAGACATTCAGAATGTGTTCTTCTCCTTGACTAAACTTTCTTTGACAGAATCTAGTCCTGATACTAACTTCCTCCCTAATCAGCTGCACCAGCTGATCTTCAGTCCTGCATTTCTGTTGGAATATTTGCCAATTCCTCTCTTCCCACAGTTGGTATATGACAGTCATCGAGGATGCATACAGAATTCTTCTTAAGTACAGTAGTAGACTTCCATATATATTGCAGTTCCTCTTTCCATTTTCCTGCCCTTACTGTCAGCTTCCTAATTCCCAGCCAGATCATGCTTAAAACATTACTAGAGTAGCCACATTCAAAATATAGATGTTGCAAGCTTTCTGCCTGATTACCACAGAGGTTGCATTTGGGGTCATCAACCTGCACATTCCAGTTCAAGAGCCTGTCCTTCCATATCAACCATGCAATGAAAGCATGTTTGGGGAGAAAACTTTAATAAAAAAGAGTGTTTAGTTTTATTTGCGTGGTCCATAAAAAGGGTGAACGTTAAATTTTCTTCTATGCCCCTAGGTCGGCAATTAATATCTGGATCTTATGAACTCTTTGCTAGAATCCTAGAGCCACTTAATACATATTATATTCATACATGGCCATTCCGAATTTCCGATACAAGAATCGGGAGTCGGAACCAAGTATTGCCCCTCTCTCTTTCTTTCTCTTTTTTTTCTTTTTTTCTTTATCTAGAAAAGAAGAAGCCGAATATGTTGGATTTTAAATTTTAATGAAGGTGATCTGATCTAATGTAGCATGAGAGGCAATGCATGAACTATTTTTTTTCAATAAGTTTGGAGATTTTTTTTTGGATGAAGGACTAAACTGACGAAAAACTCAAAACTAAGCGAATCGAAAGCCGTTTCCCCTTTGGCCCTTTAATGTCAACTTCAGTGGGTATAGAGATTTTCATTTCACTGCAATGTTTATTTATATTTTTAGTTAAATTTAATTTTGTTTTAAGAAAGTAATATCTTATATAGATGCAAATGGGATGGCAATGAGCATTCACAAATGCCGTTCTTTATTTCCTTTTTAGTTTTTTGTATAAACTAGATGCTACCCGTGTGTTGCACGGAGCAAAAATATCACAATTTAAATAAGTATAATGAAATAAACAAATATTTAGAAAAACGTATATGATACAGATTTCAAACATTGTTAACCATGAATTAATTAGTGTTTAAAGAATGCAGTTAGTGTTCAAATAATGTAGTACATGAGGAATAGAGTAATATTCAAATAAATTGCGTGACTTTATTTGGACACCAAATTAAAAAATTATCAGAAGAAAAACTTTATAAATTCAAATTACACATACCATATTTTTCAACACTTTTTTGTAACAACATTTATAGTTTGTTTCTCATATCACCGTCTTGATCACACAGTAATACTTTAATTCATTGTATTTAAATAACTTATTCATGAACAAATACCGAACATGATACATGTAATCTAACCCCGACTAGACCTCACTTTCATTTATCGTCATTGATAAACAAATGACAAAAAAACTTGTCTTTCATTTTGCACTGAACCACAATTTCAAATTTCATTTCACATTCATACATTGTTCAACTATACAGCTAGACCATTTTTGAATGGAGATATCTTTTTTAATTCTTCCATCCTCGCGCTAACATTCTCCCATCTCTCCATTACTCGAAGATCTTTATCAATTTATTGTCATGGGTTATAACCATTATCCTCTTCGACGGGTGATTCTTGAAAGTTGCAAGTCAAGCGGTAATTAAGGTGAAAACACCAAAATAACCTCCTCGTGCCTTTGGAAAAAAGAGAAAAGCAATTACCTCTCGTTGCCTTCTTCCTTTGTTTGCTTATAGTTTAAAGTACTAACCTTGAGTGACCTGAAATCATGGTAGATTAATGCAACTTGTGAAAGCTTTCTCTTGAAAAAACAAAAATCAGTAAAATCAAGTTACCATCTAAAAATATTCCTAATTAATTATGTCCTAGAGAAAATTAGTAATAATAACAGGTCTATACTTTTAGGAGAAAGTTTGTCTAAATTAGTATGTTATAAAAAGAAAAAATTAAAATCAAATCTTGAAAAAAAAATACAACATTCAATCCAAACAACCTTCCCAATTCGAATTATGATAATGTACTGCACAAATACAAACGAATGGGGAACAAAAGGGACATTAAGCTATAACTTAGTAGTTTCTGAAAACTGAGAGTATACTCTGAAAGTCCTTTTATTGAAAATTTAACCTGCAAAAAAAGAAGAAAAAAATTTCAATCAAAACTATATTAATTGAAAAAAACAACAATGAAACGAAATAGGCAAATACTACTACATTTAATCGAACTGATCATATTGAGACCTTCAATGATAATAAAGTAGAAAACATGCTGGAAGAAGAAAAAAGAAAAATATGATGATAAAAATGAAACATAATCACCCTGAGTGTGGTGTATTATTTTATAAACATCAATAATTCAAATACCCAAAATTTCTCAAAATATAAGGAATAGAAATCTCTTATGATAATCTATTTAAAATTCTCTCCGTTGTATCTCTCTCATTAGTTCAATATAAGAGTATTTCTTTTAATATTCCAAAATTAAGTAAATTTGGAGATATATAAGAGAGATTTTAGGAATTATATTTCATAGTTACCAACCTTCATTTTTTTTTCAATTTTCAAAATCAAAATTTTAACTGAAGATATAATGTTTTTTTTTCTTTTTTAATAAATCAAAAAATAGAGAAAATTGTTAGTCTATGTGACAAGTAGAAAACTATCTCAGTTTCCTCCTCTCTCTGGTTTCCTATTATTATATTATATAGAAGATTATTGGACTTATGGTTTTTGTTTTAACAGTGGTAAAATTACAGCTAAAAGTAGATGGTTGAATATACCATTTTTTAGTTCTCCGATTTATATATTTCCTTTTTTAGCCCTATAACATAGTAAATTCAGAGAGTTACGCTTTGATGGTGAAAAATTCACGCGAAAGTAGATGGTTGAAATGACAACTTTGTTCAAAATAACTATACTAAGTTTGGAGGGATTATTTAAGTGACGCTATAAACTTTACCAAAAAGGAATAAATCCAAGACATTTCTTATCAAGAGAAAAAAAACAAAACACATCATAACGTTATTAATTAGGGGTTTTGTTTATTTATTTACAACATGCATGAATTGGAATGCACATGAAGGTGGAAAGTGGAAACCAAACATGGGGGCCAACATAAGAGTTCTGAAAAGCAAGATCAATACAAGGCCCCTTGTAAATGGGCCCTCCGGCCCGGAACCATGGAAGTAGGGAAAATGGACCCAAGATAATGTTGTTTTTTGTTCATCCCCATAAAATAAACAACCCACGTTTAGGCTCTGCATACCATATGCCTGCGAGTCTACCTTTTGAAAGCGAGTTTGACTACTGACAGAACAATATATGTGTTTAAATATGATGATCTTACTCAACAATACAAAATTACTACAAGTCTATTCTCCTTTTACATGGACACCAAAAAATATGTTGCAAATTGAAACTATGCCAACGGAACCAAATCCAAGAATTCAAATTTTCAAACAACATTATAAAGGTCCTTATCAAGTCTCATTTAATGGAGTTCTTTGTGTCATTTTGGAACAGTTGCCACTACGGGAAAGAGCAGAAAAATTAAAATTAAAAGGCCCTTTTTGAAATTAATTTTAGGGATTCAAATATTTGAATCTTTTCAGGGTTTTTTTTTTTTGCTGGAAAACTTTATTCACAAGAGTATTTTCATAAGGAAGATAGGGGGCGAAAAGAAGAAGAAAGATGATGATGGATCATATGCCTAGGTAAAGGCAATAATGATTGTAATTTTGGCCTTGATTCCATTTCTGCAGTGGTTACTACTAGTAATCACACCGGATAACTGAAAAAGTTTCTTCACATTATAGATTAATGATACATTACCCCTCATGATGAAGATCTGCCCATGGACCCTCAACAAACCCTCAACCCTCACTTTTGGGAATTATCATTGATCATTAACAAGTACACAAACAAAGTTTACTACTTACTCGGATGAGAATCACATTATATATTTTCATAACCCGATAAACTTAATCAGAAATTACTTAATATCGTAATCGAATCATTTAGTGACTCATACAATTAGATCAAAATTTTTCTTTTTCGTATGAGAACTATTTCTCTAAACTTTTTAAAATAAAAGTGAATTATCAAAATGAGACGTTTTAATAGCGGTTGAGCTGCATTTTGAATAGAAACATGGTCAAACTTTTTTACTTTCACTTGGGAGAAGGAAAGTTTTTAACTTTTAATAGACGAAAATGGGTAAAACCGTAAACCGGAACAAAATTAAACCAACCGACCAGCCTTCAGCAGTCAGCTCTCCCTTTCAAGTTTCATTAACATTGATGTCGTTGTCAAAGCAATCAAAAACGGTGTTTCAAATCAATTTTTAGTACATGAACTTCCCTCCCTCTCCCCTCTTCCACCTTTGTTTCCCCCACCATTTTCGGCCACCCTGTTTTCCTCCTCATTCTGAAACAAATCACTATTCTTGATTGATTACTTCCACCCCAAAACCACACTATTTTTGAAGTAGTAAAAGATTCTCTCAAGCTTCCTCCTCTTCTGTCTGAGTCTGAACCAAAACTCATTATTTTGTTTTTTTCCCTTTTTGTTTTACGAGGAATGGCAGTAAGTGCTCGATAACTGTGTCTTCAGTTATAAAACCCCAATTTGAAAACTTGCTAGATACCCACTTTTAATAAACATTTTTTCTTTTTTTTTGGGGGTTTTTTTTTTTATGATAAGTGTATATCTTGACTGTGTGTGTTAGGATGAAAAGAAGGGGGAAAAAAGCGGCCTAATACGTGACAGATTCTGGGATTAAGTCAATTTTCTTAACCAGATCCAATCATTAAGCAAAAGGGTGGGAAAAAAGTCTTGTTGTTTGAAAAATGAGTCTTTGCTGGCAAATTAAACGTTTGAATGTGATGGGTTTATTTGTTTTTTGGATTGTTTTTGGAGTGTGTGAGTGTGTTTTTTTGAAATTTTTAGGAAGATTTGTTTTTTGGTTCTGCTTTCATTACTTGGCTGGATTTGTTGAACTTCCAGATTTTGGTTTCATTTTGTAACGAGGAAGGTGCTTCTTTTTGAACTGTGATTTGTTTGCAAATGCAGGCGTCCGTTCAGAGTAGGCATCAAGATAGAAGTCGTGGAATGGTGATGAATAGTGAGGTAGATGGAGATCTTCCAATGTTTCTTGAGATCAGGAAACGTGGAAAGGAGAGCAGCAACGGGTTTGTTCATCTTCACAAAATGCCCGATGGATTTGATGATTCGCCAGGTTATTGGAAGATAGTCAATCTTGTGTTTTCATTCCATTTAGCTTTCAAAATTTCATCGCACAAAAAAGTAGGTGTTACACTCTTTAAGGACTTTCTGCTTAATTCTATTAAAAAAAATTTTGCAGCACCAAATCCTGATTGCCTTGAGATTTCGGATCTGACTCAGCTCATTATGAATCCAGCTGATAATTTTTTGGATGCAGAGAGCCAAAAAAGCGATCATGACTGGTAATGAGATTAATCACGTGGATAATTACTTTCATTTATTATTGCTGGAATCATTAGCTTGAGTGAATCTGTATTTACTTGACTCGTGATATACTGATATAAGTGATTTGCTAAATATCTTAGTTTGATATAGGAATTTAATACCATCTTACTTGATTCTAAATTTGCAAGCTTCGAATTGCAGCAAGCTTAGTCGCATAGTGTTTGCACATTTAGTGTAAGCAGACACTAATTTTGGCATCAGATAACTGCTTCATTGTTGAATTGCTAACTGATAGTCAGGGACCTGTAAAGTATATGTTATTCTCTTTTTCCCTATGATTGAAATTGTTAGGCTCCCATGAAAATGATGCATCTTAGTTTCTACAAACTTAATTCATTGTTTTTGTGGAGTTTATGTGTGAAAAACCCCATTGAAAGGCGTCAGTAATTAGTAATGCTGTCTATATATGCCTATCTGCTGTTTAGTATTTGGCGGCAGTGCTTAATTCAAGGTTATATACTTTGCAAATAGAATCATCGTGAATGACAGTTGCTTCACTTACTTGAGACTTTAGATTCATAGAAAGGTTCACTTTTACCCGATTTTGCTACTGCTAGCTCATTGTTGGTTATTGTTTCCAGGCTTCTTACACCACCTCGCACCCCTTCAATGCCTTTGATGGAAATATCAGATCCGAATGGTGGTAATCAGATAACAAATTCAAGCGCTGTGCCTACTGCTCAAATATCAAAGGCAAGCATATATGACTCATTGCAGTTCTGCAAATTCTTTTCTGCCTCTGCAGTTTAAGCTTTTTAACTCTCTGCTATAGAAAGACCTAAGTCATTCCCTCAGAATTATGTTTTATTTAACTTTTGTATTTATTCCATCCTACATTACCACCTCAAAGACTTCTTTACGTTACATCAACTGAACCTTCGTCCCACTATGTGGTTATATTTTCCAATTGCTGTCATGTTCCGTTGCAACACATATTTTCAATTAAATTCATAGACATCTCTGCATTGCAGCTGGAAAATCCACTTGATGTACCCTCCTCGGTGAACGATACATCTGCCGTTCAGCCTATCAATTCGATTACTGATGGCTCTTCTGTTTCGACAAATAGAAAACCTTCATCAGCCAGGCAAAAATCAACTGCCTCTAGATCTGCAACTCCAACTGCCCGGTCAACAGTACCCACAGCATCACGGCCCTCCCGATCATCTACTCCTACTTCAAGAGGTACTGCTGCTTCCAGTAAGCCGGCGGCATCTTCAGCAAGATCCTCAACTCCCACAAGAATTAATGCCCGCTCAGCTACGCCACCAGCCAGGCCCTTGCTACCATCTACCTCCTCTAATAAATCAGCATCAAGGTCTTCAACACCCACACTTAGATCTTCAAATTCATCTAGTGGAACTACTACTTCATCTGCGCCTTCTGCTCGGTCTTCATCGCTGATAAAGACAGTACCTGCAATGTCAAGAAACACGGGAGGACCACGCATCGGTATTGTTCCCATTGTGAAGTCTAGGCCTAAAGCATCATCAGAAGCTGCACCAGTTACTTCATCTGATGCCCCTTCTAATTTGAAGGCAATGCCTAAAAGGGCTACTTCAGCATCCAGAGGAAGATCTACCGCATATAATTCGCTGTTTTCTTCTAGTAACACGACTACTGCAAAACAACGGCAAAAATCTTGCTCTCCTGCAAGAGGACGGATTAAAGATGGTGCTTTGGATGCTGGGAAAACTGTACTTTCCAGGAGTCGAGGATACTCTAATGGCAGCGATGATGTGAACCCTGTTCTGATGGGCACACAAATGGTTGAAAGGGTGGTGAACATGCGGAAGTTAGCTCCACCTAAATACGACAATGACTATTCCCATGATAACTCATCAGGGAAGTCTTCATCTCAAGATAATTCTGGCTTTGGAAGGTCTCTATCCAAAAAGTCTTTAGAAATGGCTATACGACATATGGTAAGTAGCTCTTAGTTTAATGAAATTGTAGAATCAACATTTCACTAAGCCATTTCGCTGAATGAATTCTCTGTGAGTATCATTTTTCCTCTTATATTGACTTGGACTTGAATCTACGTTCTTGCAGGACATTAGAAGAAGCATATCTGGTAACTTGAAGACAATAGTAACAAGTGGTTCAGCTTCTTCTTCTTCATCAAGTCGTCGAGCTGGCTCCTCAAAGACCTCTACGACCACCAGTGCTTCGGACTCTCCACTCGCTACGTGTAGCAACACCAGTTCTGAACCTAGTGTCCATAACATCTCCCATGTCTTGGACATGAATGATATGGACATATATGACCTTCCAAATTAGACTTCTGAAATGTTCAGTGTGGAATGTGTGGAGTTCATCCTTGTTGACTCCGAATGTTGCATTTGGATAATGTTTTTTTTGGAAATCCTTTGCAATATCAGTTGAACTTGGACATTATACCATCAGTAATAGTCTTGTGTAATACAAAGGAATGCATGATATCTTGTTCTTCGTGCTGATTTAGTTTGAATTTGATACTCTTCTTCCCAAAATGAGTATTATGTTTGTTTTACTCACTGTGTCCTATTTTACTCCTCTTACATAATAATAGTCTTGTAATTTGGTGAATTGTACCATTAGACTTATTTTTTGAGACGAAGGGAGTAGTTAATAAACTGGATTACAAACTAATGCAACAAACAACATGTTTTTGGGACGGAGTAGTTTTCTCTTGTACAAGTTGAACCTAATTATACCATTTGATTTGGAGTACTAAAAATCATACTACTAGATCCAAGCCAGGTTGGTAAGCTTTGAAAATTTGGCACCTAGGTGAATGAGACATTTGCCACCGAGGTGGAAACTTGAAATATAAGTTATTTTAAAGCAATTCACCGTCAAAGAATAAATTTTTTATGTATGAAATACTAGTTGGTACAGGGCAAATAATATCAAACACTGGTATATATTGTATTATGTATCCAGACGATGTGTGTGATACAAACATGTCAAAAAAAGAGTAGATATTTTACCCCATGAATTAATCCATCTACGCGCATGTTTGATTAATTAAGCACATGATTCTTATCCCTTTTTTTTCAGCAAACATTTAATTTCAAATCTTTTTTTTTTCTGGCTTATCTTCATCTTTTTTATACAATTTTATTTTATTCTATTTTTTTATTATTTATTGTTATATCTTTATCTAATTTTTTTCTATTAAGCTCTATTTAAATTTGATGATGTAAGTCAGTTTTTTATTTTGAAATTGATAACATATAAAATATTTACCAAATTTGGTAAAATTGAATATGGAAGATTTTAATAGATAACGATGTTTGTTTGGTGAATAATGGTATACTTTTCGATGAATAATGATAATATTGTGGATTAATAATGGTGTTCTTATAGTGCTAAAGTTATAGATAAGTAAATTTAAATTTTAAAATGAATAATGATATTCACAAGATGAATAACGGTGCAAATCTCGATGATAATTATCTCATTCTAGATGAATAACAATACTAAAATGAAGAATATATGTAGTTTCACTAGATGAATAATTATACTTTAATGAGTAAATAATATATTGTTAGTGGATGAATAACGCACAATAGAACGAATAACTTTGGTCAAGAAAATTAACAAGAGTATATTTTACAATGTATTAATGTCAACAACTAAGCCAACAAACTTCTATGTATTATACTAGACCAAAATTGAACAAAAAAACTAGTCATTATTTTTTACATATAAGGTCTGAAAAATTCGCAGATATGACTCAATTTCACACGTGAAAACTGGCATGTGACTCGATTTTCACTTCAACACTTATTGGTGGTGGGATTCTTTCAGCTCCTAATACTCGGCTTGCTGCAACATTTGGTTGTTTCCCTTTATCTTTACTGGTGTATTATGTCAATAAATGGCAACATTAACAAACAAATAAGTAACACAATAGTTAATGAATATCTTAAATTCGAATGATGAATAACCATATTCGATGAACAAAAGCCGATGAACAATTATGAACAATGAATGAATAATACATTGTAGTTGATGAACACCGAAGTTGATAAATAACACCTCAAATAATATGACGAAAAATTAGTCATTGTTTTTCACATGTGACTCAATTTCCACTTCAACACCTATTAGTGGTGAGGTGCTGATAATCGACCTGCTGCAACATCTGGTTGTTTCCCTTTATCCTTACTGATGTATTATGTCAATAAGGGCAACATTAACAAATAAATAAGTAACACAATAGTGGTGTAATGAATATTTTAAATTCGTATAATGAATAACCATATTCGATGAACAAAAGTCGATGAACTATTATGAACAACGAATGAATAATATATTGTAGTTGATGAACACTGAAGTTGATAAACAACGCCTCAAATAATGTAACGAAAAATATAATTAATTGAGGTAGATTACCATAATTAGGGATAACTTTTTTTTTCACCTTAGAAAAAGAAATCGTGATGTATTTGACATATTTGAAATAGGGAATTTCCATATATCCTATAAAAATTGCAAGGGATAAAATAGAGAGCACACTTTTTAAAGTACCAATGTTACTAATTTATTTCCTACAGTATTTTTAGAGTTTCATATTTGGCATATTTCTCTTTGTTTTTTTTTTTCTCTCTCTCTCTCCTTTTTGTAAACTGTAACTTGTAATTTATTGACAACAATATAATTTGCAGTGACTAAGACAGAGGGAGTCATTGTCATGATAAACAAATAATACAGAGGAAAATGTCGCATTTTAATTAAGATATCAAAAACTTTAATTGTCATGATTAAGAAAAAAAAGCCTATGGCTTCTAACTAATTCATCAAAAAATTAATTTATCAAAGGGTGGATCCATTTTTAAAAAATATTCCTCCTAAACTAATTTTTCTTTTTCAAGAAAAACTCATTAAAAAGTTCTGTTAGAGAGCAAAAATAATACTCCTTCCGGTCCTTAATATAAGACATTTTGTTTTGTTCTAAAATTCACCTAGTACGTATTTTTAATTGACAAAAAAATCTTAAAACGAAAACACAACGAATGTGAAATATATTTTTAAGATTTCTTCTATAATTAAAAATGCATATTGGATTTGACAAATCAAAATGCTTTATATCAAAGTACGGAAGAGAGTATTTGAAAACCACGTGGTGGATAACTAATTAATCACTAACTTTCATCAATACTGGTCATATTAAGAAAGGCGGCCGCCGGCTACCGCGGCCTCTGTTTCCGACCTTCCTCTTCCTACGCCAAAGGTGTCCATAGTGTTCCCCTGACCCAAATCATCAAAAAGATTAGGCTCTCTCTCCCGTAGAACCAATTATGGATTGTTACAGTAGAAAAGTGGTTGAAGATAAACTGAGGATTTGAGAAAGATGTCAAAATCACACAAATGCAATAGAAACACACAACCAAAAGTCCACGCAAAGGCAAAAATACTATAATTAGAGCCGACCAAACGCAATTTGTTTAATGTTACACTTCTTTTCCACATTCATGGTTTTCTCCGTTTCTCTTGTCCAACCAGCCTTTAGTATAACCAATATTTTATACCTCGCCGGTCGCTTTCAGATAAAAGAATGCATCCTATCAGCTCACGAGAGAAATCGCATTAATTAATTCCCATTACTGATGTTATAGGGCATCTAGCTATATTTGCTTCCCCCCCTGTGTTTATGTGATTTAGTAGTTTTGTTTTTTTAATCCTGAAGGCCACTTTCTCAGGTTTCCACTTTTCACACTGCCCGAAAAATAAACTTCACGAGTTTCGAGGTTTAAGGTTTCTTCATTTTAGGACTGGGAAACAAGGTATTCCTTGTGTTATATGTGTTGATTGAAATTAATGATCAAGTTGAATAAGCTGGGTTTGATCGTTCAAGATTGGATTTTTCTTGTTGTTGCCTTCTCCCCGAGTGATAATGAGTTGAGAAAGTAATCATGGGATTCGGTAGCTGCTTTGGTGCATTTGATTCTTGTAAAGAAACGAGCAAATCCCATTGGCCTCAAGGTAATACTATACTTCTTTTTTTAAAAAACTTATCTCTTGCCTTTTGTTGTTGAGTTGTTTATTTGTTTCCTGAATGGTTCAGAAATCAATACCGCGGGGAATGTCAGGTTGTTTTCCTACAATTCGTTGAGATCAGCAACAGGGCATTTTCACCAATCAAACAGAATTGGGGGAGGTGGTTTTGGGGTGGTGTATCGGGTAAAAGATTATTGGTAGCATTGAAGAAGGTTTTAGGAGAGACGAATTTTTTTTCTGAACTCTTGAAGTGTTTTTGTTTATGTTCTTTTTGGAATTGCAGGGTGTTTTAAGAGATGGAACTCGGGTTGCCATTAAGCGTCTTTCTGCTGAGTCAAAGCAAGGGACTAATGAATTTCTCACAGAAATTAATGTGATCTCCCATATCAAGCATCCGAACCTCGTTCAATTACTTGGCTGTTGCGTTGAGGGTAGTCACCGGATATTAGTATATGAATTTATGGAAAACAACAGCCTTGCCAGTTCTTTACGAGGTAAACTTTCAGCATGTCAATGCAACAGTTTACTGCATTTAGATACTTCATCTGTCAGAGACCTAGAGTTATCATAAATGTAAATTTTGCTGTGAATTTAAAGCATGAAATGGTTGGTTTTGTTAGATTGCTTTTCTGTCCCTTTTTGGTATAAGAATTACAGGTTCATAGTTCCTCACATTTTAGTGACATGGTTATCTTGGATGCTTAGGTGGATTTGCACATGCAGCTTTTCACTTGTGGTTATGTTATGATTAGGTACTTCAGCCTTTGCATGTGCTTCACCTGTTCACACTTCGAGGAAATTGAGAAAATGTAATAAGCAGATTAATGGAAATGAACAATCCATTGTGACTCATGCTACATTATTTCCATATTCTTGTTTTAAGGTTCAAAGGGTAAAATGCTTGATCTGGACTGGCGAACAAGAGCTAGCATATGCATGGGTACGGCTTCTGGCCTTGCTTTCCTACATGAGGAAGTCCACCCGCGAATTGTCCACCGAGATATAAAAGCCAGTAATGTTCTCCTTGATGAGAATCTCAATCCCAAGATTGGTGATTTTGGGCTTGCCAAACTATTCCCAGATAATGTCACCCATATTAGCACAAGAGTCGCAGGAACCGTGTAAGTTTGTCTGAATTTCACTCCTGACTCCAATATTTCCTGGACATGCTAGGTGAATGAGTTAATCCTCCTTATGATATTCTGCAGGGGATATCTTGCTCCAGAGTATGCATTATTAGGACAGCTTACAAAGAAGGCAGATGTATATAGCTTTGGGGTACTTGTGCTTGAGATAGTAAGTGGCAAAAGTAGCAGCAAGGCAGCATTTGGAGACGATTTGTTGGTTCTAGTGGAATGGGTAAGCCACAGCCTAATGATCCATGCTGAAAATGCTTTTTGACTATGAAATCGGAATTGGATATAATGTGATGTTTTCTGCTTTAGAACAAACTTTTCTTCTTGTTTTCTACTTTTAGAACCAGCTACTTCTGTTTTGCGACTATTGGAGAATGAAATGCTACTTCAGCTACAATTTACCGTGTCAATTAAGTACTTTGTAAGGAACAAGTTAGACATTATTGTAGAATATCCTGGTGGTTTACCTCTTACCATCTCTGCTATATCCTGAAAATTGCCAAATGCATTTTTTGCTATTAGTGTGGAGGGGTGGAGCTTTAATGCACCATAAATATTTTATTTAAAGTTAATTGGACATTGTGTGGCACTTAAACTAGGTTGTGGTCTGTTACCACATACGTAAGAAACATTAATTAAGATTATGGTCTTCACTGTTCACATATTTAGGTTTGAGTATTGGTTTCACCTTGTATGAGAATGCATAAATGAAAAGGTTCCTTTTAGATATACAAAAGGTGACAAGTTAGTTAGTTGCAGAAAGGCGAGCAGCACGAAAAATGAGTTCAATGTGCATGATCTGAGACAGGTTTTTATTTCTGCAGACATGGAAATTGAGAGATGAAGGCCGGTTACTAGAGATTGTTGATCCAGAAATGGGGGAGTATCCAATAGATGAAGTCACACGCTTCATTAAAGTGGCACTCTTCTGTACTCAAGAAGCTGCACACCAAAGGCCTGGCATGAAAGAAGTAGTGAAGATGCTTTCCGAAGATGTTAACCTCAATGAAAAGTTGCTGACAGCACCAGGGATCTACAGACCAAGAAATATGTGCCGTCGATCAAGTGAAGACACCCTGCAGATAACATCCACAAAGGCGTTTAACAAAGGCGGCAGACTTTCAACAATTCCTTTTGATGATTCACAGAACATGTCGCAATTGCAACCTAGATGATCGCGACTCCTTAGTTTCTGTAGTCTGCATCATGTTAGGTGAAGCATTAGATGATTGTGAAGGGTGATCATGGCGCCGTATCAGGTCACAAAAAATGTACTCTCTGTCCAAAAAAAAAAAAAAACTAGTCTAGATTGAGTTTGCACTAAAAACAATGCAAATTTGAGAATGCAATGTGGACTATTAATTTAGGACAAAGGTAATATATGTTAATATGGATGTTGGAGCCACAATGCATCCAACTATTGTTTTTATAGTAGTATAGATGATTTTACCATCTTCTAGTTCTGGGAAATGAGTGCAAATGTAAAGTCATCCCGTTTCAACATAGAAATACAAACAAGATTTCATACATTATTACATGTGCAAATTCTGGATAAGTTGGACCTTGTAAAATAGCCATTTCCGAAGATTCAAGTGTTCTGGAACTTGCATCCATCCAGGCTCTCTATTGGTGTTCAACGTGACCGCACTTTGGAGTTTGGATGGATCTGAGGATCTCATGCTAAAGCGTATCAGTGTATTATATTGCGTCCATCGTCTGCTTTAAGGCACGAAATTGACAACAAATTTCGATGGAACAATCCTATATATAGTGAGGTTTCTATGTTAATATTAATTTGAGGGATGAATTCTCCTCTGGTTTCTGAATTCGCTTCAGGTTTTTAGTTTTGGAAATCATTGGTGTATAGTCGTGTTACATGTCATGGAACATGACCCTCTAACCATATCATGGCGTACAAGTTGTAAAACCCAAACAAATACTCTTCTAATTTCACATGCATCTCATCAAGACAAAGAATCGACACATGTGAAGTATACATACATGAACGGAGATAATTATTAGTCCAATCTTTTAATTGGGAAAAAAAAACGCTCTTATAACTAAAAAAAATCAAATTACTGTAATCCCCTCTGAAAAAAAGAGAGGACAAAACAGTTTAATTTCAATAAATAGTAGGTATTTTAAGGTTGATAAATCTTTTTTGTCCCTTGCCCGACGTCTGTCCTTGAACAATTTGGTAAGAAGACCAAGCAGATCTGTTACATTATTCACTTACTCACACAGTTCAACTTTGTTGTGAATTGGATAATTGAACCCATTAATAGCATAATAATTGAACTCAGCAATCTCTCTAAAAAAAAAAAACACGCGCGTGAGATACCGCCGCGATGCTACACCCAAACAAAACAATCCATCCCTTCCACAATTCTCTACTTATTGCTTATTTGGCTCATCATGAAATCCCATTTGTCAAGTGCAGTCCTTTGTATTTTGAAAAGTTTCAATTTTTTCGTCATCTTTTAGAATTTTTATCGTATTTAATTATTTTTCAAATGTCATACTCCTTCCGTCCCACAAAAATAGTACACATTGAGTTTTGAGTTTTGTACTGTTTTTAATACAAATTTAAAAATCCAATGTGGTCTATTTTTTTGGGATGGAAGTAGTTTATGAGTTTGATTGGTCGTCACAACAAGGAAAGAAATTTAAAATTTATGTTGTGACTAATTATGCAGCACGCTATCTGCCAGGTTAGTCTTAAAAATTATTAAGATATCTGTTATCGCGATATTCTAAATGATTAATCTAAGTTATTAGTAGACTGGAGAGCTCAAGTTTATAAACGAATCAATTTACCAATCATATACGGATGTGAGACATTTTTTACGTACTAGCTTGACACGCAAGCTTTCCACGGAAACATCAGAAATTGCGAGAGTAATAAATCTGAAAAAAAAAAATATTAATGTGTGACTTAATAATTCATGATACACACGTGGCTGCATTTGCGTTCAAGTTGTGAAAGTTTTAATAAGAATCAAAGATATACTGTATTTGGAGGAATTTCCCTAATCAGCTTCTACAAATAATAAATTAAGATTGTGAAATAATTTCATCGCGACTAACTCTGTATCTTGTATATACATGTTAATTTAACTTCTTTACTGTTTTTGAACGATCATATTTACATATCAACGTAAGGATGTCGCTTACTGTATCTCGTCATTTTGTTTCAAAAAGTTTTATCTAAAGTAATTATTTGTTTCAACACGTCAGATCAAGCAGTACACATATTACATTATTAATAATTCCATAACTAGAGGTTAACTTAAAAACGAAGGACTAAAGTAAAAAAAAGATCAAACTAGCACGGAGAAATAAGGGACCAAAACTGCTATTTTCCTATTTAAAGGAATACGATTTTACCAATTTACCACTTCTCAAACGGATGATCGATACATGCATTATCTTCACTAGGTAGGCATTATGGTAATTGAAGCAAAGACAGTACCGTGTCCCTACCTAAATTACACGTAAATAAAAGGAAAAATCCCATCCCCAAAGCCCTGCTTTACACTATAAATAGCCCACTCCCCTCCTCCATTTGAAACCGCTGCTTAAGCGGAGAGAGTCCATACGAGGCAAAGAAGTTAGAGAGAGGAGAGAGAGAGAGAGAGAGAAAGAAAGGGGAGTTCTCTGAGAAAGAGAATTGAAGATTCTTCTTTGCTCTTCACATTTCACTGTTCTTGATTAAATTTTCTTTCGTTGTTGAATTGGGGGGAGTTTTTGAATTTGTTTTTCAATTCTCCTAATGAGCCGTTTAGGGTTTAAAACGGTGGTGTATCATGGAGAAGTTTGTTTAGGGGAGCTGGACACTGTTCCAGTGAAAAGAGAAGACAATTTCCAGTTCCCAAACAACGAGATACGCATTCACCGCATCTCTGCCAACAGCGAGCGATGCCATCCGCTCTCCGTTCTTCAAACTATAGCCAGCTCCTCCGTCAGGTGCAAACTGGAACCCACATCAAATCCCGCATTCGATCAGTCTCTGTTGATCAATCTTCACGCCTCTTGCTTCTACGAACTTAAGGTGACACAGGACTAACCTTTTGCTTGCACCATTTCGTAGGAAATTTATTCTTTTACCATTGTCTTGTGCATTCTGATGTAGCTGAACTTGGATAAACATTCTCTGCGTTGAAAATATACTTTTGTCCTCCTGAGGCAGTGCTGATTATGCTGTTAGTATAATTTCTGGGGACTTAGAATTAATTTAGGAATTAAGCTATCAGAAAGGGGGTAAGGAGGTAGACACTTCAGTTCTTTGATCAAGTACCACACTCTATTTCGAAATATTGGCCCTGTTGAGGAAATGAGTTGATTGTTAAGGGTTACTATTTCTATACTTTTATGAATGCTTTTATATTGTATGCATAGGAGAGAAATTGGGATGGCACTAATAGATGAGAAAATCAGAAAATGAGAGCTTTAAGATGTTTGGTGTGTGGATGCATTAGAGACATGTAAAGGATCAAGGCCAATAAGCTTGAGTAAGTCTTAGGGACGCAAAGTAATGGGGAAGGAGGAAAGATCTTTAAGAAATTTGGAAAGGCATGAATTATTTTTTTTTTTAATTTTTATTTTTTTAACTTGTCTATGTGTATTGACAAAATTTGAAATGCATGTTTAACGGAGACAGTGTTGAATTATGATTTAAAATAGACTAGTGATTCATAAAGCCAATATGATGGGTAAAGGCTCAGTTGTTACCGTTGATGATCTTATTTTATTTATTTATATATTTATTTTTTTTGTGATTCTTCAGTTGTGTGATATAGAAATGGTCTATGTTGGTCTTATTAACATTATATCTTGTTAAAACCTTGAATTTTATGTTATAGAATGAATGGAATACAGTTTTTTCTTCTTCTTTATAGTTTTTGGTTTCTGGATAATTGAATGCTATTTTCTGTTGGGCTTGGCAGACGATTGTGGTTATTGTAGGTAATGAGGAGCTGCATTTAGTTGCAATGCCGAGCAAACTGAAGAAGTTTCCTTGCTTTTGGTGCTATTCCGTGCCCATTGGTCTGTATGACGCATGTTTAACAATGCTGAACCTGAGATGTTTGGCAATTGTATTTGATCTGGATGAAACTCTTATTGTTGCAAACACAATGAAGTCCTTTGAAGATAGAATTGAGGCTCTCAGGAGTTGGATTGCACGAGAAGTGGATCCAATTCGGGCGTCTGGCATGTCTGCCGAGATGAACCGGTATCTTGAGGACAGAGTACTGTTGAAGCAATATGTAGATAATGATTGTGTTGTTGTTGATGGTGGGAAAGTATATAAAGCAAAGCAGGAGGAGGTGCGCCAATTATCTGATGGCCACGAACGAGTGGTTCGGCCAGTTATAAGACTGCCGGAGAAGAATATTGTTCTCACTCGGATTAATCCAGAGGTTAGATGTTCTGGTGATCGCATCAGTTTGTCATCCCCCATTTTTCACTACTTTGCTCTTATTGCTGATGCTTGCAATATGCACATTTAGAGTGCCAGTGTTAGATGATATTAATTTGACTCGGTCATGTCAGCATCTTGCATTGACTTTTTTCTTTTAAACCGCAATTGTATGCAAATTCTTGAGACAGTCTGTATACTTTTTCCGGCTCTGCCATGTCCAGGAAGTGTGTATAAATATATATATATATATATATTTATAATATTTGCTTCCACATAAGAAAATTAGATACTGTAAAATAAATGTTCAACTTGATTGGAAGAAGTACTTGGTAGGAAGTTTTATTATAGTGTTTCATGTGCATGTTTATTCATCCATGTGGTGTTTATGTTTCCTATTGTGGTTTTTTTGGGCTCTACAGATCCGTGATACTAGTGTTCTTGTGAAATTACGTCCTGCTTGGGAAGATCTGAAAAATTACTTGACCGCAAAAGGTCGGAAAAGGTTTGAAGTATATGTTTGTACGATGGCTGAAAGAGATTACGCCCTGGAAATGTGGAGGTTGCTTGATCCAGAGGCACACTTAATTAGCTCTAAACAACAATTAGATCGTATAGTGTGCGTCAAATCAGGTTAGGATATGGCTTTTAACCTGGTAGTTGTGAGCTCCTGATAGGATAAATCTATGAGTACCTTTTTATCTACTCTGGGATTCTCCATCCTCACCTTTCTCTTCGTTGAGGGTTATGATTATTCAAGGGGTACATTGGTCTCTATTTCTCAGATGGAAGGAAATCGTTACTTACTGTATTCCAACAAGGCAGTTGCCATCCAAAAATGGCTATGGTGATTGATGATCGCTTAAAGGTTTGGGAAGATAGAGATCAACCTCGTGTTCATGTAGTTCCTGCTTTTACTCCTTACTATGCTCCACAGGCTGAGGTATTGTAGTGCTCGTTTTTCTCAACATTCTATGATTTGAAAACATTTATGCTATAACCAATGCTAATGGAGATTACTATTATGGTAGATGGCAAATGCAGTCCCTGTCTTATGTGTGGCGAGGAATGTTGCATGCAATGTTAGAGGTGGTTTTTTCAAGTATGTATAGTTCTCTTAATACTTGAACCCTTTCTTATAGAGATAAACCCAGCTAAAGTAAATTGGGTGCTAAAGCTCATGTATCCTTCTTTACCAGGGAGTTTGATGAGAATCTACTGCAAAAGATTCCTGAGGTTCACTACGAAGATGAGGTTGTGGGTTTACCTTCTGCACCTGATGTGAGCAACTACTTGATGTCAGAGGTAATTCATTGTTAATTTTCGTTTTGTATGTACCATGGCGAAGGTTCTCTTTCATATACTGGCTGTGGTATTCCAGGATGCTAGTTTTGTACCAAATGGCAATACAAATGCCCCTTTCCCCGAGGGAATTAGTGGTCCTGAAGCTGCTCAAAGACTTAATTACATGGTAATCTCTCTTTTTAGCTTGTGATAATGTCATATTAGACGTGATGCTGTAGAACATTTGGCTGCAACACATTCAGGAGAACCTATGCATCGTTAGGTTTTCCTACTCAAATTGCTGGTATTTGATTGAAGATGAATGGCGTGTGTCCGCAATATAGTTGTTAAAAAAATAATAAAACAATGTGTTATAAAAGATTTTATTGTGTGTGCTAGATAAAGAGAATATGGAGTTGTATTTCATTGTACTATTGCAGCTCAAACTTTATTTTCTTGGAATACAGGGTGAGAAGAGCTTTCCGAATTCTTTCACTCATTCCATAAACAATAATCCTGAGTTGAAGGAGAATCCTCAGCTATCTGTTGAAGCAACTCCAAATGTTGTTGGTCCAACCTCTTCAAGAGCAGTGCCATTTCTCGAAAGTAATTGTTGATGAATCTATGGGGCTCGGCTGCAAAGCAGTATTTTAAATCCGTAGAGGCTAGTGTTCTCAATCTGATTTTCTCCTTTTGCAGAACCTAGTATGCTTGGAGCTTCGTTCAAACGGGATAATAGCTTTTCAGACTCCGATCCTGATGTGAAAAGAAAATTGCCCATTATGAGTCGTGGCCAAGATGCTAGATCTCGAGTTTCAGCTGAACCTGCCCCTACGCCTAAGTTACCTGGACAACATCATCATAACCCACCATCTCAGGGAGGCTGGTTAATGGAAGAAGATCTTGGTACAGGACGCCTTAATGGTCGATTATCTGGAGCTGTTCAAGATTCGGATGCTCAAAAACTCGAGAAACAGAGACCGCGTCCGTATTCAAATAGTCACGGCACATCATCTTCCAATGCTGGAGGATCACATATGGGAGCAGCCCAAGTTATAAATGAAGAGGTTGGTTTTTGTTTGTTGTGTTTTAGTTTATGCCCTATGCGAGCTTCCTGCCATTTCCTTTTGGGGCTTAATGTGTGACTCTTTTGGCAGGTCCACTCGAGGCAAGACGGACTTAGACCTAACCAGTTTACAGGTGCCTAACAAGTGCCTCTGTTTCCGACTTTCCTTTATACTTACCTTCATTTGTGTTATTTGCCTTTCACCGGGACTCTTCTGCTCCTTTTCCTCCCGTCTACTTTTTCTCTTCTAATTCCCCTGTTATTTCATTGAACCTTAAGGAATAGATGACCTAGTAATGAAGCTGGACTGTCATTCCTTGAGCCTTATAATTTGCTTATAATGCAACTAAAGAAACGTAAGCTATCCGGAAGTTACCGACACCACTTTGTTGTTTTACAGGTTTTGGGTCTCAAAATCAATCATCTGCAAACATCAGTGAGCCTCAGCCTGAAGGGTCAAAATTATCTGTCTTACCATCTGTTTCTATTAGTGTGCTCCAAGAAATTGGAAGAAGATGCAATTCAAAGGTATCAGAGTTGCTTTGGTCGTATAGTTTCTGCTTGTCCACTTTTACCTTAATTCTTTCCCATTGTTTGCCTTTTATTCCCTGGTAGGTTGAGTTCAGGCCTTTAGTGAGCACTAGCGAGGATTTGCGGTTCTCATTCGAGGTTAGTGAACCTGGAATTTTTGGTCTTTTGGATATTCGTGTTCAGGTTTAGCGACTTCATATGTAAGAACGGTTGTCCACTGATTAATAAATGTTTGTGCACATCAATGGCCATGTTTCCTTTTGGTGCTAGGAACTTTATCTTAGTGTAATTTTTTCAATCTGGGAATACTATGGTTCACTAATTGAACCCCACTAGGAGTTAGGGTTTTGGGGCTTTGCTTCCTGTTATTATTGTCATTTCTGAGGCTTTGTTTCCTTTTCCACTTTGGAAGAGTAGCCTGTTTGAATCTCAGCAAGATGCATTGGCTGTTTCAGGTCTTGTTTACTGGTGAAAAGATTGGATTTGGAATGGGTAAGACAAGGAAGGATGCTCAGCAACAAGCTGCAGAGAACGCGCTTCATGCTTTGGCTGGTACGGCATTAGTTTTCTCCTTTATATTTCTGTGATCTAGTGTTTGTTGCATGTTCGGTTGGGCCTTTTTTTATTAACTCAAAAAGTCTAATGTTGGAATCTTAAATATATGTAACACATCATTCTTTCGTATTTTCAGTTGCACCTACATGAACATATTGTTTCAATCCTATATTTGATCCTCTTTTTTAGGGGGCATATTGCAATAAACTCCTTTCCATATTTCATTTTTCCTCCACTTTTTTGCTTCTTCTAATATTCCGGCCAGCCAAGGAAGTTCAACTGTTCAAAGTCATTTTACGTTTCATTTAGGTTTTCAGCCTGAGACTGTGGGATAGTCAGTAAATTAGTTTCCTCCAATTCTCTTTTGGATGATCAGAAAGCAACCTGTTGTTGGCTTGGAAATGCATTAAACCAAAATAAATCTAGGAAATATCATATCGATAAATATTGGTTGTTGCTGGTTATCAGTTAGTATCTGCTTCTCTCAATATTGTGCTCATGGCCTTTTGTGGGTTGTTTTTCCCATACTTGCCGGACCATTTATGAACACTGAGAGTCTAGTTTCTTTTTGTGGAGCACACAGGGCAGGGTTTAGTTTGCAGCTCACTATGCTTCATGTAGTAATTTAGTTCAATCGTATTTTACAGCACAGATTTATTAATGCCGGCTATTAGCTGAACAAGATGGAAATTCTTTCAGTGGAACTCACTGGGAAAGCTATAAGCTCCAGGCGACGCTCTTTCGGTTACTAATGGCAGTGTTCTATACAGCTTGATTATAACTTTGTTCTATGGTCCTGCAGATAAATATAAAGCCCATAATGCAAACCGTTCTAAAGCTGTGGACAGAGAATTCAATAGGAATTCTGCAACTAACGAGAATGGACTTATATGGGATGTATCGTCTCCTGGATCGAACAGTCAACAGCCAGTTGAAAATGGGTTGCCAAAACAAAGCACGTATAAGGTGGGAATCCCTGATGATGTTAAGCTTAATTAAAACCGTAAGTTTTTTAAAATGTTGGCAACACCTGGATAAAGGGATTTAAATTCAAGAGGAAGGGTGGCGAACATCCAAGGATGAACTATACTCTTTGGATTTTGGTTTGCTCCATGATTTAGAGCAATGACTGAGATGTGATTTGGTTATCCTACTTCCATCTTTGCTATGCTTCACCCTTCCTGCTTTGGAGGTAAGGACTTGGTTGTCAGTCCTTATTTTTCTGCCCATTATCCTATTTGCCTAAAAGAAGAGGTTGAAACTTTAGGGTATACATGTGCATCGCCTTTGTATTCGATTTGGTTTGGGTTTTAGTTTAAGATTTTTGAAATTGTAATGCAGAATAAGAATATATGTTGAGATCATTGGAAATTATGAATTTTAAATGAAAAGTGGGTTAACATGAGAATTAAATAGCTGTCCATCCATTCTTTTGGTTTCTTTTTTCCTCTTCTGGGGGTGGGATGCTAGTGGAATGATGTGTTGTGGCTGTTTGAAATTTTAAAACTTCCTTGTTGTGATTTGATTCTTTTGAGAAGTACAAAATTAAAATATATAGTATCTTATGCATATGTAGGTTGCGTGAAGGAGCTATACTTGAAGGATGGTTTTCCATCCACAATTTTAACTGGACCTTGCGTCCTGAATATTGAGTTCATCTGAAACGGGGCCTTTTGCGGGAGGGAGGATAACTGAGATGCTCCAAAGGGATGTTGGAGCCTTTGTACAGCGGCATTTTGGTATGATTAGGTGTAAATACTTTATCACCCTAGTGGTTTCTTACTCACTGCTCGCCCGATTCTTTTCCGTTGGGCCTTGTCTTGGCTGTGCCAAGTAGGGTTATTTACCTGTACATGATAGTATATTCATAATTCTTTCGCTAACAGATAGGTTTTATTAATTCATAGGTGAAATTTTAACTTTTAGTCAATTATATTTTAGGTTGTAGAATCGTTGGTTAAAATTTGTTTGAAGTTTGTATTTGAATTAGCATCTAGTTCTAGAATTTTAACTGGTGTACTGATTGGTGGAGGGCAAAATAACACTGATACTGCATTTTTATTATTTTTGTTTACGGAAACTTACCCCTAAATAAAATTTCTCTTTTTTTTTCCCCTCCCCCTCAATTTTAAATTGTTAATTGGTTAGGTGGGTTCTCATAAATTACTAGCATTTTTAAATTTTAACCATCAAGCCGTTGGTTGGGAAGTACGTAATCAGGGGGCATTTTCACTGGGAAGCTTACTTCGTAACCTGTTGATATCCATATCCCAAAACGGAAAACAGGCAAACTTAGATCTGAGAACACGTCGGAAAATAGGCAAACTTGCCCGATTCCTATTTCTAGTTCTCTCATTTCTGTGCGATAGATCACCCGTTGGTATAACTTTCTTCCTAAAAGAGTCTTTTTTTTAACCATCTACATTTTTACTTTAGCTTTCGGGGATTTTCATGACAGATTGAACAATTATGAATGTGAATTTCTTTGTAGGTGTAAATTTGATATGGATATTTCTTTTCTTTTTCTTTTTTTTTTTTAATGAAAATGAAATTGGGTCAAACACAGAAGATCACTTAAAAAAGTACTCCTAAATAAGTATATTGTAGAGAAAGATCGGTTCGTAGAATTATAGCAGATTATGCAAGCAAGTGTACAAATAATCCCTTAAATCATAAGGGGTGTTGTCTCGGTGAGGCTCTTTGGATTTGTGCAGGGCATCGTGATTGCAGTTGAAACAGCCGTTCCTCGTACGCACAAGCAACCTCTTTGAACTTCACTCTTGCTTGTTTCGTAACCAAAAAAAAAAAAACAAAAATATTCCATGCATCAGAAGATATAGTTCGAAACGTTATTTGGTGGCAAGACCTTATGTTTCAAAACTTTTGTCTAGTTTGGGTCTTTAGTTTTTGTTCAATTTATAGTAAAATGAAAAGTGGAGAATAATTTTGGGACGGAGGAAATATTACATTTTCATGTACATTTTTTCCCTCTAATTTAAAAAGAGGATCATTGCCTTTATAATTTTCTTACTTGCTTATTGCTCTAGGTGCAACGTATAAGGGATGCGATGATGAAATGGACAAACCGGGAGAGTCTCGCTTTTGAATTTTTATGAATATGGACCAATTGATTCCGTTTGAACTATCTAAATTTTATAACTTGTGTCTATATAATTCATCAAAACCTGTGCCATGTGTCTTGCAACTGTTGGAATCAAATGAACTCTGCTGCTTTGCCTTTCACAGTAGGCTTTATCTTAAATCTCATAAGTGGTTTAGCATACACAACTCAAAAAATATAGGGCAAACAACAACAATTGGAACCTCATCACCTCTGCATCATCATTGACTTTATGGCTTATAGGTAATCTAATCGACACACCAGGGTCTGTTAAGATTCCTCACTGCTGTAAGTAGCAGCTCTCAGTATACACCATAGCTATACATGATAGTTCACACCCAATCATCAAATGGCTTCATGGAAAACTTCTAGTACTGCATATGTTTCCTTCATGTAGTCTACCAATTCTGCTTGACTAAACCCAAGCTGACCAGAAACTGTTGGAGAATTCTTCGAATCCAGTCGAAGTCATTTTCCAGGACATTCACTTGCTCCACTATGTTATTGTTAGGCTGCTCTTTTTCTTCTAGTAAGAGAGGCTCTTGTACCAGTGAATATCTGGTCTCAGGCTGTCCCAGTTTGTCATTTAACCGTTTTTCAGTTTCTTCCGTAGGAGTTGGTAAATCAACGACAGGTTCTTCCTTCAGATTTCGCTGCATTTTAGTTGTTTAGAGGGGGAAAAAAAAAAAGTCATTCAGAAAGCATCATACAGAAGGATAACGAAGAAATGTGAATCTGCAACTATGACAATGATAATGCTGTAATATCTCTATGAAAATACACTTCAGCTGAAGCTGGAAGCAAACATTTGACAAAAGAATGGCCCTTGGAAGTCGGGATGTGGAAATTTATCATAGAAATATGACTGCTCATACAAGAAATTGTGGTTGCATATATTTGCAAACTAAAGTTTGTTTTTCGGCATCATTGCTATACCAGAGTACCACATTACTTCGTTTTTACAATGAAAATGATAAAAAATTCATCTGCATATTTTGGTCACGTTCTTATTGGTTTGCTGTATTGGGAATTGAAGTTTTGCTTTCACATATTGCAGATTACAATGGCGCACTAGGAAAAATTGAACAACACAATTGCTAGATCTGCAATGCATCATCTTGCTGTTATTTCTATATTTTATGTGAGGAGAGACTCAACTGTCTTGGCAAGCAATCCTTTTATCTCATCCAGACTCTATAATATGGAGTAACAGAGATTGCAAGCCTGATTTCTTTACTAGTAGAAGACAACGAAATCAAAGAAAGAAGTTCCGACAAACTCTAAGCAGTTACCTCCGGGATGTTTAAGGAATCAGTAAGGAGGTGTTCCTCAGCTTCACTAACAGATATTTCTTCTTCATTCTCAGCCATTGGCACTGGAGTCAAACCTGGAACCAGAACACGAGCTGTAGCTCGAGGTCCTGAATCCAGATCCATCTCAAGGCTGCTTGACGTCATTTTTCCCAAATTGCCAGCTTTGTTTGTACTAGGAATGAAGTCGGAAACAGGGAAGCCGTTAACTTCAACGTCTTTCTCTCCATTCTGCCCAGCAGGTATATCTTCTACAATGGCCGGAGTAGGTTTCTCATCTGAAACAGCTTCGTTTGGTTCATTATGTTCACTTTCGCTAGTGAATTCCTTCTCAAAGTAACTCTCAGGGCTGTCCCCATTTAACTGAAATAGATTCTCAGTTTCTTTGAGAACTTGTGAGTGTTCCATAGATTCTGAAAGCTGATGGGTAATAGGATCCGCTTCGACAATGGTCTGCAGTTCTGCATTGTCCCAATCTTCAGAAACAATTATGGTTTTCTCCGTCCCCCATGTTTGAAGAATCCGATCAGGACCTGGCTGCCACAAGATATAATCACCTCCACCTTTGAGGATGAACTTGTACTTGATCACTTTACCACAAGGTACATCCTACTCCATTCAAACACTAAAACACATGAGCATTGATTCTTTTTAACCATCTTTACCTTTGCAAAATTATACTCTCATTTCCACGCTACAAGAAAAGGGAAAGCATCCTAAATAGATTTACCAGTTCAAGAGCCCAAACATGGCCGTCTGACCAGTTCAATGGAATTGCATTTTCCGGATCCCATAACCCAAACATAGGATCTTCACCGACCATGAAAAAGTGCAGCCCAAAGGAACACTCCCTTTTTAGTTCGAATTTGATATGAACAGTTTTGAATTCAGCTGCAACACAGAAACTTATTTAGTCAATAAAAAAGCTAGTTGAGTCAAATTAACTGCATAAAAGCTCATGAGGAGAACAAACTAACTTGCATCCTTGTTTTGGGAGCTTTCCTCAGCAGCTATAGTCTGCACTAGCAGAAAATGTTTTCACAAACCAAGAGAAACTACATAAGTAATTACAGGAAAAATAAAAAAAAAAACCTCTTTGTTCCCTTAAAGGAAAAAGTAAGGATTTTCATTCGCCTTAAACAATAAATAAAAATTTCACATAACAGATCCAATATTATACTAGGAACATACATTTAGAAAACTCCTTTTGAGAAATGCAGAAAAGGCCAATCATAACAAACAATCTTTATTGACAATAAAAATCGGCAAGGTTAGGCTGTCTCCTCGTCATATAACATACTTTTGTTTAACTTTTTGTTGCCCCTGAACCACACATATAAGACCCAAAAGAATCTAAGAGCGAAAGAAGAAAAACCCCTTTCTCATTCCCAGTAAAATTGACACGAAATAGTACTTTGAAAAATACTGTGCAGCCCACAAGGGGAAATGAAAAGTGGAATCATCAGCAAGAAGATAACCTGAGCTTCTGATGCAGAAGACAGAGCATGGACGGTAGACGGCGAAGAAGAAACCGGTCGGAAGCTCTTCCGGTGAAGCAGTGGTGAAGCCGGACAGTGTTTGTTTGGCCTAATCAGGAAAAGGGCCCCGGCAGAAGAAGCATCCTTGGCCGGAATATTATTACTGTGACTCTGCTGGAAGTGAGTGAGGGGATGCTGCAATTTGTAGCCTTGTTGATGCTGATGATTCTCCACGACAAATAGCTTGGCAGATGAAGAAGCTGCAAAGAGTTCCATATCACAAATCCACGGAACCCAAGAAGAGAAAACAAAAACAGAATGATGATCAAATTTCAGGGAAAGCTGTACAACGTTGGAGTATATCGTTATTATAATTATTATTACTATTATGATGGCATTATTAACTCTTTTTTTTTTTTTTTTTTTTGGTTCAGATTGTGGTTATATTTATGATGAGTGAGGTGAGTTTTGGGGGTTGGGGGAAGAAGAGTATAAGTGGGGCCACAGAGAGCACGGATCATGAACCAGGTGGCTTTCCTCTCTCTCCTTTCTCCTTCTCTACTTTTTCTTCCTTTCTTTTTTATGTTTTTTTTTTTAACCCCTCCTACTTTCTTGATTTTGTTATTAATAATATTGTTTGAGATTATATTATAATAAAATTAATCACACTGTCTCAATTTAATAGTACTACTTCACTTTCTTATACTATTACAGAGGACATTATAAAGTTAAAAACAAATGATGAGATAATCATTCATGATATTATTTAATATTTTATTCTTAATTCAAAAAAAGTAGTAATTAAATTAGATGATTCTGCTGTTGCTGAAAATGCGGAGGAGTTCTTTTGAGTATTCAGAATCTTAACCGACTCTCAGATTTTCATTGCAACGAAATTTACGTATCCAGTTACCCCCATCTTCTTGGTTACAGATTTTTTCTCTTTCTTTTTCTTTCTTTTAAGTATGCGTCATTATTAGTAGTTTACTAAAATTAAGGTGACAGGTCGGTGATCACAGCTCGAATTCCCGCCAACCATGTGTCATTATCCCTTTTTCTTGGGTAATAAGCCCAGGTGCCAGAGCAGTTGATCCAATTTCATTGCTGGACTTCACGGTACAATGACTCGGAAGGCCCATAAGAAAACTAGGACAATGCTGGGTCTTGGATTTGGATTCTGTTCATCCAAGAGGAGCCCTTTTTGTGAAATTTAGTATGGCATCAAAAAGAGATGCATATTTCTATTTAGTTACTGTTGCCGACGGTGGACAGTAAGAGGCATTAATGATTGTTATCGATAGTGGGCACCCTGTAAATATGAAAGAAAATAATTTGTCTACGGAAATTCTCTCATTCTGTGTCTGATATTGACTCAAACCGAAGTCATTTGATGAATGTCCGCCGCCATCAAAATGAGGTGGCAGATATTTCAGCAAAATTTAGTTCAGCGTCATCTCATCTTCGAAGAGATATTTTGTAACTAAGCTTTAGACTTCTTAATTATGTAAAAGTCAATTATTGAACATGGTGCAGTCTCATTCATATTGCTTAAATAAATTCGCTTCCCTACCACACAATTTCCTCAGATCTTCTTGATTGTTGAATCAGCTTTCCTTTCTTCCAATAAAAGATATGGAATCCTTGTGTTTGAAATGGAGATTTTCGTCATCCTACACTACTGCTGCTTATTCAAGGATTCTAATATTATGCATGATTACAACCACCACCATTTGGTTTTCCATAAAAATCGCAGCCTTGGGAAATGACACTGACTTGGAAGCTTTGCTGGAATTCAAGAGCAGCATATCAGTTGATCCATTCGGAACAATGGCTGCTTGGAATGACTCTGCTCATCACTGCAATTGGGAAGGCCTAACTTGCGGTCATTCCAATCAAAGAGTCACCAGGATCTACTTTCATTCCCGCCAGTTAGTTGGCTTCTTGCCACCATCCATTGGGAACCTTACTTATCTAACAGGTATCAACCTCGGAAACAACAGCTTCCGAGGTGTGATCCCTCCAGAAATCGGCCGCTTACGATTCCTGCAGCATCTCAACCTCACTTCCAACTCCTTCACCGGACAAATTCCCTCCAACTTGACTCACTGTACACGACTTACGGCGCTTGATTTGGAAGCCAATCAGCTCGTTGGACCGATTCCTGATCCTCTAAGTTCCCTATCAAAGCTGTTGTTCTTAGACCTCAGCCGCAACTCCCTCACCGGTGGCCTTCCTGCTTGGATAGGGAACTTTACATCTTTACGGGTTTTTAGAGTGATCCTGAATGGTTTCCAGGGGAGCATTCCTCCTGAACTTGGCAGCCTCTCAAGCTTGGAGATGTTTGCGGTGTACGGAAATCAGCTCTCTGGTAGGGTTCCTATGTCAATCTACAATTTGTCCAACATTTACTGTTTTTCCATCACTCAGAACCGGTTACATGGAGAACTCCCACAGGATGTAGGCCTTACCCTCCTTAGTCTCGAGATATTTGCTGGTGGGTTGAATAACTTCACTGGGAAAATCCCTGTTTCTTTATCAAATGTTTCCAAGCTTGCCATCCTGGATTTCGCTCAAAATGGTCTCACCGGAACTATTCCTTTGGGGTTGGGAAAGTTGCAAAGTTTATACAGGATCAACTTTGATGACAACAAGCTTGGAAATGGGAATGGGACTGGGAATGGTTTGGAAATCATTTCTTCCTTAGCAAACTGTACAAATCTGCACGTTTTGGGAATGAGAAGGAGTTTTTTTGGTGGGGAACTCCCAAGTTCAGTAGCAAACCTTTCTGAAAATCTCAATATTCTCTCATTGGGTTATAGTTTCTTAATTGGGAACCTTCCTGATGGAATTGGAAACCTTGTAAGTTTAAAAGCTTTAGGTTTGGAAGGGAATTTCTTCAGCGGCAAGATCCCTGATACAATTGGTAACCTTAAATCTCTAGAGCGATTAACTCTCAATTACAACAATTTTTCGGGGTTGGTTCCATCTTCCATTGGTAACTTAACATCCTTAGTCGGTCTTTTCATGGAAGAGAATAGACTAGAAGGACCCATTCCAGCCGAGCTTGGAAATCTGAGAAGATTGCAGGTGCTAAATCTTACTGGGAATAGATTTATTGGCGCCTTACACGGGAAGGCTATATCAGGTCTATCTTCTCTTTCCATTTCTCTGTCCATTTCTCAGAATTTGCTTACTGGCTCATTGCCTCTTGAGCTTGGAACATTGGAGAATTTGAATGAGTTGGATTTATCAATGAATAATTTATCAGGTACCATTCCAAGCACCCTCAGCAACTGTCACAAGTTAGAGCGGCTTAATTTGAGTCGCAATTCGCTTCATGGAACGATCCCTGAATCTTTGAAAAATTTAAAAGCTGTAGCATATATTGATTTATCTCACAATAAGTTGTCAGCAGAAATTCCATCTTTCTTAACAAAGCTCTCATCACTTAGAAAACTCAATCTCTCTTTTAACAATTTTGTTGGTGAAGTGCCAACTAATGGAATTTTTGCAAATGCAAGTGCAATATCCTTAGTCGGGAATGATAAATTGTGTGGAGGCATTCCGAACCTGAATTTGTCAAAATGCCCGAAACCTAATAATCATGGAAAGCCTAAATATCTCCAACTTCAAGTGCTGATCCCTGTCATTGTTTCTATTGTTATTCTTGCTGTGTTACTTTCCGCTCTTGCTTCTTATTTAATTGTAAAACGCTCGAGCAAACCACCATCAACTGCATCATCTAACAAAGAATGGCTGCTGAGAATTTCATATCAAGAATTATTTAGGTCAACAAATGGATTCTCAGAGGAAAACTTCATTGGTTCGGGTAGTTTTGGCTGTGTATATAAAGGAATTCTTGATGTGGATGGTACAACTGTGGCAGTGAAAATATTAAATCTCCAACAGAAAGGGGCGTTGAAGAGCTTCATGGATGAATGTAAAGTTTTGAGGAACACCAAGCACCGCAATTTGCTCAATGTCGTAACTGCTTGCTCAAGCACTGATCTTCAAGGTAATGACTTCAAATGCATAGTCTTTGAGTACATGAGAAATGGAAACCTAGACCAATGGTTGCATCCCGGAAACAACAACAATGCACATCCTACAACCGGTTTGGACATCGCCCAACGACTGAACATAGCTGTAGATATCGCTGCCGCTCTAGATTACCTCCACAACCATTGCGAAAAAACTATAGTTCACTCTGACCTAAAACCAAGCAATATACTTCTTGATGAAGACATGACAGCCCATGTAGGTGACTTTGGATTGGCAACTTTCCTCCTTGATGCCTCGACCGGGAAGCATAGCATATCAGCTGGCCTTAAAGGCTCCATTGGCTATATCCCTCCAGGTAAAAAAAAAAAAAAAATCTTATGTAACCTAAGTTCATTAACAAATATACCTTTTTTTCCAAAACACATAACCAGGTGAATGTGATTTTCAATTTTAGAGTACGGCTCGGGCAGCCCTGTGTCTACATCTGGAGATGTTTATAGCTATGGGATACTGCTGCTAGAATTGTTCACAGGTAAAAGACCAACACACGAACTATTCAAAGATGGTCTGAATATCCATGATGTGGTTGCAAATGCTTTACCTGGAGGTGTTATGGAGATAGTAGACCCTTCAATACACAGAGTCTTGATAGAAGGAAGACAGATCAAATATGGAAGGGAATCACACAGTCTAATACACAACGATTCTTTGCAAAATGCTACAACTAAAGTGGAAGACTGCTTGGTTTCAGTGTTGAGAGTTGGACTGGCGTGTTCCAATTCATTTCCTGCAGATAGGATGCATATGAGCCTGGTTGTGAACCAATTAAAGCAGATTAGGAATAGAATGTGATATAGATCATATCTCACATGTTGTAACCGATCCATATATAGGTAGTTTAGCAATTAAGCAGTCGATAAAAATCCAAACAAGCACATTATTTACTCACAAACATCAGTCTAGCATTACACACTTGAACCTGGTGGTGACCAAAGGGCACATTCAGCATTTGGATTTATGAAGGTTAATTAAATTGGTGTATGCTGATTGATCAGTAGCAGGCTAGCAGCAGATAATGAAGGAAAACTGTTTTGCTCCAAAACAGAAAAATAAAATACAGTGAAACAAGTGTTGTTCTTTATTGGGCCCTTTTTTTTTTTTTTTTGGAACAAATTATTGGGCCCTTTGACTGACATGAAGTTGGGATTTGCTAACTGAATAATAAAATACTCCAAACGGTGTTGTTCTTTATTTGGCTCTGTTTTTATGTTTTAGTTTTAGAAAAAAACTATAATAATTAATTTTGTATTGAAAATAAAAAAAAAAACTTTGATAGTGACTTTCTGGGAATATGAGAATGGAAATATTTGTTTCAGGATGAACGGGGTGTCATTCTGTATCTTTCTTCGTATTCCCTTTTTCAACTTTACAATAATACTAAGTATATAATAAATAGTGTTGGATTCAAGTGGAAAATCCTTATTAGCGAACATTTTTATTATTATTATTTTTTTAAAAAAAACCCCACCCCAACCCCCACACCCCCTCTCTCCCTTTACATACCCTAACACAAACCGAAGTTTGGATATCATCCTCGATGCCTCTATACCTTATTGATTATTATTAATCTTGATCCTTTTGGAAACGAACAACCTTCATTCTGTCTGGATATCCTCCACCAGTCCACCACTTGGCTAGCCGTAAGATTGGGTCTATCTTCATAGCTTCCCAGACCCTATCTCCCTCCATTTGTGCCGCATCTACCCTTTATTCCTAGGATTGGTACTTTATTAGTCAACGCGACTACATGTAATACTGCTCTTTTAGTAGTAAAAGAGTTCTGGAATAGTCGAAATGTGAGGACAGCCTGTATACGTCCGTCTACTGTTATTCAGAAATCAGTGACCCCGCAAAACAGCAGGAATTTTTGAGTGGATTGGTAAACTTCCAAAAACTTGCAGTGAGAACTGAGAAACTCATATCAATTTCTGATCACAAAATGGTACGCAGCTTTTATCAAAACTGTATGGGCTTTTCACTTGTCTCATTCGTCAACCCCAACTGCTTTGGTTTTAATGTCAACTCTGTACCTAAGAGCCCCATCACAAATGTTTTTCTTTTCTCCTTAATATGAAGAGTATCACAGTACTATATAGATGATGTAGATATGGTCTCAATTATTATTCTCATCTAACTCCAACTCAGAATTTTGTAGCAATAATGCTGCTTTCTCTCCAGTGCAAGATTTGTTCTTGTTTCTCTTTCTTTATGCTCCTCCTCCTCCTTTCCTGTATTCTTTCTCCATCTTTGACCTCTGCTTTTTCTCTGGTTCAAAGAAGTAATGACACCGACAAAGAAGCCTTATTAGCCATCAAATCCCAAATGATTCAAGACCCTCAAGGAATCATTACTCATTCATGGAATGATTCGGTCCATTTCTGCAAATGGGTTGGCGTCACCTGTGGCCATTTACATCAAAGAGTCACAAACTTGAATCTTTCCTCACTTGGTTTGGTGGGTTCTTTGTCACCTCATGTTGGAAACTTAACCTTCTTATCTGGAATTAATCTTGAACTCAATAGCTTCCGCGGTCCAATTCCATCAGAAATTGGCAATTTGTTTAGGCTCAGGCACCTGAACCTGACTAACAATTCATTCTCTGGAGAATTGCCACCCCAACTTTCTAATTGCTCTAATCTTGTTCTTCTTCGTTTAGGCTGGAACAGTTTAACTGGAAAGGTTCCATTTCAGCTTGGTTCACTCCCAAAGCTTGAAAGACTTCATCTGCATTACAACAACTTCATAGGTTCTATCCCTGAAACTTTTGGGAATCTTTCTTCTATAAAAACTCTTTCTTTGGCAGGTAATCATTTCCAAGGAACCATTCCTGAATCCCTTGGCAAGTTAAGCTCCCTCCTTTTTCTTGGTTTAGGAGTGAACCAATTGTCTGGTGTAATTCCTCCTTCCATTTTCAACATTTCTTCTCTTGTAACATTCACTTTGCCTTTTAATGAATTTCATGGAGAACTACCATCAAACATCGGCGTCACCCTTCCTAATTTGCGAGTACTTAATGTTGGCAACAATTTGTTTACTGGTCCACTTCCAATCTCACTGTCCAATGCCTCCAATCTTGCAGAGTTTGATATAACTCAGTCTCATTTTGGGGGGAAAGTTTCCATTGATTTTAAGGGCTTGCCTAATTTATCGTGGCTTGTTCTTGCTTCCAATCCTCTACTATATGACCTGAGTTTCTTGAATTCCCTTGCTAATTGTCAGAATTTAGTAATGTTGGATCTGAGTGATTGTCAATTTGAAGGGCCGTTGCCTGACTCCGTTGCTAACTTATCGACTCAACTTTTGACATTAAGATTAGGAGGTAACAATCTGTCCGGAAACATCCCACCAGGAATTCAGAATCTAGTAAATTTGACTGAACTGCAATTACAAAAAAATATGCTAACTGGAAATATCCCTGTATTCATTGGTAACCTGGGAATGCTTAGGTTGTTGGATTTGTCTGAGAATCGACTCTCGGGAGATATTCCTTCATCTCTTTCTCAATCAACTCGATTGTACACTGTACATCTCCAAAAGAATAACTTAGCCGGGGTCATTCCTGTGAGTTTTGGGAACTTGAAATATTTGCAAGAATTGGATCTTTCTCAGAATCATCTTAGTGGAAGAATACCTGAACAGCTGATGAGTCTCCCTTCTCTCACAATTTCTCTGAATCTATCTCAGAACCAGTTTTCTGGTCCCTTACCTTTGATAGAGTTAAAGAATCTGGGCCATTTGGATTTGTCTGAAAATATGTTATCGGGTGAAATTCCAAGCTCCATCGCCCAATGCATTACTCTGGAGACCCTTATATTGAAGGGCAACTTTCTTGAAGGTGCTATACCTCAATCTCTAAGTTCTTTGAGAGGTCTTCAAAACTTTGATCTTTCTCATAACAATTTTTCCGGCCAAATTCCAAAGTTTCTCCAGGGAATTTCCTTTCAGCATTTGGATTTGTCTTTCAACCAATTCAGTGGTGAAGTACCAACTGAGGGGGTGTTCCAAAATGCACAAGCAATCTCTCTTTCTGGTAATGTTAAGCTTTGTGGAGGAATACCAGAATTGCATCTTCCACCATGCCAGCAGAAGAAGAGAAGAACCCATCTTGGCCTTAAACTGATGATCCCTTTACTTTCCGGGCTTGTAGGATTAGTTATGTTGATGTCCTTCCTCATTGTTTGTCGTTTGAGAATGACTAAAAATGGAGAGCCTGTTTCTGCATCATCATCACCTAGGATGATACTGCTTTCTAAAGTTTCTTATAAAGATTTATTTGAAGCAACTGATGGTTTTTCTTCATCCAATTTGATTGGAGCTGGCAGCTTTGGCTCAGTGTACAGAGGAGTACTTCAGAACCGGGATGATGAAGAAGTTATTGCTGTGAAGGTTTTTCATCTCCATCATCGAGGGGCTTTCAAGAGTTTCAAGGCCGAATGTGCAGCATTGAGGGATATTCGGCATCGAAATCTTGTCAAAATCTACACCGCATGCTCTTCTGTTGACTATGAAGGGAATGATTTTAAAGCTTTAGTGTATGAATTTATGCCTAAGGGTAGCTTAGAGAGCTGGCTGCATCCCCCTCCTGATGAACTAGATGAGGATACAAATCCAAGGATTTTAGGCCTTCTGGAAAGAATAAACATTGCTATAGATGTGGCTTCTGCACTCGATTATCTTCACAACAATAGCCCCAAACCGATTGTTCATTGTGACCTGAAACCAGCTAACATTCTTCTTGATGCATACTTGACTGCCCGTGTGAGTGATTTTGGATTGGCAAAGTTTATTCCGGAGTTGGCAAACAAATCTCATCCCAATCAAAGCAGTTCGATTGGAATGAGGGGGACAGTAGGATATGTTGCACCAGGTAAGTCTTTCTTATTCTTCCAGTTAATCATGTACATATTCATTTCTCGCAGAAAGGTTCTTTATCGACAAATTTACATGAAAATTAAGCGAAATTCATGCGTTGTTTGGCAGAGTATGGCATGGGTGGAAAGGCCTCTACATTTGGTGATGTGTATAGTTTTGGTATAATCTTACTAGAAATGTTGAGTTGTAAGAGGCCAACAGATAGCATGTTTGATGATGGCACAAATCTTCATAACTTCGTTAAGGCATCAATACCTGGAAGACTAGATGACATTTTAGACCCAATAATTCTTCCATGTGCTGGTGACGATGAGGAAGAGGAGAAAGCCATAGGACAAAGTAAATTAGATCAAATGCGAGAATGCATTATTTCTCTTCTTCGGATTGGAATAGCTTGTTCTGTGGACTCGCCGAAAGAGCGAATGGATATCGGTGATGTCATTAAAGAATTGCAGCTGATAAAAGCCATTATTCTTGCTTCTGAACCCAATTGCAGTTCAACTAGCGGGTAAGTGTAAAATTGCTTTAGTTGAATAATCCTCATGTAAAAGTTACCATGCAATTACTTTCTTCTAACCTGTCATTCAAATTTCAGGAGCCTCAGGTTCAATGGATCCTCCAGCAGATCAGCAACTACTAGTTGGCAAAACGTTGTAGTGTAAAATTAGACGCCTCATGGTTCTATAGTAGGCATTAGTAGTTTGTTTACCTTTTTGGTATTTTTTTTGCTAAGAAAATGCGAGGGGAAAAAAGAAATCCATTGCACATAAAATAGTTCACAATATGATAAACTGAAACATGGCTTAGGCCTTTCATGTGCTTTGGCGGTTTTTCCTGCTTGTATGTAATATATTTACTTGCTAAACTCAAAATAAGAGCCTCTAATTTCCTGCAATCTGTTCACAACTATGCTCATTGGCATTCTATCCACAGGTAATGAATTGGAACATACAAGTCCAACACTCAACACTGAAACTAAGCACTCTTCCATTCTAGTACTAGCATTTTGCAAGAAATCATTGTTTATCAGACAGGATTCACTTTTATCTTTGTGTTGTTTTCCTTCTGGCAAGACCATGAGCAGTGCGGGGTCTATAATCTCCACGACGCGTCCAGGTAAAGCCGTTGCAACAAGCCTGTGGATATTTAGGCCATCTTTGAACATTTCATGAGTGGGTCTTTTACCTGTGAACAATTCCAGAAGTAGTATCCCATAGCTATAAACATCTCCAGATGCCGACACAGGGCTTCCTGAACCATATTCTGTGATGATAGTTTAAAAATAGAATTACGCATATGCTTAAATAACTTGTGGACAGGAATACATATGTTGTTAGGTGTAATCATTTCCCTGAAAGACTAATATTCGTGCATGCAACGTAAGCTTATTCATGTGCTGAGGCTAAACAAGAGAAATATACCTGGCGGAATGTAGCCTATGGAGCCCTTGAGGCCACCCGTTATGCTATGCTTCCCAGTTGAAGCCTCGATGAGGAAAGTCGCCAATCCAAAATCACCAACATGCGCTGTCATATCTTCATCAAGAAGTATATTGCTGGGTTTTAGGTCACAGTGAATTATAGGATTTTCACAATAGTTGTGGAGGTAATCCAGAGCCGAAGCAACATCAATGGCTATGCTCAATCTTTGTTCAAAGTCCAAACTGCTTTCCTGACAAGCATTATCGTCTACCGGGTGCAACCACTGGTCGAGGTTTCCATTCTTCATGTACTCAAAGACTATGCATTTGAAATCATTCCCTTGAGGATCAATGCTTGAGCAAGCAGTTACGACCTTGAGCAAGTTACGGTGCTTTGTGTTCTTCAAAGCTTTACATTCATCCATGAAGCTCTTTATAGCCCCTTTCTGCTGGAGATTTAATTTTTTCACTGCCACAACTGAACCATCCACATCAAGAACTCCTTTATACACAGAACCGAAACTACCCGAACCAATTAAGTTCTCCTCTGAGAACCCATTTGTAGACTTTATTATCTCCTGAAATGAAACTCCAAGTTGCCAATCTTGATAAGACGATGCAGTTGATAGTTGCAGCTGATGTTGTCTTGAGCCTTTCAGACCAAAATGTGCAGCAACAACGCAAAACAGGAAGACAAGAAAAACGATACCAATAATAACAGGGATCAATACTTTGAGTCCCTGGAATTTAGATGATTTTCTCTTAGTAATTTCCTGGCATCTAGGCAAGTTTAGTCCTGGAATACCTCCACACAGCTCATTGTTTCCAGTTAAGGATATAGAACTTGCATTTGCAAAAATCCCTTTGGATGGCACTTCTCCAACGAAATTGTTAAAAGAGAGATTGATACTTTTCAGGGATGAGAGTTCAGTTAAAAAACCTGGGATTTCCCCTGAAAAGTTATTGTGAGAGAAATCAATCACGGCTATAGCTCTTAAACTTTTCAATGATCCAGGGATGGTTCCATTGAGCAAATTATGACTGAGGATAAGCCGCTCCAAAGTAAGACACTTGCTAAGAGTGCTCGGAATCTCACCTGATAATTTGTTCTGTGAGAAATCCAACTCATTCAAATTAACCAAATTTCCAAGCTCAACAGGCAAAGAACCAGTAAGCAAATTTTGTGAAATGGCAAGAGAAATGGACAGAGAAGATAGCCCTGCAATGACTTCTCGTGGTATGATGCCAGTAAGACTATTCTTAGTAATATTTAGCACCTGCAGTCTTCTCAGGCTACCAAGCTCAGCTGGTATGTTTCCCTCCAAATTATTTTCTTCCATGAAAAGTCTGGTTAAGGATGTCAAGTTACCGATGGATGATGGAATCAAGCCGGAAAAATTGTTGTAATTGACATGTAATCCCTGTAGAGATTTAAGGTTACCAATGGTATTAGGAATGCTGCCACTAAATAAATTTCCTTCCAGGCCTAAAGAGGTCAAACCCACCAGGTTTCCTATTCCATCAGGAACTTCCCCATGAAAGAGGTTAGAACCCAATGTCAGAATATTTAGGTTTTCAGAGAGGTTGGCCACTGAACTGGGCAGTTTCCCACCAAAGAAATTTCCGCTCAGTCCCAAAACTTGCAGGTTTGAACAGTTGGCTAAGAAATGAAGGATTTCCAAACCACTGCCATTCCCATTTCCCAATTTATTCTGATCGAAGTTGATCCTGTTCAAACTTTGCAAGTTCCCAAAACCCGTAGGAAGAATTCCAGTGAGACTGTTTTGCGCAAAATCTAAGATGGCCAGGTTGGAAACATTTGATAAAGAAACAGGGATTTTTCCAGTGAAATTGTTGACCCCACCAGCAAATATCTCAAGATTAGGAAGTGTAAGGCCCACGTCGCCTGGAAGTTCTCCATGTAATCGGTTCTGGGTGACAGAGAAGTAGTAAATACTGGACAGATTGAAGATTGGCGGAGGAATCGTACCCGAAAGTTGATTTCCGTAGACTTGAAATATTCTCAAACTTGAAAGTTTGCCAAAATCAGGAGGAATACTTCCTTGGAAACTGTTCAGTGCCATTGTGAATATCCGTAAGGATGTAAAGTTTCCAATCCAAGCAGGAAGGCTTCCTGTGAAAAAATTACCTGCAAGGCCTAAGAATGTCAGCTTTGTCAAGGAATTTAGCGGGTCGGGAATCCGCCCCGTCAGCTTATTGTAAACCAAATCAAGCGCTGTAAGGTCAGTGCAGTGAGTTAAATTAGATGGGATTTCGCCGGTGAAAGAATTGAAAGTCAGGTTAAGCTGTTGGAGGAGCCTTAACCGGCCGAGTTGTTCAGGGAGTTGGCCCCGGAAGGTGTTGTTTCTCAGGTTGAGAACTGTTAGATAAGAAAGATTTCCGATGGAAGTTGGAATTAGGCCAACCAACTGGCGTGCAGATAAATCGATGGTAGTGACTCTTTGATTGGAGGGACTGCAAGTTAGGCCTTCCCAATTGCAGTGATGAACTGAGGCATTCCAAGAAGCCACGATTCCTGAAGGATCAACTGATATGCTGTTCTTCAAGTCCAGCAAAGCTTGTAAATCAGTCTCATTTCCTCTTATGGCTGCGATTTGTGCAGATGTATGACTGGAAATGATGGATAAAACCAGAATTGCAAGATAGGAATGTGGAGAAAGAAAAAATCTCAAATTCAAGCAGAAGCATTCCATAACCGTAGTGCTAAAAGAAAGCAGAGAAGTTGACTGATGATGCTGTTGTATTGGTTCATAAAGAAATATCTAATACTCTTTAGCAAGATTTTTTGTTTTTTGGTTGAAAAAAACTGATATACTGTTGCCCTATTGATGACTGCTTTTTAGGGGTAGATGGAAAATTTAAGAATTTAATGAACTGAGTAAAGGAAGTCGGTAACGGTCAGTACCATTCGACAAATCTATGAATGAGACTTTCCTAGTATAAAATTTCCGATTTTTCCCTAAAATACTTGCAGACCTAGCATGTGTGACTATAACTGTAATGGGCTAGTCATGAAGAAATTCAGCGTCCAGAAGCCCAAACCGCCATTAAAGTCCAGTAGTGCCATTAGATCCACGAAAGAGACCAACGGGTTCAAGCGTGTGAGATATAGAAAAAATAAATAAATAAATAAAATAAAAAGATTATGTACTGTATAACAAATTTGTCCGGCTGAGTCAGGGCATTGTATTTGTATCCGTTCGGAGTACAGAAATATACAGGAAAACGTTAATGTATATGATTTCCTTAAATAAATATTATTATTGCAATCTCTATGCATTATGGTTCGCATAATGGGGTTTGCGTAAATATTATATCCTGCAATCTACTTTTGGTACGAAATTTAAGTGACTAATAATTGGGTATGAAATTTAAGTATGAAATTATACACTGTCCATAAAACTAGATATTTGCACAAAATGAAATTCATAGTACTTGGTTTCATCTTCCCATTAGGCATACTACTAAATCCAGTACCACCAAACGCATCTTGGAGGGAATCGTGCTCCTGAAATATCAGGAACTATAAGTCCTCTTAAGTCTGATGTGGAATTCCTGACGATAATCATCCGAAACATCAATTTCTGCGCTTTTCTTTTCTGTTTTATCCAGTGTTGTACCGCGAAAGTTTTATTCCTCAATTCAGGGCCCCGGAAAATTTGATCCGTTGTCTGAAAACTGCTAATTTGTCAGCCTGAAATATGCGCATCATTTCCACCATGTTATTTGCTTTTGTGGTCTTCGCGATCGTTTTCATGGAGAGCCTTTTTTCTAGTGTTTCTTTTCGATCAGTTGAAAGTGAAACTCAAATCAAACGTACCGCTCATCAAGGGTTGAAGATTATAGATGAGGAAGTGCAACAGGTTGTGCTAAAGGAGGAGTCATTCCCCAAGCGGGTCGAAGAAGCCGATTATGGAACCAGAAATACGGATAGCAATGCAACGGTACTGGAACGGAAAGTCAGCCTGTTGAAAAAGAAAAAACTGAGCAAACGCAAGTTGAACACGCTTACGACGAGCCAAAAGGCAGGGGAATTTGATTCCAGGGTGGATGCATTTCTGCACAATCGGGGTCTTCGGTGTCAGATTCAGATCTTTTTGACTTGGATATCTCCCGCAAAGTCATTCCAGGGCCGGCAGTTTTTAGTATTGGATAGCCTGTTCAAAAACAACCCCAATGCGTGTTTGGTTATTCTGTCAAAAGAACTCGATTCAGGGCCTGGACGCCTTATTTTGAAACCTTTACTCGATCATGGCTACAGGGTTGCTGCATTTGATCCTGATTTGAAGTCTCTGTTCAAAAACACCCCGGCAGAGGCCTGGCTAAAGGATATTCAGGGTGGACACAAGGACGCTGGCGGGATTCCGTTGGCTCAGAACCTATCCAACTTGATGAGGCTGGCAGCGCTTTACAAGTATGGCGGCGTTTACCTGGATACTGATTTCATAGTTTTGAGGGATTTATCCGGGTTGAGGAACACGATAGGAGCTCAAAGCATGGACAGGAATGGAAAGTGGACGAGGTTAAATAACGCGGTCCTGATTTTTGACAAGAACCATCCTCTGTTGTATGAATTCATGAAGGAATTTCAGCGTAATTTTGATGGAAGTAAATGGGGTTACAATGGACCATACTTGGTTTCCAGAGTCATTGAGAGAGTAACGAAGCAAAAGAGATACAATTTCACTGTCTTGCCTCCAAAAGCTTTCTACCCTGTTGATTGGACTAGGATTGACGGATTCTTCAAGCGACCAAATGATCCTGGGTTCGTCAAATGGGCAGAGGCCAAGCTCCTTCGGCTCAAAAAGGGGAATGAAACGTATGGAATTCACCTGTGGAATAGACAAACTGGCAGGATGAAAATTGAGAAAGGGAGTATCATGTCCGAATTGATTTCTCATCATTGCATCATCTGCCCAAAGCACTAATACTTGCTAGAAGCTTAGAACTAGAAGATATCTTTATAAATTCTAAGTCTTGATGAGAAGTGAATTAGTCGTGTTAGTGTTTTGCTTTTGTATTGGGTTCACAAGAAATATATCTAATACTGTATAGCAAGACTTCATATTATTTTTTGGTTGGAAAAAATTGTTCTGCTGTGGCCAATTGGTGACTTCTTTTTAGGGCAAGATAGAAAATTTAAGAATTTAATGAACTGCGTAAAGGAGGTGGGTAACGGTTACCATTAGTCACTCAGTACCATTCGCCAAATCTATGAAAGAGACATCCTCTGTATAATAAATTCGGAGTTTTTCCAAAAATACTTGCAGACTAGCATGTGTACGTAGTATAAGTGTAATGGGGCGGTCGTGAAGAAATCCATAAGCCGTGTAAGACCAAATCACCATTAAAAACCAGTAGTGCAATTGGCTCACAAAAGGATATCAAGGATCCTATCCATCGAGGTTCCCACGATTCAGCGAGTAAGATTAGTTATTGACGTGGAACTTGTAAATATGAAAAATAAATGAACTTTTAAATAAAAACAAAAAGATTATGTATAACAAATTAGCCAGAATTCAAATTAGACTCCAAAGCAGTATCACGATCTCTCGACAAAAATGTCCCTACTAAAATTTAACCACACCTCACAAATCCTTCCCTCAAAATCTCACAAGTCACGGCCGACCCCTCTTCCACCACCAATCATCATCCCCAGTGCTTCTCAACCATGGAGGCTCCCAAAATTTTGTTACGAAATTTTAGTGACTAATCATTGAGCAGAATCCTTCTCATAAAAGCAACATTAACTTAGGTGTGAAATTTATTGCAATTATACACCTAGATATTTGCACAAAATGAAATTCATAGTAATTGGTTTTATCTTTCCATTAGCCTGGATCTTCCTCCCATCAATGAATCTCTACTTTTATACTACTATAAATCCGGTACGACCAAACTCATCCGGGAGGGATTCGGGCACCTGAAATTTCAGGAAATAGAAGGCGTTTTAAGTCTGATGTGGAATTCTTGATGATAATCATCCGAAACATCCATTTCTGCACTTTTAGTTTTGTGTTCTATCCAGTATTGTATCGCCTTCTATTCCTCAATTCAGGGCCCATGAGAAATTGACTCCTTGTCTGAAAACTGCTGATTTGTCAACCTGAAATATGCGCATCATTTCGACCGTGTTATCTGCTTTTGTGGTCTTCGCGATCTTGTTCGTGCAGAGCCTTTTATCTAGCCTTTCGTTTCAATTAGTTGAAAGTGAAACTAAAATCAAACGTGACGCTCATCAAGAGTTGAAGATTATAGATGAGGAAGTGCCACAGGTAGTGCTAAAGGAGGAGTCATTCGCCAAGCGGGTCGAATAAGCAGATCATCGAACCAGAAATACTTGTAGCAATGCAACAGTACGGGGACAGAAAGTCAGCCTGTTGAAAAAGAAAAAACTGCGCAAACGCAAGTTGAACGCGCTTATGACGAGCCAAAGAGCGGGGGAATTTGATTCCAGGGTGGATTCATTTCTGCACAATCGGGGTCTTTGGTGTCAGGTTCAGTTCTTCATGACTTGGATATCACCCGCAAAGTCATTCCGGGACCGGCAGTTTTTGGTATTGGATAGCCTGTTCAAAAACAACCCCAATGCGTGTTTGATTATTCTGTCAAAAGAACTGGATTCAGGGCCTGGACGCCTTATTTTGAAACCTTTAATCGATCGCGGCTACAGGGTTGCTGCATTTGATCCTGATTTGAAGTCTCTGTTCAAAAACACCCCGGTAGAGGCCTGGCTGAAGGATATTCAGGGTGGGAACAAGGACGCTGGCGGGATTCCATTGGCTCAGAATCTATCCAACTTGATGAGACTGGCAGCGCTTTACAAGTACGGTGGCGTTTACCTGGATACTGATTTCATAGTTTTAAGGGATTTCTCGGGGTTAAGAAACGCGATAGGAGCTCAAAGCATGGAGAAGAATGGAAAGTGGACGAGGTTGAATAATGCGGTCTTGATTTTTGACAAGAACCATCCTCTGTTGTATGAATTCATGAAGGAATTTCAGCGTTATTTTGATGGAAGTAAATGGGGTCACAATGGACCGTACTTGGTTTCCAGGGTCATCGAGAGAGTAACGAAGCAAAAGAGATACAATTTCACTGTCTTGCCTCCAAAGGCTTTCTACCCTGTTGATTGGACTAGGATTGATGGGTTCTTCAAGCGACCAAATGATCCGGCGTTCGTCAAATGGGCAGAGGCCAAGCTGCATCGGTTCAAAAAGGGAAATGAAACGTATGGAATTCACCTGTGGAATAGACAAACAGGCAGAATGAAAATTGAGAAAGGAAGTATCATGGCGGAACTGATTTCTCATCATTGCATCATCTGCCCAAAGCACTAATACTTGCTAGAACTAGAAGATATCTTTTTCTTACCTCAGTTTTCCCAAAAGGTATATACAAATTAGATAGATAGATACATAATAGTTATTGAATCTCAAGGGGTCAAAACTGTACTCCAAATAGCTCTCACTTTATACTTTATAAATTTCAAGTCTTGATGAGAAGTGAATTTAGTATGTTTAGTGTTTTGCTTTTTAACATTCCCTCAAATGTTTTTTCCTAATAGTGATAATAAGCACACAAAATTCTGCAAGGACCATTTTCTAATGCATACGGTTGTGTATATTTTTGTGTCATTATGTCTATCTACAATCCTGAAACTGTGCCATAGGCAGCTGAGCAGTTCAATGAATAAAAAGAATTTTTAAAAAGCTCTGTAACCCCAATCGTTTTCATTATCAAAGCTTCCTACCACAGATCATAACCCTCAATCTTCTCAACCGCAACCTGAATCCAAAGATTCTAAACCCTGAAAACAGCCATAAACCAAATCTAGGTAACCTCCGAAATGACTTCTTCCTGGTGAGCCTCCTCCTGTTAGTATTTTGCTGCATGTTTGACCTCTTTTTTCCTCGGCTGTGATCACCTGAAGATTTCCCACTTTTGAAATCATTGGGAGTACTGGCCATCATCATCATCCGGGCTTGCTTAATTGGACTCCAGGGATCATCATATTTCTTTCCATCATCAGCATCACTTCCCCACAAGAAAATAGGCTTGATCATGGGAGAACCACTGTATTCATCCAAATAAGTCTTCAAGGTTGTGTGCTCCATATCGATCAATCTCCTTAAGGATGTGCTCCCTACTTTCATTAAATCCAACAAACTGCTGCTCCTGCGTGAAGAAGTGAATGAAGAACAGGAAGCCCCTGCTGAGGAGGATAAGGAAGATGATGATGAATAGTAGAGATATTTCTGGTACTTTATAATCTGCCTAACTTTGTTTTTCTGAGCTTCAGAGTCAATCAAAACAGGGGAATCCTCCTCCTCATCATCATCATCTTGTTTTTCTTCAATAATCTGAGATGCCATTTTTGTGTAATCTCCCAAATAATCTAATCAAGATTTTGCAATATAGTATTAGATGATCATGATGATGATGATTAGATGGCAGTTTTAAGACAAGTTTAGGAAAGATGCGAAATCTCATTTAAAATAATTGATAAATGCCGGCTGTAAGTGAATGTGTACAAAATGTTCTGGAATATTTTTAGTTGCTTAATAGGCTAAAAGAATACCATTCAAAGGTTTTAACTATGTCTATTTGCTCAGTGACGCATTAGTTGTTTTTTCTATCATATTTATCTGCTAATTTTCGGTCAAATTATGGAAGTTGGACTGCAAACATTCCCTCTAATCCTTTAAATAACACCAAAGGCCAATCGTGTTATAGATTATAGACATACTCCTTCTGTGAAGCAATAGACGTTAAGAACTAGAAGTTAACGATTAAAACAAAGTAAATAGGATAGACAAGCCGCGGGATATATGCTAACATTCTTCGAGTTTTGTGTTCTGAAACTTGAAATCCAAACCATTTTAAAAGAATCAATGAAGCTTCTAGGCTACAAGCCTACAACTCCCAAAAAAAGGAAAAAAAAGTTTTTTTTTTTTAAAGGACAAAAGAAAGTAATTTTTTAAAAATAATATAACCCACTATCTAAAATCACTGCTAACTAATTCGTTTTCGAGACTGGTAAGTCTTTTTCGGAAAGTGTTACTCTCCAACGTGTATATTTTTCATTAGCAATGGATGCTTACACCATAACTTGAATTTCGCTCATGGCTAAAGTATTCAATATCTTTACCACTTAAATTAAGTATTTTTTTTTTTAAGATAATCTCTCTGATTGTCAAATATCGTTAACTATTGCATATTGCAGGATGTCCACCGTCGATAATAGTAACTAATCCCCCTCGCTCATGGTAGGCAACGCAATGGGTGGGAGCTCATGGCTAAAGTATTCAATATCTTTACCACTTATCAAGTATTTGTTTTTTTTTTAAGATAATCTCTCTGATTGTCAAATATCGTTAACTATTACATATTGCAGGATGTCCACCATCGGTATTCAATATCTTTACCACTTAAATCAAGTATTTGTTTTTTTTTTAAGATAATCTCTCTGATTGCCAAATATCGTTAACTATTGCATATTGCAGGATGTCCACCGTCGATAATAGTGATTAATTCCCCTCGCTCATGGTAGGCAACTCAATGGGTGGAAGAGTTGGTCAAAGGATTTAGAATTGCTCCATACATATGACAAGATTCGAACCCTCGATCTATGGTTAAGGGTGGAAGAGTACTTACTAATCCACTATAACCCCTTTGGTTAAAAGAGGATATTAATAAATAAAATAATCATTTGCGAGTAGAGCTTGAAAAGAGCCAAAAGGCCCAACTAGACATTATTCTACAAAGCTTGATTTATCATTTCCTGGATACTTAATCTATTGGGCCAAAACGTTTATTCGCTGTGGAAGGTGAAACGAAACCACACATGGCTGAGGCAGAATGCATAAGGCCCATCAGTAATAGGAATCAATTGCAGAAGTGGTAGCTGATAATTGGACAATTCACCAAAGTGAATATGTTTGCAGTCTCCTATATAAATCCAATATCAGAATGTTTGTAATTCCGTCTTAGACGTAGAGTAGTTTTAAAAAAGATAAACAATTACAGGAAAAAATTATTCCCTTTATTTCAACAAATAGTCTAAGGAGATTTACATTAAAGTTAATTGCATTATCCTACTAATGTTTATAATCATCATGTGATTAAAATTAGTATCTATTTATTTAAAATTTATAATTTTATGTAAGCGGCTTCTCACATTATCAATAATCTGGCGGCTAAATGATACAATACATGTCGTTCAGTAGTTGTATACCTTTTGGCCTCCAGCTCTCCACTGCAAACCAATAATGCGAATAATCATCATATAAAATCATGATTAAGCAGAAAAGCCCCCTTTTTTTTTCTTTAATCTCGGATCCGTCCCGGTGTCCAACTGACTGTAGACCCTGTCACATATAAATTGATGACTTAATGATAGCAAATTAGGTATAGTGATCTCTACTTCTTCTTTTTAAGAAACAATAAATCTCTCTGGTAATTGATCTCTGGAGAAAATCTGACAGCCTTTTAAAAAGTCAAAAGGGTTCTTGGATGCTTCTAACATGACTGAGACTCTACTTGAGTGAGGGTCTATATATCTCTCTCATCATTGTCGCTATAAACAAAAAAGATTGTTTCACAGTTACGATGTTTAGATTCTGATCAATCAATTAATCCTCAAAAGAACAAGTTGCTACTTATATTTATATTACTAACTGTGTGTCTTTATTAAAAACTCAACCCTCTGACTTCGATTTTCAAAGTTTTTTCAGATCTCTCTCGTTGAAGTACACTAGTAGTACTCCACTTTGTGTATAACGTTGTAACATGCCATTCTTTCAGCACCGAGGTCCATCATCAGCACATGCTAATGCGTGAATCTGAATTCTTATATGCTCTTGATCATTTTTTTACCCCCAATTATTTTTGCACTCTCTCCCTTATAATCATATCCATCACATGCAATTAGTAATGATGGTAGTGCCTCATTTATCAGACACTAATATGTAGTGTCTTTAGAAAAATTTATGCTGAGAATCCCATAAGATGGCTCATCTTTTTATAAAAGATTAAGATTGTCTAATTAACTACTCTTATGATAATTGGTGTTAGAACTATTTATACATTGCATGTATCTTTTGATAAGAAGAAGTAATAGGTCAAACATATATACATAAGCACATTACGTGAATAAGTAACTCCTGCATTATTGAGATGAAGTTAAGAATGTATTTGACTCAATTGATTCATAGAATGTGTAATACCACCTCCGAGGTCTCTGCCACATATTTGTCTCAAAATTTGCCTCTCAATGTATACATTTCATTGATATTGATAATCCCATTTTTCTTATAATAGAACCAGGGAAGAAAAATAAATTAGGGGCCAACCAATCTAGTTTGACTAACAATTAAGATGATCAAACGTTGGAAGACGATGGAAACTTAGTTCTTAAGAGGTTGGCCGACAGAGTAAAAAGAAGAAAACTAATCAATAATTTCGAGAAACAGCAAGACGACGCCTAAAACCCGGAGTGGGACGAACAATAAACAAATCGGCGCTAATATATTTTTTTACTAAGTAATATGAAAGCAAACCAAATTGAAAAGAGGGTCAAAGGTCGTGAACTGAAGTTCAAAACACTTAATTCGAACATCAGTTTGGACTTCAATTCGGCGAGGTTCATGCACATACACACAACATTCCACGTATGTACGTAACATGTTCAAAATGTTCAATGTTCATATGCACACACCACACCACACATGCGTGTGATCTAATTTGAAGATTTATTTTCCTTCCTTTAGGACTACATCTAAGTTAAATTCGAAACCAAGATTTCGTAATGACAATCTTTCGCATTCACCTCTTTACTCAGTAGTTTTACGTCTAATCTATCTTATAAAAATGTACATAATGAATGAATAAACTCGAAAAGACGAGTACTATTCTGTACATCCGCAACTCACGAAAATGATATCCGAAACCTGTAAATTTTTGTCAATAGATGTGGCTCGCACCTATTTATGGTAGATGTAACTATAAGAAGAAGGAATCAGAGGAAGAACATAATATACCTCCGGCAATCAATCGCACGTGACAAGGAGGGAAACAAACGTGCAACCCATGTGAGAGTGGGTTTTTTAGGAACTTTTAGGGTCCACGGCCCATGCCTCCCCCAATCAGAGAATATAAGGTCAAAAGGCCGGAGGGGTCTTTCTTCTTCTTCTTCTTCTTCTTGTTTGAGAAAATTGAGATACGTCTACATCTACTTTTATTATCAAAGCTCCCACCATTTGCATCTTCATTAAAAATCCTTTCCCACCCCCATACTTTTCCCTAATTTCTGCACCCTCTTTTCAACTTTTCTTTTCCCTTTTAATTTTCAAATGCAAATGTTGAGTATGATTTTGGGGAACATGCCAAGTAATTATGACATTGCAATTGGTCACAACCCACATCCAACGAGGACAGTGTATAAATAATAATATTCGATTCCTCAAAACATATAAAAATGGATTAAATGAAAGAAGAAAGACGGATAATTTTTAAAACACTACCATATTTTGATTTTTAATTAATTAGGCCTATGCTTCTTTTTTGTAGCAAAGGAATCATCATTAACATCCAACCACACTACTAATCTAACATTTCTCTTTCTAAAAAAATTTAAACAAAAAGAAAAACCAAAAAAAAAAAAAGAAAAGAAGCACACATCTCACATCACATTGTAGAGGTAAATAACTAAATATTACTGCCTCCCCTGTGTATAATACAAAATATGTAGGGGGGAAAAAGGGAATTGTAGTCTGTCTTTTTTTGACGACGGTTGAGATTTTCTTTTTTCCTTTGGTGGTGAAACTCATCAGTCATCAGTGATGCGGCGGGGCAAGTACAGGGGGATGCGCCGCCGTCTGCGCAGGTACCGGTGGTTTGCATTGGTAACACTTGGCAAAGAGCCCAAATGTGTCCACTTGTTTTACAAAATTGGTCATGCTAGCCCACCCGCCGAACCCGAACCCGACTACCAAAACCCAACCCACGATGAAGATGTTGATTGCGTACATGGCAGTCCAGCTGGGCATGAAGAACGGAGGCTTCTCAGCTGCGTTCTGCAGAAAACAACATTTTAACAAACAAAAAGTCAGCAACAAAATTAACAAAGTTTTTTCACCCATTTACTGTGGTGTTTAAAAGTTTTTTTTAAAAAAAAAACAAAGAAGAGAATAATGGAAGAGGGTGAAGAAGAAGTAAGACAGCCAGCTCAGATGATATAAACAAGGGGGACATAAATGCAAAAGCAGAGACTGTAGAATATGTATAACTAAAACGAAAAGGACTAGCCACCTATAATCTCCCCCTATTTTGTGTGTGTGTGTGTGTGTGCTGGATGGAGTCCTATTTTCTTAAATCAAAAAAAAAAAAAAACCAAAAGAAAAGAGGCCTTAAATGCAATCCTTGTAGCTTTGTGCCCACACTCTCTCACTCAATTGTCTTTCTCTTTCGCCATTGCCCTCCATTCCAGAGAACAAGTGTAGTTGCTACTACTACTTCTCCTACTTATTATTCCCACTTGCCAATAATTGGGATTCCCCATTTTGAAACCCCGGATTGAGGGACCCCTCTTTTTTCTCTAATTACAACTTCAATAATCCCGAATTTTCATCTCTAACAATGAACCAGATAAACTACTGTCCCATGAACCAAGTTATCCATCCACTTTTGGCCCTTTTATTAATATTGAAAGGTACCTCTATTTCAAGACAATTTTAGTACTATGTAGACTGTAGTTAGTGTAGTTTGCTAGATGTAGTCATGATGCAGAGAATAATTAGGATGTTTTATTTCCTTTTTTACCGTCCGAGGTAAAATGGTCGTTAGATGGGGATATTTCACCGACAGATTTGGTGAAAAAAATATAACGTCAAAAGAAGCAAACAATAAAAATGAACGGTTTTTATTTTACCTGGCGGGCAGATGCCTTCCTGTAAGTGAGCATGTGGGCAAGAGCAGGGATGATGTAGACGGTGAAACTGACCAGAAGTGCTCCAACTGCAGAATTAATTGGCCCAAAGAAGGGGAAAATGATGGCCAGAAACCATATCGGAATCACCACCGGCAACCTCGCCAGAGCCCTTAAACAAATACTCCTCGTGTCATGCATTCCGATTACCTTCTCCCACACAAAGTACAATGGCGTACATGCGAACCCGAACGTAATAAACTAAAAGAAAAAAAATATAATTGACCCAGTTGAGAATTTGGATTAGCCCAGTAAAGAATGAAATTAGAAATGTGTATAAATTAATTAATCACCTGATGGATAAGCATGAGGATGACGGCGGCGTCACGCCAGCCGGATTTGGGCAGAAGGGAGAAAGCATTTGAATGGTTGAGAAGTTGATCGCCGAAAGCCCAGTAAACGGCGGTGGCCGACGGCAGGGTTAGTGTGAATACGTAAAGGGTAGCGATTAAATATATGTACTTGAACTTCTGTGGTTTCCACATTGCATGCATGATTTCCCTGTAATTTTGGTAATAAAGTAAATAAAATCATTGCCAGAGAATTAGTTGTTAATCATCATCATCATCATCTACCTACCCCATGGATTCTAATACGGTATTCTGCTGCTTTTTTGACTCATTAACGATTTTTGGAAGTCTTTGCTTTAAAGAGTAAGTGATATTTACAAATATTTCAAAGGTGGTTGAATTTGTTTTGACCAAATTATGCTGGTTGTTAAGAAAAGGTTTGATGACAGAATGAAAAGTGCACTGTATACAAAGGATTGAAGAAGGGAGAAATTACAGCAGGATCGAGGTAGAAAAGGGGAGGCCTAATCGAAAACTGTAGTTTTGTTTTATTTTTTTCCTGCAACTTTCCACAATGGGAAAAATTACAGAGAAAACGTTGTTCACTGTTTGGCAAACAAGGAAAAAGCAGTTGCCATTATTGTGTCTGTGGTCTCAAAAACCGAGGTGGCCGGCAAAAGCTGCAAACAGAAGCCGCGTAGAAGAAGAAGAAGATAGCTGTATTGGTGGGTGGGACAAAATTTCTACACTTATTTTAGTATCAGAGCTTGGATTATTACAAAAACCATATAAAACTCTACTAATTACAAAATTATGGGTGAACAGATAAAATAATACTACTAGTAGTATGAAACTTACACAGTGACAGCATGACCACCGAACGTGTATAGTATATTGGTGGCACCGGTGAAGTATAACACTAACTTTTTCGGGGCCGAATGTACCACTCCATCAACCTGCCCATAAAAACGAGGAAATCACGCAAAAAAGTTCAGACTCAAATGTCCATTGATTTAGTATAACGTAGTAGTATTTGATAAAAATAATGTTATTTGTACCTGGCCGTGAACTAAAGCTGCAATGGTCAAGTACCATGCTGTGTACGTAGTCATCCCAAGTCCCAGAAACGACCAAATCCTGTAGTTATGGAAGGATGGAATAAACACTGTGGTGGCACAGCAAGCTCCAAATATGTATGTCCATGTCCTCTTGTCCAGTCGATCGTTAATGTAGTAAATGTTACTGAAACAAAAACCAATATAACCCCCAATTAAAATTAAAAGTATAAAGCTTTCAACTTTTTTTTTTAACCTTAATGGATTGATTAGTTGATTTAATTACCTTGCACAGGCAATGAGCTGTATGACGGATCCGAATAGAAGGAAAGTACAGTTGAAGGCAAGGCCCAGTGCTTTCCAGTAAGGACCCAACAGACCATCAAGAACTTCGAACCACTGCAGTTTTTTTTTTTTTTAATTCATGTGAGCCATTTCTAAAACGGATAACGGACAAAGAAAGAACCATTTTCCCTTCTTTTTAGTGTGTGTGCGTGTGTGTGTGAAGGATAACGTAAGGTTGAAGTATATGGAAGTGTACCTGAATGACATGGTTTTTGAAGCTGACACCTTCTTTCTCCTTGCGGCTACGGTATTCAATATACAAAACACTAATAAGGTAGGCCGTCCAGCTCCCAACCAGACCGTAGAATATTTGGAATACTATCCCAGATAGAAATCCCAATTGAGAGAATGAGTATGGTAGTGTCAAAAGCACTTGTGCCACCTGAAAAAAAAATAAAAAGTTGCCGAAGTACCATGTACCAAATTAGCTGGCTTTTTCAATGGTACAGGACAAAAGCAAAAATGGGGACTAATAAAGATGGGTTTTTTCTCTTTATTTCTTTTTTTTTGTTAAGGATTAAAGCAATTTACTTGATTAGAGGCGCAACTGAACCAGGCATCCCAGGCGGAGCCACCGTGCCAGAGGAAGGTTTTGACGCTGAAAAGTGGCTGGTCATCGTCTTTCTGTTGGAGTGAATCCTCCCTGCCGGATTCCGGCTCAACCGTATCGTTGAAGTTGGTGACAATTGATTCCTCTGCTTGCTTCTGAGGCAACATTGTTGTCTTCGATTATCCCTCTAATACACTAAACTCGCAGATCTGAAACATAAAAAAGACGCTAAATGAGACAAAAGGACTCCAAGAATGCGCATACCCAAGTGAGCTTTTTAATTTTAAAGTAGTATAGTCTTCCCAACTGGCCAGGCCAATCTCCCAGAAAACGAAAGCCGAGAAATTCCCAGATCCAAAAACACAATTCCAATCAAAGAACAAACAAAAGAGAAAAGTGATAAAAAAAAATTAGTGCATACTACTAATCACTAGTACTAACTAGTTAAGCATTCCTTTCGCTTTTATCCAGAATACCTTTGTTTTGAGATGTCTCTTTCTCGAACCCAGATCTTAGAGAGAAACTAGTCTTATAGATTGGGAACGTGCCAGTTTTCGACCTCTTCTTTAAAAAGTGCTATAGAGCAAAGAATTGCGTGTTTGGTGTCAACAACAACTCAGGCACACATGACTTAATAGTCAATGTAAAGGGGAAGCCTTTCTTTCTTCTTCTGCAGCTCCACTTACTGAGAGTATTGATTATGGCCAATTTAAGATTTCGCAGGCTCCCGGGAGAGTCTGAAAACAGAGTGTTAAATGCAGGGCACGCCGGGCAAATAATTGGGAAACAGCACACTCCACACTAGTGCTCGATCGCCGCACAAAAACAGTGACAAGCCCACTTAAATGCTGTTGTGTTATGGTTTGCTGGACGAAAACTCTGGAGATTTAATTCTTCCTCAAAACACAAAGGCGGCTAGAAAGACCTCAAAAGCCGGGAAAGGACTGACAGAAACAGAGAGGGGAAGAAAAAAACAAGCAAGCGAAGCTGCAAATATAGTTGAAGACTCTGCTTCTTATTACTGGTGGTGACGAAAAAAAAAAAAAAAAGGGTAACGAGAGTAGAAATCAGGGGATGGTCCTAATCCTAGAGGAAAGAAGAAAAGAAGCCTTTTTTAGGGTGTTAATGTGCAAGTACGCATATAAATAAACAAATATCAGGGAAGCTGAGCTAGGAGGACTATGAATGAAACTCTAGGAAAGGGAAGCTGGAGAGAGTATTTATTAATGGCATTTGTAAATGTGTGTGTGTGTGTGTGTGAACTTTTTTTTTAATTTTTCATTTCTTTTTCTCTTTCTTTTGGGCTTTTTGAAATGGAAATTCTTCCTGCTTTCTTTTCCTTTCTCTGTCTCCTTTTTACTGTACTCCACTTTCGATTCGATTCCTTTTTTACTCCCCCCCCCCCTCCCTTTTTAACTCTTGGTTTCTGTGTACAGAGAGTATAGAGAGATCAGATAGACGGTGGGAGGCTATATACGTACGTTAATTGATCTGGCCGCCGCCCTGAGCAAATTTAGCCAACGCCTCGCTGCTGCGCTAGCTACCGTATTTCGTATTTTTGTAGGGCACCCCACCCCACCACATATATGCTGTTGTTGATCAAAGCAGCATGATTCGATGATCCTAACTCCTAATCCGTCACGACCCAATTCTTTTTCTAAGAATTTCATGTTGTATATGTGAATAGTTTGGCAAATTCTGATAATTTTTTAGTTAATTTTAACTTTATTCACAAAATTTCCAAACTTATATTTGCTTGTGACGTTTTTATTGTCATTGGTAAGTTTATGGTTAAAAAATTTGTTGAAACTTTACGAGCTAATTACTAAAAAAATTCAAATGAAACATTTTTTTAACATTCAAATTCAATTATTCTTCTGTCAATTTCATTATATATGTATTAAAAATTCACAAGTAAAATTATAGCAAAAAATCAAGTAAGATATTTTTTTTACATTCAGACTCAATCATTCTAATGCGAATTTCATTAAATAATGCTGAAATCTCATGGTAAAAGTACGAGAAAATCTAAATAAGACATTCTTCATGTCCTCAAACTTAAAGAGATTTAAATTGTAATAATATTAATACCACTTAATTTTGATCCGTCTTTTTTAACTCATTTTTTAATGTTAACTTTTTTTTGTATCACATTGTTTTCTTCGGATTCTAGTTTACAATCAATCATCATGGTATTTTTTTACAATTAGTAATCAACTTCATAATGTGTTTTAATATATTCTGTTCAATAGATGGAAAATAACCTAGTAATTTGAATGACAGCCTATTGGTTAGGTTGCTGTCGTTACTGATGATAGACTAAGGTTCAATTCGCACCAAAGGGTGTATGAGGGAGTTTTATCCACATTTAAATGGTGTCTATTGCGTGGATTTTTTATTTTTTTATTTTTTTAAAAAAACCTAGTGATTTATAAACGATCCTGTACTGCAATTGGACAGATTAGGAAACTTTTCAGATTTATTAGAAAAAAAATTCTACGAACGTGTTACATGAGATAGCCTATAAATTTGGAACGAAGAAATCACTAGGAGTAAATAGTAAATACTAGTATAATCTCATAAGACATCTCCATTAATCAGCGTATTTTGAGGGGAGCCATCACCGGCCAAAAAATTTGTTAAAAAGAAAGGAAAAGAAAAAAAAAAAAAGGTTGGGGGGTGTTAGCTCGACCTGAGCCGGGTAGAGACCATACGGTGTGAGCCGTAAGCGAAGCACGCCAGCGCAGCCACGCCAGAAAAGGTGAAAAGCTAGTATTGAGTAGTAGTATAAACACGCGCACCATCAAGCTCGGCCCACTTCCGCCACCTCCGGCCGGGGTCGGAATCTAGAAAGATGCTCCACCTGACGGCGGCTGATGGTGAACCCAGTAACGGCGGTTGGCCCCCACTTGCCCAACTTCCACTATTACAAATGCATATTATTTGTCACCTCCTAACTTTTTACCCTGTGAACGATAATTAAAGGCAATGAGAAAAATAAAATAAAATAAAATTTGCATGCGATGGAGAGATTTTGGAATGGAAACTTTACTCTTTTTAATCCCTCTTTTTTTTTTTTTTGTACATTACTCCTAATAGTATAAAGAAACATCATTTCGCCGAAAAACATGATTAAAAAGCAACCTCACCAATATTTTATAAGGGATTAGCACTATTGCTTTTTATTCATTATAAAAAAAGGTTTTTTTTACGGGTCAATCGTCACATTTTTTATTTTGGTTTGTTTTAAGCTAACTACAATGTATATATCCTTTCCGCCTAAGATGACTTCTTTTATTGATAGGGTAAAAAAAGGTTTAAATATTCCTACTACTTTCTTTTGATTTATATCAAAGTGGTAGTAGTGGTTGATCGAAATTCAGTTCTCACGGTTCTTCTTTTCTTTTTCCTTCTGATATTGTTTTATGTTCCACTTTTTATTGAGAATTTTAAGAAGATAAGAATAAATGATTTATTAACCAATGAATTAGTGTTTACCTTCCTCGCTTTTATTTTTTTCCTCTATATAAGGTCACAATCAAGTTAATTTAGATAAACTCACAATCATATCTTTGTTTTAAAATTATTGCCTCAGTAGTAAAATAGTATGTATAACAATCCAAAAAAATTTTTGGGATGTAACTTCATAAATATGTAAATTGCATTTAGTAAATAAAAAGTCTAAAATTGTTATAAATCAAAAGTTCCAAAATTCTAAGTATAAAATTTAAATTAATGGATGTTATTCTCCATTCCAAATATGGAGATTTGATTCTTTCTCGTTGTCAACGGTTGAAATATCAAGTCATATTGTACATGCTTTCGTTGCAATCCTTTTAATTTATATCGATTGTTTGATTAAAGCGGATTACTGAGCTTTTGAAAATTAAAGTTAATCAACTTCAGTGTACTAGCCACTAGCCAGTTACAAATTAAGCGGTTGAAAGCACAAGAAAACACACACATTTTAAAGTATTTTTTGTGAAAGAGTTTTATTCGTTGCTCAGTGCTTTTCAATTCATTAACATAATTGGGTAATTTTTTCAACAAAATGCAAACATATTCAAAACTACTCCAGAACATACAAAATTATCGTGACACCATGAAATTTCAGGGGTTTTTTTTCCCTTTCCAAAAAGGATTTGGTTTCAGTATAATGATATGCAGTGGGGATTGGTCTTTGCTGAATCCTAGAACATGATGGGATTTTATTCAACCAAAAATTAAAAATTTTAATGGAAAGAAGAAACCATCTGGAAAAGGAAAATTTGCTCCACATAATCGTTACAAAACCCGCTCGTCGCCCCGTTCAAAGGGGATTTGTCGGCTGGCTTGGCCCGCCTCATTCCGCCCAAATGCCACCCCCCACCCCACTTCTCACATTTTACAGTCCTCCGTCCGTTGCGAACCCCACCGCCCCTTTTTTTTTTGCCTTCCATACGAAGAGAAATGGAATAATTTTACTTCTTTCGACCAAAAAATATATATATATATATATAAGACATTTTGATTTTGTCTTAGTTTTCACCTCAGATGTTTTTTTAATTAAAATAAAAATCTTAAAAATATTTCTAATAATTAAGAGAATAAAACAAATATAAAAATATATTTTTGACATTTTTTTCAATTAAAAAAATACATTAGGTAAGACTTAAGACAAAATCCAAATGACTTATAATAATGACAGTAGGGAGTATGTTAAAAAACGTCTTTGAACTTGAAACACAAGTGAAATACACTTGTCCCACATTGGAGTTGGAAAGCCTACTTGATTAATATATATACCCCATGTGCTACTCCCCTTATTGCCAATTGATTTTGAGGTGGAATCACATGTGGGCTTATATGCGCCTTCAAGATGGGGCATATATGTTGGGTTCAAGAGTTTCCTTCCATCCATATAGGACAAGGAAACATGAGGCATATTTTCGTTCTTTCATTCATTTAACACGCCCCTTTTAATTAAGCTTAATGGGCTTGGACGGGTAATTTTGTATATTTTTTTAATTAATTTTTCAATCTTGCGATCGGTTATTTTTTCGGATAAACAGTCGCTTGTCGGGTCAGTCAAAGTTCAAAATCAAAGCCTGAATCTGGACAAGTCAAGGGTCCAAGTCAAAGCCCGAATCTCGACAAGTCAAAGGTCCAATATCAACTGTCAACCCCGTCCCACAAGTACCACAGATCCGCGGATTAAACCCGCTCAGATGGGGTTTAATCCGCGGACTTTGTGGGTGGACTTTGAGCAATCCGGCGGGTTTTCCGGTTTGACTTTATACGTATTGGGCTTTGACTGACCCGACACTATACATGAGGACTTTGACTTTACCCGTATTGGGATTGACTGACCCAACAGAATATCCGAGGACTTTGACTTACTCGTATTGCGATTTGACTGACCTGACAGTATATCCAAGGGATTTTGATTAACCCGTTTTGGGCTTTGGATGTTCAAAGAGGCCTTCTCCAACCCCTTTGGGCTTGAGAGAGGGGTGTTAAAAAATCCCTTTGAACTTGAAAAGCAAATGAAAGACACTTGTCCCACATTGAAATTGGAAAGCCTACTTGATCGACATAGATACCTTATGTGCTATTACTCTCATCGCCAATTGGTTTTAAGTGCAACCATATGTGGACTTAAATAGGCCTTTAAGAGAGTATTATAATTTGTAAATTATAATAATTTTAATATAAAATTTATAAATAACCAATGTGAACAATTTTTTTAAGCTAGAGAGAATATTTCTTTTATCAATCTAACATTATCATAGAAATTGTGAGAAATTGTTGGGAAAAGAAAAAATGATGTTCAGTAATGTATACTATTTCATCACATATATAGAATGAGAGAAACATTACATAGTTGTACATATTTCACCCGCGTGTTGATGACTAGTTTATATACATATACAGGAGAATAGCGAAAAGGAAAAGCGGTAAGAAGAGCCGTTTAAACTTTGACAAGGGTAATTGGAGATTTTCCTGCTGAGTGGGGAAGCAATGATTAAAGAATGGATTTTAGGCTTTTTTTTTTCTTTTTTTTTAGCCCACGAGGGGATCGATTTTCGGGTGCCTGTTCCATCGTCGCAATGTGTCGACCCCGCCTTTAAATTTTCCTAAAAATCCCAAATAAAATCTAACAATGATAATCTCTTTCTCATTGTATAACCCCCGAAATTGCTCACTTTCAATTTAGAAACGTTAAACAAAAAATTATCATGCTTGTCGGAAAAATTTTATTTAATACTTATGATTTTTATTTTCATTTTAGAGATTAAGGGATCATTCTCTTTCTCTCGTCCATTTATTTGAAGGTGAATGTACAACGATCTAATAAAGATGATTCTAGTACTCCCTCCGTTCCAAAATAAGTGTCATTCTAGAGTTTGCACATAATTTAAGAAAATAT